GGAGGCACTAATTTTTAAACGCATTCTTTAAGACACCATCACGACCAAGCAAGTGTGCACAGAGTGCTGTAGAGTGGAGACGAAGCTGTGCGGTTGAAACCATTGGCAGGTCTGCAAAACAGAGATGAATTATTTGGGGGAAATATTTTAAAATAGTAATTACCGTGGGTTAAAAGCCCATCGCACCAATGTGTGATTTTATAAAAAGGCCTCGGTAAACTGTCACAGAAAGAAACCGTCTCTCTGTGACAAAGGACAGTCATGAAGAAGGGGTTGTTTTTTATTTTTGTTAATTCTCACCTGAGGTTATTTTTCCATTGATTTTTATTTATTTATTTTTATCCTCACCCAAGGACTTTTTTTTCCCCATTTTTGGTTCAGATAGAGTGGGAGGGAGAGAGAGAGAGAGAGAGAGAGAAACATCGACATAAAAGGGACACATCGAGTGGCTGCCACCCGCATGACCAACCAGGGCCGGGGACAAAATGCAACCGAGGTGCGCGCCCTTAGCGGGAACTGAACCCGGGTCTCTCCGAACCGCTGGCTGATGCTCTAACCGCTGAGCCAAACCGGCCAGGGCCCACTGATTTTTAGATGGAATGGAAGGGAAGCTCCTGAGGCTGGCATCATATTCGTGATGACGTTTTGAGCACTTCCTCCCTCAGACCGGGCAGGGCAAGGGGGTCCGCGCTCACCACCTCTACTCCACACCTGGAGGTCGAGGCTGGGCCATCGTACTGTGAAGTCCAGGGCGTCTTTCACAAAAGGACAACGTGGAGGTGGCTAAGCAGCACCGCAAACACATGCTCAGTTCCCTTTAGAGTGTCTTCTCCTTGTGTGTGTGTTGGGGGGGTGACAATGGAGGCTGCTCAGTGCCGATGCTTCAACCTATGACCTCCTGGGGAGACCTAAGACCACACAACACCAACATGTCTCCCCCAAACAAAGAACTGCCTTCCCTGAATCTGAATTTAGTTTAAAAAAACAAAACCCCCTGCCCTGGCTGGTTTGGCTCAGCAATTAGAGTGTCGGCCCAAGGACCAAAGGGTCACGGGTTCTATTTCCCATCAAGGGCATGTATGTGGGTTGCAGGTGCAATCCCCAGCCCTGGTTGGCGTCATGCGGGAGTCAATTGATCAATGTGTCTCTCTCACATTGATGTTTCTCTCTCTCTCTTGCTCTCTCGCTCTGGGTCTCTCCCTCCTTCCCTTCCATTCTATCAAAAAATCAATGGAAAAATACCCTCGGGTGAGAATTAACAAAAATAAAAAACATTCCCTTCTCAGCAGGTGGCTGGTACCCAACAAAGATACCTTCTCTGTACTGGTCCACAGACCACCTCCCGGCAGATGCACCAGCTCTCTGGGTGCTGCCTGGGTCAGGGCCTCCCTGAACACGGGGGGCAGGTGGGCCTTGTCTCACCGGTGTCTGCAGCCCCTGGACACAGCTGCCCTTGCCTGTGGGCCCGCCGCCTGAGGGTGTCCCTGCCAGGAGTTGTCACTGTCCCCAGCCTCCAGCAGGTGGGTTGAGCAGCTGTGTACCCGCACCAGCATGAGGGGGGCTGGCGAGTAAGGATCAGGGTCAGGCATTCTCATCACCAACGTCCCTGGACCCAGGAAGGGGGGCTCTGTCACTGGTGGACCAGAAAGATTGACAGTGTCCCATCCACCTCCTTAGAGAGGACATGCTGGTCCCTCCGTGTTTACAGATAGAATTCTCTCCCCAGCCCCCTGTCCTTTGCCTTCCCAGCCTGCGTCCCCGCTTGCTGACCCACAAACCCTGTGATCACAAGAGGAAGCAGTGGCCGGCACAATGTCTGTCCTATGGTGGTTGCCCAGGAAACAGCTGGCTGACCATATAAGCCAATGAGAGCCAGCGGAGTGGCCTGGCAAGGGCAAGGAGACCCAGGTGCGGAGGGACCCGACAGGCAGGGCCCAGGCCTGGGTGGGCAGGGCCAGCTTAGGCCAGGCCTGGAGGAAGTAGGGTGCTGGGCCTGGGGCAGGGCAGCCTTTGGCTGGGAGGTGGGGTGAAGGCTGAGACCAGGGCCCAGCTCCTTCCAGAACAGCATTCCTCAGGCAGCTGGGGACCTCGCTCACCACCCCACCCCCAGGCTTCCTTCTTGCCAGCCTGCCTCTGCCGGTGCCAACAGCAATTAGCCTGGCCAAGAGTTCTGTGCTAGAGGTGACAGCTCACCCCAAAACATTTCCAGGTCAGTGTAGGCGGAGCAGGAAAGGGTTCATCCCAGCCCCAACCTGAATGCCCCTCCCCTGCACACACCTTATTCAGTGAGAATGGCACCCATGGACTTGTCCCGGTCCTGGGGGGCTGCACCTCGCAGCGTGCTTCTGTTGGAGCTGGAGTGGAGGCTTCTGCCCACTCTGTCCTGTTTTCCCCAAACTGTCTCGGACCTGCCTCATCGCTCCCACACGGCAAACTCGTGACAAGCAAAGGATCCAGCGAGATGCGTGTTTACATCCCCCAAAACCCAGGCATCAACAACGACCTTTGCCGTGAACGAGCGTTTCCAATAATTAAGAATGAAGAAACTAGTTGCGAGAACACCGAACATAGATGAGATTCTGAAGAGTTCTAGAAGCCCACCACATCTAATTTCTAATATCAAAATAGAAAAGGCTACATTTAGGGAGGAAATGTGACTTTAGGCTGCAGGCTGAATATGGAGCAAGACCAAGGAAAGTTGAGCAGCAGGAGCGTCTCTGGACGTGGATGAGCTGTCTGTTTACACTTGTTTCCCGAACAATGGAGCTCACCATTGACGTCAATGACCGTGAAGAAACAAAAGGGCCTGTGGGTGTGTCCATGCAGCTGGGCCTGGATTTGCTTGGTGTGTGTGTGTGAGTGTGTTAGGAGTGTGGGGCAGGGATTGTGTCCAGGTGTCAATTTTGGAGAAACAGGAGGAGACAGTCTCACAGTGGAGTGTGAGCCCCACAGCGGGACTCCCGGAGCCTGTGTGAGAAGGCTTGTCCCAATGAACTTGGTATTTGCCCTAGTTAGCATCTGTGTCTGACCAAGTTGCATGCACACCTTGTCAAGGAGAGGGAAAGAAGTGGTAAGAATTCCTGAATGGGGGTTTGGCTTCAGGAACTGGCAGCTATCAGATCAGAACTCTTCCCTTCCATCCCTGGTCTGCAGGAGAGTTCTGGAAGGAGATGGGGCACACGGGGGAGATGCTGCAGGTCCCAGCTTCTTGGCCAGGGAGTGCCCCTTAGCCCTGCCCAGCCCTGACAGCCTCGCCTCCCCCCTCACACCCTGCTTTTCAGAGCCTGCTGCAGCCCAGCTGCCATGGAACCTACATGCTGTGCCATGTCCTACAAGCAAGTCCCCAGGCTCTCTCCTGACACGTTATTTTAGTTTTATTTTTTTAATTCCTCACCCGAGGATATTTTTCTATTTATCATTAGCTAGAGTGGGAGAGAGAGAAAGACAGAAAGAAACATCAATGTGATAGAGCCCCATGGATTGGTTGCTTCCTGCATGACCCAACCAGGGCCGGGACGAACCGCAACCGAGGTAGGCGCCCTTGACCGGAATCGAACCCGTGACTCTTTGGTCCCCGACGCAGTAACCCCTGAGCCAAACCGGCCAGGGCTCTCCTGACCCTTTAGACAGAAGGCTAGGGGCTTAAGACGCCCAAACACTGTTTAAAGAACAAACGGCCGCCCTGGCCGGTTTGGCTCAGCGGTTAGAGCATCAGCCTGCGGTCCCAAGAGACCCGGGTTCGGTTCCCGCTAAGGGCATGTACCTCGGTTGCAGTTTGTCCCCGGCCCTGGTTGGTCGTGCGGGTGGCAGCCACTCGATGTGTCCCTTTCACATCGATGTTTCTCTCTCTCTCTCCCTCCCACTCTACCTGAACAAAAAAATGGAAAAAATGTCCTCGGGGAGGATAAAAAAAATAAAAATAAAAATAAAAAAAGAACAAACGGCCTAGCCCAGGTGCTCCGGGGCTCGGCGCTGTGTCTCGGCTTATGCCTTCCTTCCAAAGCCGTTGTTTCTCACTCACTGTCCAAGCGCTGCTGCCTCGCTCTCGGAGCTTTGGGGGGTTAATTCCCGCGCTGGTCACTTTACATCCACAGCGCCCCGGTCGGAATTTGATTGCACAAGCCGGGCTCTAATGACGTGGGGCAGGGATGACAGCGTGCGTTTCACTCGTACCTCCCGTAGTAAAAATGATCCTGCTTCCTGCACCGAAAATCGAGATGCATGGTCTCAAAACTAGGACAGGCGTCTTGGAAGCGGCCGGTCCTGGAAGCCCTGGGACGAGTGTTCCCCGGGTGGCCCGGGTGGGCGTGCCCCGGAGCTCCTGCAGGGCGGCAGGCGTGGGTCCCCAGGGAGTTCCGCGCCTCGCGGGGAATGCGTGAGAGTGAGTCAATGAGTGCGAACGTGTGAATGAAAGATGTCCACGGGGAGTTTCCCGCGGCCGTGTTCGCTGGGGACGTGCCTCTGGCCTGTCGCCGAAGGTGGCAGCTTCCCGGGGCCAGGGCTTCAGCCCGGATTCTCTGCCGCGCCGGTGAGACCGAGGTGCCAGGAGCCGGTCCCCGCCCCCCGCCCCGCAGTGGTACGCGCCACTCCGCTCTTCCCGAGCCGGGGAACGCGAGCTGTTTTGAATGGAAGGAGCAGAGGCCGGAAGTGGAAGCGACCACTCGGGAGGACGAGGAGGGGGGCAGGAGCGCGCCGCGTCTTCATTGAAGAACCGACGCGGTGAACATGGAGTTCCATGTGCGTCTTATGTAAAGAGAGCGACGGGCACCGCAGCCAATAGACGCGCGGAATTCGCAGGCCCGGCCCCCTGGTATTCAAATGAGGTGGCATCGCGGCCAATGGAGGGCGCCGGGGGCGGGCGCGGCGCGCGCGGTCACGTTTTCCACTATGTGACAGCGGCAAGTCGGCGGCGGCGGCGGAGGCGGGCTGCGCTGCGGCTACGCGCTGCTCACTACGCGCTGCTCTCGGCGGCTGCGACCACGGCGCGGGGTCGGCGGACGGACGCGGACGGGCCGGCGGACGGGCGAGGACGCGGCCCCGCGGTGAGTGCGCGGCGGGGCGGACCGGCGCCAGGCTAGGGCGCCCGCGGCCGTCCGGACGCCGGCTCGCTGGTTACGTAACGGCCGCCCGGCCGGCGAGGCCTCGGGCGGGCGGCCCTGGGGTCCCGGCGGGCGGCCTGCGCACCACCGCGGCGATTCTGCCACCCGCGGAGGCGCGGTCCCGGAGCTTCCTGGGCCCCTTGATTCCTTCCCGGCTTGGAACCGGCCCGGGGAGTGGGTCCTGTTATCCCCAGTTTGCGGATGAGAAATGGGGTTCAGAGAGGTTAGGCAACTTGCCTGACGCCACGGAGCTGCTCTGGCCACCACGCCGGACTGTCCTCCGGAGCATTTTCTTTAAGAACCCCCGCCCCTCGCCCAGAGGGGGAGGGCTGGGAAAGCTAACGGCAACCAAGGGTCCGTGCACTGTCTCGGGACAGCAAGGGGCCGGTGGGGAGCTGGCCGCCTGCTCTGAGGCCACAGAGCCAAGTGTCCAGCTAGGGAAGGGCCACTGGTGGGCGCTGGTCTAAGAGCTCTACCTGCACAGCCCATGGGTCCCCCGGAGTGGAGGGTGAGCAGAGACAGGAAGGCCTGGGAACCCAGTGGGCAGGAGGGCTTCTCCTCCTGTTCCCCCCCTATGCCCACCCTGGACTTCCTGTTTTTATTCTCTCCCCCCAGGTTGGGTAGAAGGGGGGGTGTCCCACTTTGTGCCACAGCAATCACACCATCCTTCTGGGGTGTCCCTGGGCTGCCAATCCTGGACATAGACCAGGGGGCAGGTGGCAGCCTGCTAAGCTCTCCAGGAAGGCCAGGGTAAGGGATGACAACTCGGTTGCCACGGTTTCTGTAACCTACGCAAAGAGACCAGTTTGGGAAGCTGATTCATACTCAAAGAACAACAGAGCCAGCAGGTACCCTGGAAACCATCCAGGGTAACCCCTTAGCTTGGCAGATGAGGACACTGAGCCCCAGATACCTGCTGGGAGCACACCATGGCGGGGACAGCCCAAGCTTGGTGTTTGCAGAGTCTTTCCATCATCCTGAAGGTGTTAATCTGGGTCAGGTGAGCTTTGGAGGTGCCACGAAATTGGGTGCCAACTCCTCAGTGGGCTGGAATTTGGGAGGAGGGGTCTCAGCTCCCTGAAATGCTAAGAACTCTAGCAGCATTGGCAGAAGCCCCCACGAGTACCTCTCACCTCCACCAACTGACCCAGCAGGACTGCTGCCTTTTCCCTGGCTGCAAACGGGAGATGCCCCTACCCCTGCCCAGGGTTCCCGGTCCCAGGCTGGATTTGACTGAGGCGGGAATAGGACTCTACCGAAGGTTAATTGGCCATTGCGTTTTTAAACACAAGACGAATCCCCTTCTATAAGGTAGTTGGGTAAAATGGGAAAGGGACTCCGTTTAGGTGGAAGCTGCGTGATAGGCCTACAGAGGGATGGCGCTGTGGGTGTTCACAGTTATCTGTCACCATCCTCCTGGTGTGATTCACTGGTGCAGCACTAACGGAGCCCCGGCTTTCTGTGGAGGCTGGAGGGTGGAGGCTGAGTTGGGGGTGGGGCTGCTGCCAGCTACTGCTGGGTGACTCAGCTCCCCCTCTGGGCCTCAGTTTCCTTACCTGTAAGAGAGGCTCAGGTTAGGCTGTCTTGGAGGCCTGTTTCAATCCCTAGGTTTGGGGATTCCTGTGACTCCAGGGATGACTCCCCGGTCACCTACACAGATCCTTGACATATTGTGGCTTTCAGGCCACAGAAGAGTACTCTGTGAGCACGTCCCCTGTGAGGCGCATCTGCCTGTTTAGAAGGAAATCGGAAAGGTTCCTTTCATTTGTACTATTTCTAGTGCTCACACTTAACTTTCAGAAAAATCCTGGCAGGCGTGTCTCTGTGTTTAAACGATGATGTAACTTCAGCGGGCCTCAGCAAGCCACAGGCTCTGTCGGGTCATTGAGTGGCTGGCAGAACCTCTCAGCACTTAGTCAAAAGAAACAGTGACGCCGAACACTATGTCTTTGGCAAAACCCACTAGAAACATGGAACCCCAAAGCTATGCAGACGCTCTGGGTCCCTCCCTTGCAGAAGCTGGCTCACCTGTGGACCCAGTGGGGGACCTCCAGGTCCAGACAGGGATCTCTGTCAACTCTTTATGCTTGTTACTGGATTTCCAAGTCTAGTGTAAATCAAAAGCAGTAAGTGGCCAGGTGAGCGGTCACTGGTCATGGGCAGGGGTCAAGCTGCTGGCAGGTCTGAAGATGGAGTGGGTGCCAGCCCTTGAAGTCCTGGAGGGTCCCCGGCTCTCTCCTTCCTGTGGTGGCAGAGAGGAATAGGCCACTTCGTGTTCACAGGCACAGGGTAGCTTGCTCCTGAGTGCTGCAGCGGGAAGCTGGCATGTTTGCGTTGTCGCGTTTAAATCTGTGCTGCTCCGTGTTGGAGGCGTCACCAGGCAGAGCTCAGAGAGCTGGGGTCTAGTGAGGCCGGGACGTGCCTGTCCCCAGCCTCCTTCCCCTCCGTATCTGGACTGCTGGCCTGGCCGCAGTCGCATTTTCCTCCGTTACCCAGCTGTTGCCATGGAGAGCGCGGTGTTTGTTCAGCAGGACAAACATTTTCTTCAGATTACAGCAGGCCGGCCGGGGACTTGGCTCCTACCAGGAAGAAGCGACCGCGTGCCGAGTGCGGGTTGTAAAACACCGCCTGGCGGAGCGCGGCTGAGACCTGTTACATAAGGTGCGAAGACGGGGCGGGATTGGCCAGCCTGTGAGGGCTGGCGGCGGTCACCAGGGGTCTCTGGGGGGCTGGGACACGGGTGCTCAGTTTGTGGACATACATCAAGCTGTGACCTTATGATTTGGGACTCTCTGCATGTGTTTATACTTCCGTTTCAAAAAGTCAGTTGCCTTAGTGATTGCACCAATCCTGATTCCCACAAGGAAATGAACCCCCCTTAGGCTCACAGCAGTTGAACGAGCACAGCATTTGCCTGTCCTGGGGTGGCCATGGGGGTGGAGCTGAGGCCAAGGGTGTGCTTTATCCCCCCCCCTTTTCTTACTATTTATTATGGAAACCCTGAATATGTGTGACGGTAGAGAGGACTGTGTAATGAATCCTCATGAACCCACCAGCCAGCTTCAAGGAGTTTCAGCTCTTGGCCCCCTCCTTCCACCCCACCTCTTCCCACTCTCCCTCCCGTATTATGAAACCGGCCCGACTGTGATCTCATTGCAGACTGCTCTTTCTAACGGCCCTCCGTCCCGTGGAGGCGGCCCTTGCTACCAGAGGTACATCCCGTGACCCGGTCCAGGCCCAGCTTAGCTCCTTCCCTTGGGTCCGACTGTTCTCCAGGGACAGCCAGTGTGTGGACATCTGTGAAGGGGCAACAAAGGGACGTTGAGGGGCAGATGTGCAGGCCCATGCCCAGAGGTGCACCCCAGCTTCCCCGGCAGCCCCAGCTCTCCTTTCCTTCCCGGGCCCTGGCACCTGGACCCTGGGCACTGCCCCCAGGGTTCCCCAGGGCTTTGCAGGGCTCAGGCAGTGCTGGCAGGGGCGGGTGCTCTGTACACGTCTGTGGGGGGCAGGGGCAGTCTGCTTTGCCGGCACACTGGTCCTGCCAGCTTGGCAGTGTGTGGTCGGCCTGTCGGAGCAGCAGCGCTGAGCCCGCAGGGTCTGGGACAGTGACGTTTGGGCCGGTCGGTCTGGCGTGCTGTTCACATCTCTGTGTGCTTGCTGGACCTCTGTGTGGAAAGATTGTCCGCCACCTAAGTAACCTTGTGACTCCTGCTCAGCGCACTCTCCTCGCACAGGCGCCCGGGGGCCAGGAGCGCCGGCGGGCTCAGGGAGGCCGGACGCGCTGGAGCGTGGTCGGCGGCGCTCCTTGCCCAGGGTGCCTCATGCCTGGGCGCGGCCAGCTGGGCTCTCAGTCCTTAGCACACGAGCCAGAGGCCCCTCTCGGCGATGAAATAATCTCCTTTTAAAAAGTCACCTGTGTTGTCGTGTCTGTGGTCCTGTGGTGATTGGCAGTGATGACGAAAGCTGGCCTGTGTTGGACCCTGACTGCGTCCCAGACACCTTGCGTAGCTGTGTCATGTCACCCTCCCAGCCGCCAGGAGGAGGCAGGGGCTGCGTTGCCCCCTCTGACAGATGAGGGAACAGGCCCGGGAGCTCAGGAACTTGCCTAAAAGCACACGGTTGGGATGTGGGGGACCCGCCGAAGCCCCTCCATCCAGGGGCTGCACGTAAGCACTCAGCCTGCAGGGCTCACTCAGCAGAAAGGACTAGCTGCTTTTCGGGGGCGTTGGGGGGGGGCCTGCAGGTGCCATGGGCGGTGTCCGGGAGGGTGTGGGCAGCCCCTTGGCAGCTCTGCTGAACCATGCCAGAGCCTCGTGAGAGATCTCACCTCCACCTTGCCCCCACCCGCAAGCCTGTAAAAGTGAGTCGGCTCTTGCACAGACCCTCCAGCAGTTCCTGTCTCACTCGGAGTGAAGCCAGAGCCCCGGCTGCCCCCTGAGGGGCAGATCTGCTCTGACCTGATATCACCCTCCTCTTGCCTGCCCTCTCTGCTCCAGACTCGGCCATCTTCTTCACTCCCTGCCTCAGGACCTTTGCACTTGCTGCCCCTGCTTAGAATGTTCTTCCTCCAGCATCCAGCTGGCCCACTCTCACTCTGTGCAGTCTGTCTTTGATCAGGTTTTTTAAAAGCTATGTCTGGGCTGAGGGCTACTCTTTACTGGGAGGTGCAGCCCCAGAGCAGCGGCAGTGAGGGGGCGGTGAAGAGACGAAGGCGGGGACGCGCACACCCGACGATGCCTTGTGATGAGGCCTGCTGCACAGACACCTGCAGGCCAGTCAGCCCTGGAGACCTCAGCAGACGATGCCTTGTGATGAGGCCTGCTGCACAGACACCTGCAGGCCAGTCAGCCCTGGAGACCTCAGCAGACGATGCCTTGTGATGAGGCCTGCTGCACAGACACCTGCAGGCCAGTCAGCCCTGGAGACCTCAGCAGCAAGACTGTCCAAAAACAGAAAGAAAAGGAAAGTTTCAGAACAGTCCGCTCAAGGGAGGGATGGAGAGAGGACTTATCCACTGACTACCTCTGCTGACCTGTCCCCCAAGGTCAAAGCTCACCCAGGGAGTGTGATTGCCCTCGGGTCCAGTGGCCTCACCAGGCCCTTTGGCAGCAGCTGGTGAAGCAAGGACCTACCCCGTGGTGTGGCACTCCATCCGAGGCCATACGTGGCGGAGCCAGAGACTCCTGGTGGCCCGAGGACCAGGACGACCATGCGATGTGTGCCCAGCAGCGGCCAGGGGGAGCAAGGGGCTGCAGGCTTGGGGGAGCGAGGCCGAGGGGTCAGAATTGCACCACGCACCAGGGCTCAGGTATGAGGTCAAACATCCCCTGTCACCCAGACATGGGCCTGAGCCTGCACACCTGGCGGCCCCGCGCTCCTCAGCCCTGAGCATCAGCCTCCTGTACGTGCCCGTGCTGATCTGTCTCCCCACTAGAATGCAAGCTCCTGGGGCAGGAAGGATGTCGGCCTGCGCCGTGCTCACGCCAGCCCCCGCGCTGTGTGCAGGAAGAGCGGGCTGGTTACGGACGTCGTCTGGCACGGCACTGGCACATTCCGGCATGAGCCCTGCATGAGTACTGTCTGTCACTTCGTTGTTCCCTGGCGTGCTTGTTGATGCCCCAGCATTTTCCCACATCAGTGGCTGCTCCCCCTTTCTGACAGGTGCCCATTGTGCCCTAGTGCGGCCTTCCTGGTTTGTCTTCTACGGTGAGTGCCAGGCCCTGGGGTGCAACAGGGAACAGCTCGGAGCTCCAACCAGGCAACGTCAGTGCAGTGGGGGGAGAAAGTGGGCAGGATGCCTCCTGGTGGGGAGAAGGCCGAGCCCTTGGTGCAGGGCGAGCTCTGTGGGCATGAGGAGGAGCGGGTGGCCCCGGGCGACCACAGCAGATGACAGGAGGCAGCTGGGAGGCCCTCCTCGGAGGCTGGGGGAGAGAGGACCTCTCTCAATGCCCTGTGGATGGTGGGGCCAGGGCCAGGTCGGGGGGTCGAGTTTGGAAGTTGAGGCTGGCGCCTGGCCAGGGCAGCTGTGGGGGACGAGGTGACCAGCCAGGATGCTGACACCTCCCTTCTGATCGCCAAGGAAGTTCAGAGATTGTAGGCCCTCCCTTTGTGGGAATAGCCTGTTCTTGGTCTGGTTCTTGCCCCTCCCCAGAGTGAGCACTTTCATTATTTCGTGAATTTGTTGCAACATCCATGAAATGTTTTAAAAGACCAAAGAGCAGCCCAGCCAGTGTGGCTCAGTGGACTGTCATCCCATGGACTGAGAAGTCCTGGTTCGATGTCCAGTCAGGGCACATGCCCTGGTCTCAGGCTCGATCCCCAGTAGGGGGCGTGCAGGAGGCAGCCGATCGATGTGTCTCTCTCACATCACTGTTTCTATCTCTCCCTTCCTCTCTCTCTAAAAAAAAAAAAAAAACCAATTAAATAAAACTATATAAAGACAATCGTAGACTTGCCTGTTTTGTTCCTGCCTCTCACTGGGACCCAGGCATTTTTGCTTCTCTGGGATTCGGGGAGTTGGTAAGCTGCAGCCAACACCGGAGTGGGCAGGTGCCCTGTGGCTGAGCCCCCCGTTTGACTGTGGCTTCTCCGCTCAGAGCTCCGTGCAGGCTCCCTTCTGGAAACGTGTGACAGCGAGCTCTCCGGCTGGCCAGCGTGGCCCCGTCCTCGCAGGTGACCCAGCCGTTCTTCCTGTGGGTGCAGCAGCACTTCCTCTCCCCCTGAGAACACCACTTCCAGCGAGGGAGCTGGGCCTGGGCACCTGCGCTTCGTCCTGCCTGGTACCGGGGCCTTCGGTGCGCAGGCGCCCGGCCCTCTGCAGCCAGGACGGTTTTCAAACGCGTCTTTCAGTCTGGTTTCTGTTCCCTTCTGTGGCGTCTTATCCGGAACGAGCTGTTTTCCGCAGGTCAGCGCGAGGCTTTAATATCGGCCCTGCCGTCGCTGAGCCGTGGTCTTCGCCCCTGACTTGGAGCTCGACCTTTGTAGTTTGCTGTTCTAGCGGGTGTTCTCTGCTCGGTCTGTGGCTTCAGCTCATCCCTCATGACTGTCTGAATCCATCTTTGCTGGATTTTGACTTGTGGCCCAGGGCAGGTGCCGCCCTGAAGTGGGTGCTCTCCCGGGGCCGTGGGCCGTGCGTTTGTTGGGTCTCTTCCAAAGGCACCTGTCGGCTTGTCTGTTTATTCACCCGTGAGCAAGGTGAGGTCCACACAGACCTGCTGTTCTCCAGAGTGGTGTGGTGGGATTCCCCATGGGCCCTGTCCTGGGAACCCAGCACTGCCACCTGCTGTGTGGCCTCGGGAAGACGCCACCTCTTCTCATCCATGCGACGGGCCAGAGAAGGGCGTCCTGTGTGCATTGTGAACAGCGACCACGAGGGCCGCTTGACACAGGGTGTGCCAGGCCCTCAGCATGGCGTCTGCAGTCGCCACATCAACTGGAGCCCCTGCCCGTGCACGTGGAAGCGGTGGGCACGGTCTGCCTTCCAGGGGTCCCGTCTGTGAAGGCACTGCGCCTGGGCCCCCCACATCTCCCTCCCTGCGTGGTGTCTGAGGCTGGCCTTTGGGGACTGTGTCATCAGGTCCCCGCCCCTTTGACTTCCTGACCTTTGAGCTCAGGAGGAAAGAGGAGCCAGGCTTATGCCCTGTGCCCCCAACCGAAGGGGGCGCTGATGGCAGCTTTTCCCTCCCCCACCTGGCAGACCCCAAGACTGCACAGCTTTTGTGGTTTCTCTCCCTGACCACACCTTTCGTGTGGTGCCTTCATCCGGTGCTCTCTGGTTCGAGGGGTGTCTGCTTTCCTGTTTGACGGGGGAGGGGGGACACCTTCCTGCGTCTTCCTTTACCTGTGCCTCCCTGTCCTCGGCTTCAGTCAGACCCCCCCCCCCCCCCGTGTGCACTGTCCTTGCTCGTCTTCTCTCCAGGATGAGGGTGAAGGCCTTAGGCTGGTCCAGCCCTAATTGCAGCCCCTCCACCCACCGAGCCCCTAACACCGAGTCCACGGCTGCACTCAGCGCAGCAGCAGGGACCTGTCCACATGCAAACCAGCTGCCGTCAGTCTGGACCTTACGGTGCCTCAGAGGCTCCTGCTGATCCCAGATAAACGCACCAAGTGTGAGCTCCGGACTGACCTCCCTCCCCTCCGCACCCCACTCTGCACCCCTCAGACCCGCCTCAGTTAAGCTCTGGAAATGCTACAGTGCCCGGAACCCGTGTGCTCCCCAAAGTTGCCCCTGCTCACCACCTTGTTTCAGGGTCTCCCCCTGCCCGCAGCCTGGTTTCAGGGTGTCCCCCTGTCTGCAGCCTGGTTTCAGGGTGTCCCCCTGTCTGCAGCCTGGTTTCAGGGTGTCCCCCTGTCTGCATCCTGGTTTCAGGGTCTCCCCCATCCACATCCTGGTTTCAGGGTCTCCCCCATCCACATCCTGGTTTCAGAGTCTCCCCCATCCACATCCTGGTTTCAGGGTCTCCCCATTCACATCTTGGTTTCAGGGTGTCCCCCTGCCCACAGCCTGGTTTCAGGGTCTCCTAACTTTGACCCAGCTGCACTCCGCATCACCTGGAGAGATCCCAGACGAGCAGCAGGGCCCAGGCCTGCCAGCCATTCAGTGGGAATCTGTGTATTTCCCAAAGTTCCCACGTGCTGGGTGGTGACCATCAACACTCTTGTCGCCTTCCAGCGAGGCCATCAGCAAGGCGATGTCCAGGGCTGTGGCTGCCTGGTTCAGCCGCCTTCCTGATTCATGGCAGGCAGGAGCTCAGTGACTAAGAACAGATGAGAATACCCGTGAGATGCCCTGACTACCACCTGCTCACTCAGCAGGTGTGGGGAAAGATCCCGGCCCAGCAGCCCCGCGGTGGCTGCGGTGACCACCCACGCTCCTTCCGGCTGACGGCCTCTCTCTCATTTGCCAGCTTTCCTTGGGAGCCAACATGAATGAATTCGCTGGATTTGCCCCCAAGCCCAGTAGCCCCTCCAAGGAAGCCGTGGAGCCCACGCCCAGGGGGGTGTCGCTCCAGGAGGATGTCGACATGAGCAGTGGCTCAAGCGGAAATGAGACCAACGAGAACTGCTCCACAGGGCGAGACTCACAGGGCAGCGACTGCGGCGACAGCGGCAAGGAGCTGGGGATGCTGGGGGAGCCGCCCGCCACTCGGGACAGGTGGGCAGCCGGCCGCCCGGCAAGGCCCTGGTTTGTCTTCTCAGGGTCTGCTTCTGTTGTGATTGCTTTGCCATCTTTAAATCGTGATGAAAATCTTAACTTAGAATAACCAAAATTTACTAGAGTCTGTCCTTCCTTATAATGATGCCACTGTCCATTTTGAAGAGCCGTTGCCAGCAGACCAGGAGTGTACAATGAGGCCTTAGGAGGCCACGTGTCAGATGGCCCGCCTGCAGCGGCGTGCTCCATACAAAATGACCTGCTCCGGCCAGCCGCTCAGTGGTTAGAGCATCAGCCCATGGAGTCTCGGGTTTGATTCTGGTCAAGGGCATGTACCTTGGTACCTTCATTGCGGTTTGGTCCCCGGCCCTGGTCAGGGTCATGCAGGAGGCAACCAGTTGTGTCGTCTCTCTCGCATCGATGTTTTTTTTGCTTTTGTTTTGTTTTTGTTTTTGTTTTTGTTTTTCTTTATTGATTTTACAAAGAGAGGAAGGGAGAGAGAGAGAGAGAGAGAGAGAGAGAGAGAGAGAAATATGAAATATCGATGAGAGAGAACATCGACTGGCCACCTCCTGCATGCCCCCTACTGGGGATTGGGCCCACAACCTGGGTATGTGTCCTGACCAGGGATCGAACTGGTGACCTCTTGGTGCATGTATTGACACTCAATCACTGAGCCATACCAGCCGGGCTTGTTTTTGTTTTTAAATGAACTTGTTCCTTGAGCATTGGGTCTCCATCTCCCAACACTTAGTTTTCCTGATCTCTGAAGGTGTTGTGTTCACCTTAACCTCGTGTTTCTTACTGTGTGTGATCCTGCCTGTTGTGGCTGATTGGATGGGGAGACATGGATGGGACGGTCTCTGAGTTCTGTCTTTATTTCTTGTCCTTATAGTCCAAGTGCCTATAGCCTGATGTTGGCGAAGTCTGAACACAACCCGTCTACAAGTGGCTGCAGGTAAGCCGGTCAGAACCCCCTTGACTTAGTCTTTGGAGAAACCAAGTGTGTCACTGGAGGTTAGGTTTGGGGGTGATGTGACTTGTTTTAAGCTTATGCTAGAACCTGTGCATCTGCGCTGTGAGCCCAGCCTCGCCCTTCCAGACACCGACTGCCCTGGGCTGCCCAGAGCCCGGCGCTGCTCGGGCCTGTCACTCCCGCTCCGCCCGCAGACCTTGTCTGCACCTGAGCCGTGTGCGTCTGGAGCTCCCTCGCCTGCTTGGGCATCTGTGACCAGTGTGGCCCTAGAGTTCTGTCCGCAGAACATTTCCTATCCCGCTGGAGCAACAGCCGCTCTCAGTCCTGGGCCTGGGGCACTTTGCCGGCTCAGACGCCCGATGTCCATCGTCCTCTCTGTACCCTCTGCTCTACACGGGCTCCCTCAGCAGGTGCCACCTGCCCTGCCTTCCCCGTCTCTGCCCACGTTCGAAGATCCTTCTATAAACCTCCTTTCCTCTCGGGGGTCTCCCCGCACTCCTCATTCGCGTGCACGCCCCAGGAAGCCCTGCTGTCCCTGCTCCTCATCACGCGGCCCTGTTCTGGCTGACGCGGACAAGCCACACGCGGCCCCGTTCCGGCTGACGCGGACAAGCCACACGCGGCCCCGTTCCGGCTGACGCGGACAAGCCACACGCGGCCCCGTTCCGGCTGACGCGGACAAGCCACACGCGGCCCCGTTCCGGCTGACGCGGACAAGCCACACGCGGCCCCGTTCCGGCTGACGCGGACAAGCCACACGCGGCCCCGTTCCGGCTGACGCGGACAAGCCACACGCGGCCCCGTTCCGGCTGACGCGGACAAGGCCACGCGCGGCCCCGTTCCGGCTGACGCGGACAAGCCACACGCGGCCCCGTTCCGGCTGACGCGGACAAGGCCACGCGCGGCCCCGTTCCGGCTGACGCGGACAAGCCACACGCGGCCCCGTTCCGGCTGACGCGGACAAGGCCCAGCTCAGCCATCTCTTGGGGGGAAGAGCCGGCTGGAGGGATGTCCGGCCCCGTCGCTTGGGTTAAAGCAGCAGTTCTCAACCACAGGCGATTCACCCCCCAAGAGACGTGCGATGTCTAGAGACATTGTTGGCAGTCACAACTGGTGAGGGCGCTGCTGGCCTCCAGTAGGTGATAACCTAGAGGTACAAGGCCAAGCTGAGTGGCAGCAAGCATTTATTTGAGATAAAAACAAAAACAAAAAGACAGCTTTTCAGGGTGGACCACTTCAAGCAGAAACCCAAATGGTGTTCAGCTCGGAGGCAAAGGCCAGGGTTGCTGTGAAGGGGCAGGGGACAGGGACATCGCAGAAGGGAGGCAGAGCAGGTAACATGGTGGCGCTCACTGCAAACACTTTAATTTCCGGTCTGGTAGCTGGGTGCCTGCTCACTTGTCATCTTTGTAAACAGCTCTGCAGGTGCGGTGTCGCCTGCCTTACATCGCTGAGGGCTGTAAGACCGCAGGGCAGTTCTGGGCACGGCGTCTCCGGCTCGTGTCTCCGGCTCCGTCACAGTGGCTCCCTTTGTGTTCCTTTCACACGGGTGGGGCTCCATCGAGACCCGCAGACCGAGAGGGCCCAGTGCCTGGTCGAGACACGACCAGACCTGCACCCCTTTGGGTCCTGGGGGGCTGACGTGAGCGCTCTGTCCTTCACTCCGCAGCAGCGAGCAGTCCTCCAAAGCCGACGCGCACAGAGAGCTCATCCGAACGCTCAAGGAGCTGAAGGTCCACCTGCCCGCCGACAGGAAGGCCAAGGGCAAGGCCAGCACGCTGGCCACCTTGAAGTATGCCCTGAGGAGTGTGAAGCAGGTGAAAGGTAGGTTCGCCCCACGTGTTTGTTCCAACCTGTAGGACTAGGTTCCACATCCCCCACATGACCGCGTGGACTGTCTGGGTTTCGAAACGCAATCCCAACACAGAGGAGAGAAACGGGGTTTGGTGGAGCTGCCGCGACAGGAGACCTCAGTTCCCTGGAAGTTGTCTATTGCACTTGACTTTTATTTATTTTTTTTTTTTATCCTCACCCGAGGATATTTTTCCATTTTTTGTACAGATAGAGTGGGAGGGAGAGAGAGGAAGGGGGAGAGAGAGAGAAACATCGACGTGAAGGGACACATCGAGTGGCTGCCACCCGCATGACCATCCAGGGCCGGGGACAAACTGCAACCGAAGTACGTGCCCTTAGCGGGAACCGAACCCGGGTCTCTCCGGACCACAGGCCAATGCTCTAACCGCTGAGCCAAACTGGCCAGGGCTATTGCACTTGACTTTTAGAGGAGAAAATAAAGCGGGTAGAGAGCCAGCTAATAACAGAAACCTAGTCCCAGCATAAAAGTTCTGTGCTCTGGGCTGGGGTCAGGTCGTGGGGAGGAGGGTGCGCATCTTCCAGGCTCTGGCCAGAGGGTTGACCGCCGGCAGCCTGGAGAAGTCAGCAGCTCAGGACGGAAGGAAGCGCAGCGTCCCACAGCGTGCATGAGGCTCACCCTCTGAAAGATAACAAGAGGGGCTCCAGGATGGGACCGACAGCTCACCCTTGGAAGGCAGCGTCTCGGCGCTTTTCTTTATCCTCACCTGAGGACATTTTTACGTTTTTATCTTGAGATAGAGCTGGGGGGAGAGAGGGGAAGAGAGAGAGAGAGAAACATCGATGTGAGAGAGACACGTCGAGTGGCCGCCACCCACACGACCCCAGCCAGGGCCAGAGACAAACTGCAACAAGGTACACGCCCTTAGCAGGAACCGAACCTGGCCTCTCTTACCCGCGGGCCGACGCTCTAACCTCTGAGCCACACCGGCCAGGGCTCTGCTTCTTTATTTAAGACCTTGGGCTCTTCAGTTCTCATTGATCTAAAATGTGCGCACGACCGTGGTGGACGTCGGGGCCAGGAGGGCAGGTGGGGCAGAGCCTCCTTTGGTCACAGGTGCCCAGTGACAGACCTCCAAACCCAGCGCCCCAGCCACCTGTGGGCAGGTTTGGATTTTATCATCAAGTGGCAGAGGCGACAGCTTCTAGTACCCGGCAGTGGACTAGCCGAAAGCTTTTGCCTGAGGATACATTGCAGAAAGCGTCACAGATGCAGAAACCTGTGAACAAACACTGCAAATTCCAACATTGAGCTCACACATGGCCGTTCAGTCAGCACCTTGCCCTTCAGCATCTCCCTCCACTTGCTCCTGCCGTGGACCTCCCGCCGGGCAGACGCCCTGTGCCCTGAGCCCCAGCTGCACCACAGGTGCCTGTCTCCAGACGCTGTGCTCAGGACCTGTCAGGGCGGCTCAGCCCAGCCTCAGGCTGCTGCTGGGAATGGGGGCGGGACCTTGAGAGTTCTTGAAACGCCCTCAGTGCCTCAGAGACTGCAGATGTCTTGGGGCCATCGTGCGTGTGTGCGGTCCCGGTCTTAGAGCAGTGGACACTTCGCGGACCCTTGTCATGGCGGAGAAACCTCTGGCTCCTGCGTGGAGGAGTCCTTGGCTGTTTGAGCCAGAGGGAAAGTCCGCATGTCGCTGGGGCAGATGTGTGCCCCCTTCATTTGTTTGCCCGTGCGCTGGGGTCCCGGTGGGCACTGCGCAGCAGAAACACATGTGAGAATAGAAACCTCCAAGGCCGAGGTGAAGATGAGACAGTGGCTTTATTCTGTCCCGTCACCTCCAGAGTCTGTCACCAATGAGGGCACAAAGCCACATTCCAAACAGCGTTCACATTTTCTAATGTTCGGATGACTCGTGGGAAGGTTTGTCCTGTGCGTCTGGCTGGGACAGTGTGTGCCAGGTGTGGAAGAGGGCCTTTGGGGGGCCCTCTCCAGCCCCACAGCTGTGGCTGCATCACCCCAAGGCCATTCCGGACGTTCCAGGACAAGGGCCCTTGTTTTTAGGTCTGTTTGGGACAGTTTGTTCCACGTGCTCTTTCTTGTGCTCGGTGTCCTTAGCCGTCGATTCTGCCTGGACGGGGTGTCCGACCGAGGCCACCCGGGGAGGCAGAGCAGGAGTACCGTCCTGCGTGGAGATGGCGACACTGCGTCGTGATTAGCGACCTTATGGGGAAAGAGCATCGGGTGGAGCTCCGTGGCTGTGTTATTTAAGATCATGTGTCTTTATCACTAGAAAGTCCTACAACCAACCGCAGGCCTTCTGATTCTCGGGAAACCCCCAGATTTCCGTTAGTTTTGCCTTCGCCTGTCTGTGATCTGCTATCCAGGAAGGTAGTCTCCTGGCCCCCTTTTCCTAGAAGGGTGGTCAGCAGTGTTCCCGGGTGTCTCCCACAGCCCACGAGGAGTACTACCAGCTGCTCGTGTGCAGCGAGAAGCCCAGCTGCGGCGCCGACGTGCCCTCCTGCACCGTGGAGGAGGTGCGCAGCGCCGCCTCCGAGTTCCTCGTGAAGAGCGCGGTGAGTGCCCCGAGGCAGCGGAGTGGAGTTTTGGGAAGTGAGTTCAGACCTTAAGAAAAGAACGTAGTCAGGGGTTCAGAAGTCGAGTCCTGCGCAGGTGCCTCCCTGTGCTCTCCTGGCCGCTCCACCGCACCTCACGTTGGGACAGGGACCCCACGTGGCCAGCGCGGGGCCGCGGCAGCGTTCACCGTCCAGGGCTTCGTCAGGGGGTGCCCTGGGATTTAACGCGGCTTCGTGAGACTCCAAAGCTCATGCATTTAAAAATATATGTATATTTTTTGCATTTATCTACAGATAGAGTGGGAGGGAGGGAGAGAAGGAGGAAGAAAGAGAGAGAAACATCCATGTGAGAGAGACACATCAAATGGCCGCCACCCACACAACCCCAACCAGGGCCGAGACAGACTGCGACTGAGATACATGCCCTTAGCGGGAACCGAAGCCAGGTCTCTCTGGACCGTGGGCCAGTGCTCTAACCACTGACCCAAACTGGCCAGGGCCAAACCTGGTGCATTTTTAAGTCGCCCAGAAAGGTAGGGCCCTTGGAGGTCTGATGGGGCGCAGGTCAGCCAGGCCCTGAGCCCCCCGTTCTCAGAGAGCTGGGCTCCCCCTCCTTCCCCCTCCCTCCAGCACCCCGTCACAGCCCTGAGCCCAAGGGCCCTGCAGCCGCCAGGCAGCTCCCAGGACCCCAGGAGGGGACATGCCAGCCTAAGAGACAGAGTTGTGCAGGGTCCTTCCACCTCCCAAGTCAGCCCAGGTGCCCGGGACTCCACGCCCCTCGGCTCCTTTTGGCAGTGGAACCCCAATGTGATTCTTCAAATAACATCCTGTTTGGACCCCAATAATATGAGAGGGAGTAGAGTTATTCTGTCAGGACTGAGGCAGGGTCCCAGGCCTCCCCTGACAGCTGCCCCAAGTCTGTGCCTCTTGCTCAGCCCCTCTGCCGTCCGCCCCTGAGCGTGTGCCCCCTTTCCAGGACATGTTTGCTGCGGCCGTGTCCCTGGTCACCGGGAAGATCTTGTACATCTCCAGCCAAGTCGCTTCCATCTTCCACTGTAAGCAAGACGCCTTTCAGGATGCCAAGTTCGTGGAGTTCCTGGCGCCCCGCGACGTCAGCGTGTTCCACAGCTCCACCACGCCTTGCAAGCTGCCGCCCTGGAGCCTCTGCAGCGGGGCAGGTGAGGCCTCGGGCACCCCGGGGGCATCTGCCCGCCTCACCTCTGCGGGGGGCGCGCAGCCGTGGCTGCCCTCGGTCCAAGGCCAGAGACCAGAACTTACTCAGAATAAATTTGGAGAGAAAAACAGTCTTTTCAGAAATTTCAGAGATGAAAGACATCTCAGAGGCTTTTAACACGTTAGGCATTTAGAAATGCCCTTCCAAGGAGCTGGGGTCTGGAGTGAGTCTGCGGATTGTGGGAGGACCAAGGGCATCAGGGCATCAGGGAGGGAATCCTGCAGTTATCCCAAGTGCTCGTGTGCCCCCTGCAGTTATCCCCGCGTGCCCGTCCCTCCCCTGCAGTTATCCCAAGTGCCGGTGTGCCCCCTGCAGTTATCCCGCGTGCCCGTCCCTCCCCTGCAGTTATCCCGCGTGCCCATGTGCCCCCTGCAGTTATCCCGCGTGCCCGTGTGCCCCCTGCAGTTATCCCGAGTGCCGGTGTGCCCCCTGCAGTTATCCCGCGTGCCCGTCCCTCCACTGCAGTTATCCCGCGTGCCCGTGTGCCCCCTGCAGTTATCCCGAGTGCCGGTGTGCCCCCTGCAGTTATCCCGCGTGCCCGTCCCTCCCCTGCAGTTATCCCGAGTGCCGGTGTGCCCCCTGCAGTTATCCCGCGTGCCCGTCCCTCCCTGCAGTTATCCCGCGTGCCCGTGTGCCCCCTGCAGTTATCCCGAGTGCCGGTGTGCCCCCTGCAGTTATCCCGCGTGCCCGTCCCTCCCCTGCAGTTATCCCGAGTGCCGGTGTGCCCCCTGCAGTTATCCCGCGTGCCCGTCCCTCCCCTGCAGTTATCCCGCGGTGCCCGTGTGCCCCCTGCAGTTATCCCGCGTGCCCGTCCCTCCCCTGCAGTTATCCCGCGTGCCCATGTGCCCCCTGCAGTTATCCCGCGTGCCCGTGTGCCCCCTGCAGTTATCCCGCGTGCCCCTCCCTCCCTGCAGTTATCCCGCGTGCCCGTCCCTCCCTGCAGTTATCCCGCGTGCCCCTCCCTCCCTGCAGTTATCCCGCGTGCCCGTGTGCCCCCTGCAGTTATCCCGCGTGCCCCTCCCTCCCTGCAGTTATCCCGCGTGCCCGTGTGCCCCCTGCAGTTATCCCGCGTGCCCCTCCCTCCCTGCAGTTATCCCGCGTGCCCGTCCCTCCCTGCAGTTATCCCGCGTGCCCCTCCCTCCCTGCAGTTATCCCGCGTGCCCGTCCCTCCCTGCAGTTATCCCGCGTGCCCGTCCCTGCAGTTATCCCGCGTGCCCGTCCCTCCCTGCAGTTATCCCGCGTGCCCGTCCCTCCCTGCAGTTATCCCGCGTGCCCGTCCCTCCCTGCAGTTATCCCGCGTGCCCGTCCCTCCCTGCAGTTATCCCGCGTGCCCGTCCCTCCCTGCAGTTATCCCGCGTGCCCGTCCCTCCCCTGCAGTTATCCCGCGTGCCCATGTGCCCCCTGCAGTTATCCCGCGTGCCCGTCCCTCCCTGCAGTTATCCCGCGTGCCCGTCCCTCCCTGCAGTTATCCCGCGTGCCCGTCCCTCCCTGCAGTTATCCCGCGTGCCCGTTCCTCCCTGCAGTTATCCCGCGTGCCTGTCCCTCCCTGCAGTTATCCCGCGTGCCCGTGTGCCCCCTGCAGTTATCTCGTGTGCCCCCTGCAGTTATCCCGCGTGCCCGTGTGCCCCCTGCAGTTATCCCGCGTGCCCGTGTGCCTCCTGCTGTTATCCCGCGTGCCCGTGTGCCCCCTGCAGTTATCCCGCGTGCCCGTGTGCCCCCTGCAGTTATCCCGCGTGCCCGTGTGCCCCCTGCAGTTATCCCGCGTGCCCGTGTGCCCCCTGCAGTTATCTCGTGTGCCCCCTGCAGTTATCCCGTGTGCCCCCTGCAGTTCATCCATGTGCCGTGCCCCCCTGCAGTAACCCCGTGGGCCCGTGTCCTCCTGCGTGACTGCAGGGCTGAGTCTGGAAGGCTCAGGTGCTGTCCCGGGACCCGCCCAGGCTTTGCACGTAGTCAGTGCAGGAGGAGTCTGGACAACCCAACAACACTCAGCAGAAACATGGCTCAGGGTCTTGGCAGAAGGGACGAGAGGAGGGTGGGTCCCGTCCAGCTCAGGCCTTCCCCGCAGCCCCTCCACGCCGTCAGTGAGCAGGTGGCCAGCGAACGGCCTGTGTGGCAGGGGAAGGCCTGCGGCGTGTGCCCAGCTGCACCCAGACGAGCATCGCCCTCACTGGGCCCTGGCTGCTGGAGCTGGGGCCACGGAGCAGGAGCGCGGAGGAGCCCGGAGAGAGGGACAGGAGACGGAGGGCGCCGGGCGTCCTGGGCAGGCTTGAGCGCAGTCATCAACTGGCCAGGAGCAGCCCACAACTGCCCCTGTTCTGTCCTTGGCTCCTGGGCCAGCTTCTCTGCCCCTGTCACACGGCCTCAACCCTGCCACCAGCGCCACTGGGCAGCGGCACTTCCTGCCACACGTCCTGGCCCAGGGCAGTTTGTCGGGTTGGCTCAAACACACGGACACTCGCTCTTGGCTTCAGAGGTCGAGAATCCACTTGTTCCCAAAATGTCACCTGAGGGCTGTCCAGTCACATCACCAGAGCTCGCTGGGCACTGAGGACTCGGCAGTGCGGGGTCTGCGCAGAGGGGACTCAGCGGGGACCGGCTGTGCCGGGGCGCTGGGGGAGACCACGTTCTCACCTCCACACGCACGCCATCTCCCTGACTGGGGGAGACCACGCTCTCACCTCCACACGCACGCCATCTCCCTGACTGGGGGAGACCACGCTCTCACCCCCACGTGCACGCCATCTCCCTGACTGGGGCTGCCTCCTCCCTCCCTCCTGTGGCGCCGAGGACACATGAAAGACCCGCATCTACGATCCTTTCCCAGGCTTCTCGCTGCGGAAACGCTTCCCTCAGCTGTGACGAGGTCGCAGGTGACCTCATGTTTGCACTAGATGTGTCTCCAACTGTTAAGTGAGCTAGTGCTTCAGCAGAAGGGTTGTGTCAGCTTCGGAGTGCCGTGTGCCGTTCCTGTCAGACTGGACAGGGCGGTCGCCGTGTGCACGCTCCCTGCGCGGAAGTGCTGCACGCCGGTGCGCCTGCCGAGTCCCACCGCTAGCTGGCGTGTCTGCGGCGGCATCTCTGCCGTTCCCAAAGGTCAGCCTCCGGGCGTGGACTCTGGCACGTGCCACACTCACGAGGGCCGTTTCGCTCGCTCAGAGCTGGGCAGGCTCGCCGGGCCTCGCTGTGTGCTCGGGCAGGTGTGTGTCGCAGCCCCGCCCGACCGCTGCTGTCCTCAGTCCAGGGGACACAGCACTAGGGGAGCACTGTCCATACTCCACTGTGTCCTTGGAGGGTGACTTTGGGCTTCTTCTTTCAGATTCGTTCTCTCCGGAGTACATGGAGGAGAAATCGTTCTTCTGCCGTGTCAGGTGAGCCGGCTACTGGCTTCCCTGAAGCTGAAATGGCCCAACCATTGCACCCTGAGCATCTCGTGGGGAGTGGAGGAGGCCCAGGGACTCCCCCAACCCCTGCTCCCTTGAAGCGGGCAGGGCCCGAGCCTCCCTGCACCTGGTCTCCGGGGCCAGGGGCCACACAGCGCTCGTGACCCTGAACAGCGGGTGGAGACGCTGGTCAGAGCTGCACTGTAAATGCGCTCAGGCTTGAGTCTTCACCGAGCCGGTCAGCCCGCGCAGCCTGGGAACGGGCCAGGGCCTCCCCTGGGAAGGCTCGTATCATAGGGACCCCGAGGAGCCCGAAAGTACGTGCAGCCTTTGGTTCAGGAGTGCCGTCTCCCCGGGAGAGCCCGGAGCCCTCCCAGGGCCTTAGCCTGAAACAGCTGCTGGCTGAGCACCCCGCTCAGTGTCAGGAGTGACCCCTGGCCAGACAGCGGTGCCCTCAGAAGCTGGACGGGGACCCCACTGTTGGAGCGGCCTCCCTTTCCCCAGTTAAAATGCAAACTGTTAGGCTCAAAAGATCTCTCACTGCTCAGGGCTGGTGACTGTGACTTACCCTGTAATGTCACCAGAAATCGGAGGGGACAGAGGAGCCAGGGGTGGGCCCAGCCTGTCCAGCTCTGCTCAACGGGGAGGAGGGGCATCTGCACAACAGATGAAGGGATTGCTGAGCTGACGGCCAGCTGCGGGCGGGGAGCCGACGGGAGGGACGGTCCTCTGTCATGGCTCTGCCCTCTGATGGCGCCCTCCTCCCCAGTGTCGGGAAGAACGCCGAGAACGAGGTCCGCTACCACCCGTTCCGCATGACACCTTACCTGGTCAAGGTGCGGGAGCAGCAGGGCGCCGAGAGCCAGCTGTGCTGCGTGCTGCTGGCCGAGAGGGTGCACTCCGGCTACGAAGGTAACGGCCGGCCGCCCCGGACCCCGGGCCCCTCGGTCACTCCCCGAGTCAGACAGGACGTCTGTGAGGTGGACTCCAGCCCAGCTCCCCAGGCCTGGGCAGCCCCCATGGCCCTCCCGGAGCCTGCCGCCACCTCCCCACATAGTGCGAGGGTCTGTGTGCTGACATCTCTCGCCCATGTCCAGGCCGTCACTGTGACCGTGGGTGCCCCTTCTCCAGCCGCTGCCTCCTGCCCATGCAGTGAGAACAGCCCTGACCGGTCTGGGCCCGCCCTCCCACCCTTGAGCTCGCCCAGGCCTCGGGCCCCGTCCTGTTTCATCGTGGGTATGACCTTCCCGGTGGCTGATGATGCCTCTCTAGCAGAACATTTTCCTGAACGGTAGGAATGTGTCAGGTGTGGCTTTCTCCCAGACATTCAGTGGCTCCTGCACATCGAGCATTCAGATGTCCCGTAGACCTGAAAGGTCACTGAGATCTCAGCAGCGGATTCCCCAAATGCTCAGTCTCCTGCGAGAACGAAACATTTGGAATTTTGAATGTTTTGTCCATTGATTTGGTTAGGGTTGCTTTTTTTTAGTATTTTTTCTTTATTGAGTTTAGCGAGAGAGGAAGGAAGAAAGAGAGATAGAAACATCAATGAGAGAGAACACTGACTGGCCGCCTCCTGCATGCCCCACACTGGGGATCGGGCCCACAACCTGGGCATGTGCCCTGACTGGGAATTAAACTGGCAACCTCCTGGTGCAGGGTTGACGCTCAACCACTGAGCCACACCGGCCGGGCTTGTCCCTGAATTTGGAAGTTGAGGAAAGTTCTGGATATATGACTTCCTTTATACAAATTACCTTTGCCAACCTTAGAAACTGAAGTCCCAACATAGTGACGTTTGCTGACAATTTTCAATCCATATTCTTCACTCTTCCTTTTCATTCTTTCTTTTTTTTTTTTTTTTTTGGTTAATCCTCACCTGAGGATATTTACCCATTAATTTTTAGATAGAGTGGGAGGGGGAGAGAGAGAAACATCGATGTGAGAGAGACACATCGATTGGTTACCTCCCTCATGACCCCCTCCAGGGCCAGGGATCAAACCTGCAACCCAGGTACATGCCCTTGACCGGGAATTGAACCCTCAACCCTTCGGTCTGTGGGCCGATGCTCTAACTGCTGAGCCAAACCAGCCGGGACTCTTCACTCATTTTTAAAAAAGAATTTTTTCAGCTCATTTTGTTGGATCTTAAAACTGGGAAAATGGCCCCTGCAACAGGGGTGTCTGCAGAGCCTGCACGTAGCACGCGGTTCTGTAAGCGGTCGGGGCTTCGGGACAGGGACTGCCCAGGGAGAGGCCGGGCAGCTGGCGGGGCCCGCGTTCAGCCCGTCACTGTGAGCGGCCATCCTGGCTTCGGGACGGGACTGCCCAGGGAGAGGCCGGGCAGCTGGCGGGGCCCGCGTTCAGCCCGTCACTGTGAGCGGCCATCCCGGCTTCGGGACGGGACTGCCCAGGGAGAGGCCGGGCAGCTGGCGGGGCCCGCGTTCAGCCCGTCACTGTGAGCGGCCATCCCGGCTTCGGGACGGGGACTGCCCAGGGAGAGGCCGGGCAGCTGGCGGGGCCCGCGTTCAGCCCGTCACTGTGAGCGGCCATCCCGGCTTCGGGACGGGACTGCCCAGGGAGAGGCCGGGCAGCTGGCGGGGCCCACGTGCAGCCCGTCACTGTGAGCGGCCATCCCGGCTTCGGGACGGGACTGCCCAGGGAGAGGCCGGGCAGCTGGCGGGGCCCGCGTTCAGCCCGTCACTGTGAGCGGCCATCCCGGCTTCGGGACGGGACTGCCCAGGGAGAGGCCGGGCAGCTGGCGGGGCCCGCGTTCAGCCCACCACTCGGAGGCACGCGGTTTTCTAGTAGTTGCCATGTAACAACAGAACGTGTGCGTTTCTCAGAATCAGGCATTTGAGCAAACTTCTGTTCTTTCAGCTCCTAGAATTCCTCCAGAAAAGAGAATTTTTACGACCACACATACACCCAATTGTTTGTTCCAGGACGTGGACGAAAGGTAAGCCCCCTGGCGCCGTCCCACTGCCCACGCATGCTTTGTGCTCACGCTGGCCTCAGGACCGTGCTGCGTCCTCAAGCCTGCGGGCTTCCTCGCCAGACATTAGTGTCTTGCGTCCCCTTGGTGGGACTTCATGGCTAAGGGGAGCTTGGTGAGCGTCCGTGGCGCTGCCACTGAGGCTGTCGGGGTGAAGCTGAGCCCGCGCATCGCGAGCGGTGGCCCACACAGCACTAGAGGAGCTGCAGGCAACGCGGCAGCCGAGCAGCTGTGCGAGCGCCTCCTGCGGGCTGTGGGTGGTGGTCGGGGGCTGGCAGCCTCTCTAGCTGAGCCTGTGTTTAGCTCGTTTCCGAATGGGACATGGAGGAGCACCGGTGCGAGTGGGGCACTGCACCTGGGGTGAGCTGCACACGCCGTGGGCCGGGTCCCAGCACAAGTGGCCTGCCAGCCTGCAAGGCCCCTGCACCCTCTGCCCAGAGCCCATTCCTGGCGTCCAGCCAGGATGCTGCAGCTGCAGGGAGCGCTGATGCCTTCTGGGTTCTGGGTTCACTGGCGTGGGGCCAGGGCCTGGCGTGCCCCCCAGCTCCTCCCACAGACGCACGAAGGCAGACGATGTTCCAGGCTGCCGGCAGTGGTCCGGGAGAAGTCTGCTCAGAAGACGCAGGGGAAGTGGACTGAGAAGCGTTAGCACGCTGAGCTCTCTGAACTGGCCGAGGTCGCTTCCACCCACGGGATCGGGGTCGGGTCCTCCCCACTGCCTGCCAGGGACCAGCAGCCCCAGCTGCAGGCTGCTCAGGTGCATGCCGCTGCCCACCTGTGGTAGGATGGCCCAGAAGGCTTCAGGGGGAAGGTTCCTGGGCCCCACTGTCCAGCCCAACCAGGATCCTGGAGGGCAGGGCCTGGGAGCTGCATCTGTGAGGCAACCCTGGGAAAATGTTTATTTCTCCAAAAATCTAAGAACTCTTGTCTGCACACAGGAGTCTACTCTCATGGGCAGGAGGGTCGGTGAGCAGGTGCACGCGGCTGCACAGCCTTCCTTAGCAAGGCTGCCCCTCTGCCCTCCTCTTCCCCTTCCTCCTCCTCCTCTCCCCCGCCTCCCTCCTGGCCAGGCCTGGAGCTGGGAGGACGCCAGGAACATTCTGTACATCCGGCCAAAGGAAAACACAGGCCCGGGAGAGTTCCACACCACGGGAGCGGGGAGGCCTCCCTCTGAGACCCGAAGGAGAATGTCCTTCCACACGCAGGAGAGTTTCGAAAACATCTGTGTGGATGCAAGAGCGCTGGCCCGAGGAGAAGGCTGGGGTGCAGCTCGGAGGGGGGCAGGACACAGCAAGGCAGGACTCTGGGGATTTTTTTTTTATCTTCACCCGAGGACATTTGTCCATTTTTGTTTAGATAGAGCGGGAGGGAGAGAGAGGGAGAGAAACATCGAGTGGCTGCCTCCCGCACGACCCCAACCAGGGCCGGGTACGAATCACAAACGAGGTACGTGCCCTTGGCCAGAATCGAACCTGCGACTCATTGGTCCTCGGGCCGACGCTCTGACCGCTGAGCCAAACTGGCCAGGGCAACTCTGGGGATTTTGACATAAAACATTTCTCAGAAAACTAACAGCTCCTCCGAGAAGACCAGTGGGCACAGAGGGCGGGTCCCCCAGCAGTAGTAAGTGGGGCAGACACGGTGGCTGAGATGACGGCAGGAAAACCGCCTGAGCTGGAAAGGTGAGCAGACGGCGTCAAGGTGCAGGAGAACCTGCTTCAGAGAAGTCCAGGGCAGGCGCATCTGACCAGACAGCTGAAGTAGAAAAGAAAGAGATCTTCAGAGAAGAAAACGAAGACCATCCTCACGATGGACTCCCTCAGGAAATAGGGCACAGAGTCAAGCACTCAGCTTACGACGGGCAGGACCTCGCAGGGCCTGGTTTGTGTTACAGACCAGTGGGGATGCCGTCATCTTTTCCTGATGAATTGATTGAAAGACTTTGTCTCTTTCCCTGTGGGTGGATGGACGGTTTGGGAGCTGGTCTGCTGCCCTGTCTGGAGGCTGCACTGTGGGGTGTGTCCCCAAGCCCAGCTGTAGCAGTGACCTTGTGTGTGCTTGCCTTGCAGAGCCGTCCCCCTCCTGGGCTACCTGCCTCAGGACCTGATCGAGACCCCCGTGCTCCTGCAGCTTCACCCCAGCGACAGGCCCCTGATGTTCGCCATCCACAAGAAGAGTAGGTCCCTTCTCATAAACCCTAAAGGCTTTGACAGAAGCTGGTCTGTGCATGGGCGTCTCCCGAGGTCAGCACCCAGCAGCAGCGGTTCAGACGGCTTGTGTTGTGCAGCTGATGGGTGCCCACCTCCTGCCCAAGTCCTGGCACTGCCAGTGGGTTTCTTTGTGGCTCGTGGCCTGAGTGACATCTCGTTCTTCCTGTTGGCATCCCAGGCAGGTGGGAGGAGGGGCACAGGCTGTGCTGCGGTGGGGAGGTAGTGGCCAGGCCGAGTCGCAGCCGACACGTGCACCCCCGCCAGGCCTCACAGACACGAGCTACGGAGCTGTGTGTCCTGAGCACGGCGATGCCGCCGGAGCAACCATTCATTGTGGTTGAAAGCCAAGCGGCTGAGCCGCAGCGTAGAACAGGCGTTGGCCCCTTAAGTTCCCAGGGAGCTGCAGACTCAAGGCAACCCGGCTCTCTCTCCTCTCCTGCGAGCTGAGCCTGCTTTCTCTCCTAGTCATGCAGTCCGGAGGGCAACCCTTCGACTACTCGCCCCTTCGGTTCCGCACCCAGAATGGGGAGTATGTCACACTGGACACCAGCTGGTCCAGCTTCATCAACCCCTGGAGCAGGAAGATCTCCTTCATCATCGGGCGACACAGAGTCCGAGTGTGAGTGCCCCCAGGGCCCTGGCCACTCCCGTGGGGCCTGGCTCCTGCCCCCAGCACGAGGCCCTTGTTCACAGAGCTGTGAGGGGCGGAGGGGTGCTGAGCAGGCAGGCTGCAGCCTGGGCTGCAGGAGGAAGCGGCCTGCAGGGGTGAGCAGCGCCGCCCCGCTGACATGTGAATGTCGTGCAGGGGCCCTCTGAATGAGGACGTGTTCACACCGCCATGCGCAGAGGAGCAGGCCCTGCACCCCAGCATTCAGGAGCTCACGGAGCAGATCCACCGGCTGCTGCTGCAGGTGGGTGCCCACCTGCTGACCGCCCGCACCGTGGAGGCAGGCTGAACGCTGCCCGAGCCCCGGTCCCATCCTCCCAACGCCTCTGCCCTGCACCCTGGTGCCTGTGCCCTCTCCCACTGTGTGGGTGGTGTGGGCAGTCTGCCCGCCCAGCTGTCGGGCACACCTGCTGCTTGCCCAGTTTGGGGCAGCCCCAGCTTTGCACTCCTGATGTGTCTGTCTCCCACCTGCTGCTCTGGGCTCACGCTAAAGGATGATGGACCCACACCCCTGTCCCCAGCTCAGCCCCCAAGTCCTGGGTACTGACCCCATGTGTGCCTTCCCACATGGAGACGGGGTCACTGCAATCCAGGATGCTGCTCTGGCCCCGGGAGGGACTGAGGACACATACCCCCGTTCTTGGGGACGTGATACTGGAGAAAATCCACCATGAGCACGGTGACCCCGTGGCTGAGCAGCTCCCTGCCCCCTGGTCAGCCAACTGTGGCGAAGCTAGTGTGCCATTTTCTAAATGCCCTTGACAGAATGGCCCCGTGTGAGCAGAGGGGGAGGTTGAATGAAGCCCCTCTTAGTGGGGTCTCCCCAGGGATTGGGATCGGGGACCTGTGCTGCGGGTGGAGGCTGAGGGCCCACTGCAGCCTGGCTCTGGTACACAATCAGCACCACTCGTCCTTGCCCAGTGGCCCAGGGTCCTTCCGAAGGACCAACCCACATGCCAGCTGTGCCTCCCCAGCCCTGTGCCAGGCCTCCTGTCTGCTCTCTCCCCAGCCCGTCCCCCACAGCGGCTCCAGCGGCTACGGGAGCCTGGGCAGCAATGGGTCCCACGAACACCTCATGAGCCAGACCTCCTCCAGCGACAGCAATGGCCACGAGGACGCCCGCCGGAGGAGAGCCGTAGGTCCCTGTCCCTGCCCCTGGGGACCTGTCTGTGGGCAGGGGGGCGTCACCAGCCATGTTCAGACAGCGCTCGCTGGTTCGAGTCTCGGCTGCCTCTGGCTGCTCTACAAACTGCTCACGGGGACTTGCTGTATCACCTCTCAGTAGTCGAAGCAGCTGGTCCTGGAGGCCACCCCAGACACCGAAAGCCGGGGCTCGGTCCCTGATCGCGGTGCATGCGGGAGGCAACCAGCAACGTGAGATCTTGCTCACGCCAGTGTTTCTCTCTCTCCCTCTCCCTTCCTCTTTCTAAAATCAATAAAAACATATCCTCGGCCCTGGCCGGTTTGGCTCAGCGGTTAGAGCGTCGGCCTGTGGTCCTGAGAGACCTGGGTTCGGTTCCCGCTAAGGGCATGTACCTCGGTTGCAGTTTGTCCCCGGCCCTGGTCGGTCGTGCGGGTGGCAGCCACTCGATGTGTCCCTTTCACATCGATGTTTCTCTCTCTCTCTCCCTCCCACTCTACCTGAACAAAAAATGGAAAAATGTCCTCGGGTGAGGATAAAAAATAAAAAAAACATATCCTCGGGTGAGGGTCAAAAAACAAAAAGTTGAAGCAGCTAAAACCAGTTAAAATCTTGGATGAGGGCTTTAAAGCAGGGCGGTCCGGCCAGAGGGCTGGCCCACTGCAGGGAGAAGGGAGAGCGTCCGCCTGCCGCGCACCTGCTCCTGATTCTGAGTCGCAGGGTCTGTCCGCTCTGCTGCGCCTCGGACCCTCGCCCAGAGCCTCCTCCTGGCGGGGTCACTCTGCCCTCTCCCTCCGCAGTGGGGCTGAAGGACTGGCTGGTCTCCGATGGAGAATACAGTGTTCGTTTTGTTTTTCTTCAAGGAAACTTCTAAAAATGGCAACAAGATCAAAACCGAAAGTCATTATTCTGATGAATCTGAAGAACAGAAGAAAAAGTCTGCTACAGGTAAGAAACATTACTCGCCATTTCCTTAGTACGAACGTGGCCTGGTTTTCTGCCTTCATCTGAGTGTGGGTGGTGGGGAATTTACCTTTTAAACGTGTGCACAACCCCCGCCCGTCCAGCCCGCAGCGGGACCTTCGCCTGCAGAGTGGCCGTGGCCATGTGCTCACACCAACCCGAGCGTGCACACATGCTCCGGCCAGGGCCCATGCCCAGCTGTCCTGCAAACACCCAGATCCAACCCTGTCCGAAGTGGCTTTGCTCCTGGGCCACCTTCTCACCAGGGCCCACCAGCATGGGTCTGCCAGCCCCCCCCACGTCAGGACTTCACACGCCACGCGTGGGCTCCTGCTCAGGCACACACGCTTGCCCCGGCATCTGCCCCTGCGGGGCTCTCACTCATCCTTTGTGCTCAGGCTGCGCCTCTTCCAAGAAGCCCCTGTAGGGCACCTGGGGCCAGAGCTCTCCTGGCAGGATCCTTGGCCCACGGGACACATAGTCGCGCACTTCCTTCTGCCTTTGTGCTGGGCGATGGCGACGAACCAATGAGCAGGCCCCACTCTGCCCTTGAGGCCCCAGGGAACGGTGCAGTGCGTGTGGTGCGGCAGGAGCAGGAGTGTCCACGGCAGGCTGCCCTGGAGGCGCCGGCATTGCTGCTGCCAGGGGCGGTCATGTGCGAAAAGAAGGCACCTTCCAGGAGGCGGACATGCTGATTGACCGTAAAGCACCTGGGATCCTATTGGCCCCAAAGTTCTAGGTGTTCAAAAAGAACTGGCCTCTGCCACTGCTGAGTCCCTGACCCTTGGGACAGCCCAAACCAAGTGCCACTGAGCCCGGACCCGGTCAACAACACCCTGCGGGCTCCGTCCTCAGACGGCACAGTGGCCCCTGCCCAGCAGGGCTGCCTGAATGTCAGGCTGACTCCGGGTTTCGGTGTCTGTGGCCCATGTTCTGAGCCCCCAGCCTTATCTTGAAGTAGAAACACAGAGAGTGTATTCTTAGGAAAACAAGAATTAACGGAAAGCAACTTTGCCATTCTTTCAGAAACGCGAAGTGGTTCCCCCATGCAGGTGACAGCCGTCCAGGCGGCAGGGGACAGCTCCGGCGCCAGCCCGCCCGCAGCCACCTTTCCGGAGGAGCTGGCCTGCAGGAACCAGCCGGTCGGCTCCTACCAGCAGATCAGCTGCCTGGACAGTGTCATCAGGTCCGGAAGCCACCCACCTCCCCACGCGGTGCTCGCCGCTCTGGGCGTGGGCCTCATCACGTGAGCCGCGTGCGATCCTCCTCACAGGTACCTGGAGAGCTGCAGCGAGGCCGCCACCCTGAAGAGGAAGTGCGAATTCCCCGTGAGCGCCTCTGTGCAGAAGGCCAGCGACAAGCGGAAGGCCACAGGCAGCCCCAGGCCACCTCCTGCAGGTATTGTGTTCGGGCTGTGAAATGGGTGGTCACTCAGAGGTTGAGGTCGGGCATCATTGGAGAGCCTGGAGCCCCCTTCTTCCCTCCCGTGGGAGTTCTGAGTGGCTTCGGTGACACAGGATGTGGGTGTAGGCTCTTTTTAAAATGACCAGAGTGCCCTGGCCAGTTTGGCTCAGCAGTTAGTGCGTCGGCCTGCGGTCCAGAGAGACCCGGGTTCGGGTGGCCCCTCCCCACAGCCTGCCAGGGGCTGGGCTCCCAGCAGAGGCCCCTGACCCGAGCCCTCTGAGCTGTCCTGCCACCTGCCCGTTTCAGACAAGCCAGGACTTGAGAGTGGGATTAGTCCCATTTCAGAATGTCCTCTCTCCACGTCACGTCCCCTGGGGATGAACACCTGAGGACAGTCTCCCATGCCAGGCGTGTGCAGACTGTGCGGTCACTTGGGCATCGGACCCAGCAGACAGTGCTGCTTCTGATCCATTTGCTTGTTGCATGTTTGTGTTCTCTCCCCTTGACTCTCACAGAGGCAGCGGTGCCCTCTGGAGGGAGCACGCGTGCTGACATCCACGCGCGCCTGGCCTCGCTGACGCTGCCCGGCAAGGCGGAGAGCGTGGTGTCCCTCACCAGCCAGTGCAGCTACAGCAGCACCATTGTGCACGTGGGCGACAAGAAGCCGCAGCCCGAGCCAGGTACGCGGTCGGCTCCTGCGTGGTGCTGGGAGCGATCGGAGCTCACAGACAGAAGTGAGCCCTGGCTGCTGTGCTCAGCGGTTAGAGTGCCGGCCCTCAGACCAAAGAGTCATGGGTTCGAGTCTTGGTCAAGGGCGTGTACCTCAGTTGTGGGTTCCATCCCTGGCACCAATCAGGGTCATGCAGGAGGCAACCAGTCGATGTGTCTCACATTGATGCTTCTCTCCCTCCCACTCTCTCTAAAAAAGTTAATGGGAAAATATCCTCAGGTGAGGATTTAAAAAGAAAAAACAGAAGTTTTGACTGCCATCTTAAGTTTTCCTTTTAAGTTTACATAAGTGCAGAAGAACCCACACAGCCCCATAAGGGTCTGGGAAGCCCAGACACGGGACCCACCCAGTCCTGATTCCTGCTGTGCTCTGGCGCCACCTGCTGGCAGTTGTCTGCTCAGGCGTGAATACAGGTGGGGCCTCCCAGGGCTGAGCAGGGACCCCAGGAACCTGGGCCTTGGGTCCTGCACCCTGCTTCCCCTGCCGGGCCTCACCCTTCCCTTCAGGGTCCCTGATTCCCTGTTTGAAGGCAGGAAGGAGCCACTACGGGTCTGAACAACAGTACAGCCAAGGGTGGCATCTCCGTGTTCTCCAGAACCTCTCTCAGTACAGTCCTGAGTTTGTTCTGCCTGGAAGAGGGAGTGACGAGGGAAAGAGACACGTCAGAGTGGGTGTCCAGAGCCCCTTCCAGGACCTCCATGCATCCACCTGCCCCGTCCTGTCTGCCCCAGTTCCACTGATCCCGGCTGTCACGCCCTTGGTCCTGAACCAGGACGGCGCCCAGCAGATGCAGTGTGTGGTGCTCTGAGAGCTGATGACACCAGGGGTACCCCCGGCAGAGGCTGGCCCCGGAGCCTGGGGCGTGGGTCTGCATCACTGCTGGCTGCCCTTTACTGTGAACTCCCTCAGGGGCGACAGGTGGTCATGACTTCACCTCCAGATGGGGTGTCGCGTAGTGTCTCTCAGGGCAGTGATCTGTGGGGCTTGTCTGTTCTAAAGATGGGGCCCTTGCAGATGGGAGGTCTGCGTTTCTCTCACAGAGACGGCGGAAGACCCTGCGAGCGGGGCCGAGTCCCTGGACTGCCTCGTGGGCCCCGCGCTGCCCTGTGGCCTCGGCCAGGACCAGGAGCCCTTCAGGAGGCTGGGCCTCACCAAGGAGGTGCTGGCCGCCCACACCCAGAAGGAGGAGCAGAGCTTCCTGCTGAAGCTCAAGGAGCCGAGGCGCGGCGCCCTGCAGTCTCGCTGCCGCCTCCTGTTCCGGGAGCGGCCCCGGGGGCGGCCAGGCGGAACAGGTGGGTGGACGCCTGCGGGTGCTGCGTTCAGACGCTTCCCCACGGCTGAGCCCACAGAGCTTCCTCTGCTGTCATCCTCACCCAGGGTGTTTTTCCATTGGTTCTTAGATAGAGTGGGGGTGGGGGGGGACATTGATGTGAGAGAGACATTGATTGGTCGCCTCCCACACGAGCTGGGGGATTGAACCTACAGCCAAGGAACATGCCCTTTACCGGGAGTCGATCCCGAGACTCTGGTCCGAGGGCCGGCTCTAGCTGCTGAGCCAGAGCAGCTCTCAAAGTGCGAGCCCCAGTCCAGGACGCTGGGGCTGGAAGAGCTGGGGGCTTTCTGGGGACGCTCTGTTTGTGTGGGCTGCTCCTGAGGGCGTCGTCCCGTCCCCGGGGAACAGAGCTTGAGCAGGGTGACAGCCCCGGTGGATGGCGGTGGATGGCGGCGGGGCCGCTGCAGCCCCTCCTCAGATGGCTCCTGCCTGGGCGACTGACGGGCAGGGACCCCCGTCTGCCCACCCAGAGGGCTCTCGGGAACCCCGGCCTGCCACAGCCAACTCACCCCAAGGAGGGGCACGGCCCCTGCGGGAGAGGGAGCCGGGGCAGAGAGTGGATGCACCCTCCTGGCCGGGCTGGGGGCTGGGCCTCAGCCTCCACAGCCAGACAGAGGCTGCGGCTGCAGGAAGCCGTCCTTTAGGCTGATCCCCACCGGCTGGCTGGAGGGCAGGGATGGGGGAGAATAGACCAGCTTCTTCACCCCTTTTCTGGTCCAGGGGCCTGGCTCCTGACCCCCAGCCACCTTCCCAGGCCCCATGGACGGGGCTGGGCCGATCAGAGATGCCACCGTTTCCCTGGCTCCCAGGGCCTGGCCCAGGGCAGAGGTGCAAGCCCAGGAGACACGCAGCACAGGGCCTGGCTCTCCGGCTCTCAGGGCAGCACAGGGAAGTGAATATCTGCGAGTTGAGAGAGGCCGATGCCCTCCATACAGATGTCTTTTCCGCTCTTCCTTTTCTTCTTCTTCCCCAGACCCAGCGTTACTGCCAGGCCCTAGGGAACCTCTGGAAATGACAAAAAGGTGTCCTCCCCAACCCTGGGAAGACCCACCCAGTGGCCCTGGCTTGGCACAGAGTTGCAGCTCCCGACCCCTTGGCCGGCAGTCTGTGCGCTGACCCAGCGTGCACAGTGGCCTGCCCAGCCCGACGCGTCCCAGGAGCCCACGGCTCTCACCACTAGTCCCACCAAGGGAGACTTCCTACGGGAAGGACACCTGCCAGTCTGAATCATAAGACCTCCACCCTCTTAGCAGTTTGCCTCCAGCATGTAGCAAAGGTGTGGAACCCCCTTGGCACCGCTGCCAGGTGTCCCCACACACCTGCTGCAACAGCTCCGAGTCACCCTACGCGCCCTGAAAGGAAAACCTGAGGTTCCTCGACCCATCCCACCCAGGCTTGGCATGACCCCCAGCCCATAGCACTCCAGTGCTGGCCCATGCCCGGGAGGCGTGGGGACATGCCCCGAGTCCCTTCTCTTACCCGTCGAGTCCCTCCAGTCTCCTTGGGAAGCTCACCTCAGTCACTTGTCATCAGAGAAGACTGGTTCCAAGGGCATGTGCTCCTTCCCACCCTTTGACTGGCACGCGAGACTCGCTGGTGGAGCGGAAGCATCTCTTTAAGGACCAGTAGTAAAGCTCATGTAATGAAAAAAGTCAGCTTATATGACATCAGATTTCACAAACCAATATTGGGGAACAGTGTAGAATTGCCAGCTTTTTTTCTTTTTTTGGACGAATAAGGCCTTTTTAATACTACTTATCACACCATTATTTCATAAAAGAAAAGACATTTTAATGCCGTAAGAAAACAAGAAATGTGCCCTGGCCGGTTTGCTCAGCGGTTAGAGCATCGGCCCGTGGACCAAGGAGTCTCGAGTTCTATTCCAATCCAGGGCACGGGCCTCGGTTGCGGTTCATTCCTGGCCCTGGTCAGGTCGTGCGGAGGCAGCCAGTCAATGTGGCTCTGTCACATCGATGTTTCTCTCTTGCTCTCTCCTCCTTCCCACTCTATCTGATAATAAGTAGAAAAATATCCTTAGGTGAAGAATTTAAAAAAATTTTTTTAAAAAGAAATGTGTTCTTGCTATTGAGAATGGTTCTTTGGCCCCAGCAGGTGTGGCTCAGTGGTTGAGTGTGGTCCCACGCACCCAAGGGCTGCCGGTTCCATTCCCGGTCAGGGCACATGCCTGGGCTGTGGGTTCGATCCCAGTCAGGGAGCGTGTGGGAGGCAACTGATCGATGTTTTTCTCTGACATCAATGTTTCTCACTCTCTCTCCCTTCCTCTCTCTAAAAAAAGTAAATTAAACAAAAAACAGAATGTTCCCAGCCAGTGTGGCTCAGTGGATTGAGCCTTGTCCCCTGGACTGAGAGGTCCCAGTTCCATTCCCGGTCAGGGCACAGGCCCGAGTTGCAGGCTTGATCCCCAGTAGGGGGCGTGCAGGAGGTGGCCGATTGATGTTTCTCTCTCTGTCTCCCTAGAAAAAATCAATAAGAACATACAAAAACAAGAATGGTCCTTTAGCCCTGGCCGGTTTGGCTCAGCGGTTAGAGCGTCGGCCTGCGGTCCTGAGAGACCCGGGTTCGGTTCCCGCTAAGGGCATGTACCTCGGTTGCTGTTTGTCCCTGGCCCTGGTTGGTCGTGCGGGTGGCAGCCACTCGATGTGTCCCTTTCACGTCGATGTTTCTCTCTCTCTCTCTTCCTCTCTCTCCCTCCCACTCTACCTGAAGAAAAAATGGAAAAATGTCCTCGGGTGAGGATAAAAAAAAAGAATGGTCCTTTAAGTTAACTGAATTTAGTTTCATAAAACTTAACGTTTTGCCTACTTTTCTCACTGCACCGAGGATCAGGGAGACCTAGGGTGTTCCCGGCGGTCCTCAGCTGACGTGTGGGGACATGGCACTGTTGAGCTAGGAGGTGCCTCAAGTTTCTGAGATTCTACGTCTCGGAGAATTGACATAACGGGAATCGTAAACTCTTACATTTTCTGCTCTGGTGGTTTTCCCGTCGTAGCCGCTCCTGGACTGCGATGCGCCTCTGGAATAGAGGCCTCTTGGAAGAAGACTGGGAGGAACAGGAAACTGAAGTCCAGACGGGTCAAGCCCCTGGACTCCTCCGAGAGCACTGGGTCTGGAGGGTCCGTGCCCCACCGGCGCCCCCTGGTGGGCCTGAACACCACCGCCTGGTCACCATCAGACACGTCCCAGTCCAGCTGCCCTGCGATGCCCTTCCCTGCCACCCTGCCAGCGTACTCCCTGCCTGTGCTCCCGGCCCCCGCGATTGTGCCAGCGCCAGGGGCCGTGGCAGCAGCACCCATGGAGCCCCACGCCAGCTTCACGGTGCCTGCTGTGCCCATGGACGCCCAGCACGAGTTTGCCTTCCAGCCCCCGCCGTTCACAGCGGCCCTGGCCCCCGTCGTGGCCTTAGTGTTACCCAGCTATCCCTTCCCTCCTGTGATCCCGAACCTGCCGACGGCCTTCTTCCCCGGTCAGATGACCCCTGCGTCACAGCCCGAATCCCCTGGTCGGACCTCACCCCCCAGACAGCCAAGCACTTGTCCTCGGACAGAGCGTGGGCCACCGGCGTCACGTGGAGCCACCCCGGCCACCCCGCTGTCGGCCACCGGGCTGTCGGGCCGGGTCTCCCCACCACTTTTCCAGTCCCGAGGCAGCTCACCCCTGCAGCTCAACCTGCTCCAGCTGGAGGAGGCCCCTGAGGGCAGCGCCACAGCCGCAGGGGCCGGGCCGGACTGCAGACCTGGCGCACCCCCAGGCTGGCTGCCGAAGGCACCGCCCAGCGCAAGGATTCCCCGTGGCTCTCCCCCCGCAGCAGGTGGCCCCACAGCACCCACGGTAGGTCCTCATCTCGGACGCATTCACGTGCTGGAAATTAGTGTTCCAGTTAAACACCCATCAGAGTAGACGGGGCTTTTTATTGCCTTGGAGTCTGAATGAAGATTGATTCTCTGGTGGTAAGTGCAGGGTCCCAACAGTCCAGATGACTGTGACTTGCTGTCATGGGCCTTGAGATTTTGAGTGACAACTTTGAGGACACAGCACCGTGGGCTGAACGCCAGCACTGGGCCCTGGGAATGCAGCGGGGCTGTGACCCAGGGCCAGCCACCCTCCCCCTGCGCCTTCAGGCCGCTGGTGTGGTGCTGATTCTACCATAAACGCTCGTTTCCTGGGGGCTCTGCATCCTGGCAGCTCAGTGGGCAGTGGCCTGAGCTGTGCAGAGCCACCCGTAGGTGCTGCACAGAAGACGTGTGTGGGGCCCTGGAAACAGATCCGCCTCCCAGAGGGTTGGGGTGCTCCCAGGGTTGCCTCCACTCAGGGACGCAGGAGCGAGAAGCCAGAGCCCGGCCACCAAGGAGCAGCAGCCTTGGGGTGTGCGGTGGCATCTTCCTGCCCCCCTGTCTGCTGTGGAGGAGGAACAGACCCCCGGGACCTGAGAACCGCCATCTTCCCTGGACTCTCCCACGCCAGTGGGAGGAGATGGCGTTCACGGACCACCGAGGCTCCCAGAGCGAGGGCCGCTGGTCTGGCACATGCAGGCAGTGTCTGCGGAGCGTGCTCCCCGTGTCCCTGCGTGGCTGTGTGCAGACAGGCGCTCTGGGAGCTGGGGCCTGACTGGTGTTTCTGTTCCCAAAGCGTGACGAGCCCTCAGATGCCCAGAACAGTGATGCCCTCTCCACGTCCAGCGACCTGCTCAACCTCTTGCTGCGTGAGGACCTCTGCTCGGCCACAGGGTCAGCCCAGTCTGGAAGCGGGGCCTCCGCCACCTCCGATTCCCTGGGCTCCAGCTCCCTGGGCTGTGACGCAACCAGGAGCGGCGCAGGTATGCTGGTGGCACCGGGTCTTCTGGTCCTGGGGTGGCTGCTGGGCTTCTGGTATGTTTGCAAGAGTCTCCTGTGAGGTACCGGGAGCTCCCACTGCTCCTGCACCGTGGGTCCAGCTGCCCCAGACACCCCACTGCTCCCAGCTGCCCCAGACACCCCACTGCTCCCAGCTGCACCAGACACCCCACTGCTCCCAGCTGCCCCAGACACCCCACTGCTCCCAGCTGCCCCAGGCACCCCACTGCTCCCAGCTGCCCCAGACACCCCACTGCTCCCAGCTGCCCCAGACACCCCACTGCTCCCAGCTGCCCCAGACACCCCACTGCTCCCAGCTGCCCCAGACACCCCACTGCTCCCAGCTGCCCCAGGCACCCCACTGCTCCCAGCTGCCCCAGGCACCCCACTGCTCCCAGCTGCCCCAGGCACCCCACTGCTCCCAGCTGCACCAGATACCCCACTGCTCCTGCACCGCGGGCCCAGCTGCCCCAGACACCCCACTGCTCCCAGCTGCCCCAGACACCCCACTGCTCCCAGCTGCACCAGACACCCCACTGCTCCTGCACCGCGGGCCCAGTTGCACCAGACACCCCACTGCTCCCAGCTGCCCCAGACACCCCACTGCTCCCAGCTGCACCAGACACCCCACTGCTCCTGCACCGCGGGCCCAGCTGCACCAGACACCCCACTGCTCCCAGCTGCACCACAGCCACTGGCCACACATGCTCTGCCCAGCACCAGGCGTGCAGCTGGCACTGAGCCCCCAGCAGTCGGACAGGCAGCAGGTGTTCTGCCCACCACTGGCGCACGTTCCGCAGGGCAAACTTGGTTAGTGGTCTGATCGCCACGGCTGTGTCTTTAAAGGCAGCAGTGACGTGAGTCACTCCAGCAAGTATTTCGGAAGCATCGACTCTTCGGATAACAGTCGCAAAGCAGAGGCCAAGAACAGGGAGGGGAGCGAGCACTTCATCAAGCACGTCCTCCAGGACCCCGTCTGGCTGCTGATGGCCGACACCGACGACAGTGTCATGATGACGTACCAGATGCCTGCCCGGTAATCACTCGCCTGGCCCCAGGGACACGGGTGGGCTGGGTGAAAGAGTCTTCAAACAAGGCCACCCGTCACAGGACTTCCCTCGAAGCCGTCTCAGGTTGAGTGGGAGCAGCAGATGGAAGCAAGTTCCCTCTAGGTGGTTCCCTGGGCCCGAGCCCCGCACTGTGGTGGCGCACCCGCCCTGCAGAGTGCCTTCCCTTGCCCCCCGGTCACCCTCCAGGGGGTCACACTACATGTTCCCAGAGCTCTCGTGCCAACTTCATCTTCCTCTGCTGCCCAGTCACCCTGGGGGTAGACGGGGGGGTGTCTTAGAGATGCAGAAACCAAGGGTCAAGGTGGGTGACCAGCCCGTGGCCACCAGCTGCTCTTTATTGACTCTGGGTCTGTACCCCAGGTGTGGCTCCGTGTCAGGCTGCTTCAAGGAACAGTCATGGTCCCTGCCCCTGTGGAGCCCCTTGGGGGGCAGCTGGGAGGAAGGGAGGGAGGAAGAGGAGGAGGGAGGATAGGAGGAAGGATTAAACCTGAGGTCAGGACAGCCAGGCCTCCATCTCCAAGGCCGCTTTCAGCCGGCCCAGCACTCTGCCCGCTGCCTCCTGGCGAGAGCCGCCCACTTCAATCACCCTGTGCAGAGCCAAGGTCTGCGGACACCCAGCTCCCACGTATGATCGAAAGTAAAAGTAAAGTCATGACTTGAGTTGTCATTTTCATAGGAAAACCACAGATTATTTACTAGCAATATTAAGTTACCCTGAACAGAGCCATCTATTTTAAATGAAAAGGAAGTTTGCATTAAACAAAACCATCTAAAATCCCATTGTGAATATGGAAAGGAAATGAGTATGTCTGTAAATGAGAAAAGGCTCGGCCGTCCTAACGCTGCCTCTTTCTGGCCGCACCGTGCAGGGATGTGGACGCGGTTCTGAAGGAGGACAGAGAGAAGCTGAGGCTGCTGCAGAAGCTGCAGCCCAGGTTCACCGAGCGGCAGAAGCAGGAGCTGCAGGAGGTGCACCCGTGGGTGCGGGCGGGCGGCCTGCCCGCGGCCCTTGACGTGGCGGTAAGCTCACGGAACTGCATTCCCGACAGCGCGTCGGGAGGCTGCCAATGTGGCTCGGGTTGGGCATCGGCCCACCCACCAAGAGGTCCCGGTTCGATTCCCCATCAGGGCACATGGCCAGGTGTGGGCTCGATCCCCAGAGGGGGCGTGCAGGAGGCGGCCAGTCGATGTTCTCTCTCATCGATGTTTCTCTCTCTCTCCATCTCCCTCTTTTTCTAAAATCAGTAAAGAAAAAAAATAAAATAAAAATGAATAAATAAAACTCCCAGACTCGTAGCTGATGAGAGAAAAGATGCCACCGTGCTGAGTCTTCCGCAAAGAGCTCGCTCCCTGTGGCTGCTCAGCAGCGTCCCCAGTGTCTTGTCGACATCTGTTCAGTCGTGCGCCGGAACCTGAACTTTTCCTTTCTTTCAATTCTGTTTTCTATTTAAAAAAAGGACACTTCTCCTCTCATAAATCCTCACTGTCAGGCCAGTCAGTCAGGGTAGGAATACTCAATTTCTGCTCTTGACGCCGTCCCCTCCAGCTGCCCTTCTGTCTCTGTCCCCAAGGTATGTCCGCACCCCAGCCTCTGCCCCACTCCCCCGAGGCCCCTTCTAGAGGCTGCTCCTGTCAGGCCTCAGTGTCCTCCAGCTGCTGATGTGCCCTCTCTGTGCCCGTCCTCCACAGCCCCGGCCTTAGCAGCCAGGACAACATTCCCCTGCGTCTCTCTCCCTTGGTACATTGTTGATATCCCGTTTCACAGATGAGAAAACTGAGGCTAGGCAACGACTCCAGGTCCCACGGGCAGGCCACCTCTCAGATCAGGGCCCAGAGTCCTCGGCCTTGGGGGCCCCTTGGGAGCAGGGCTGGCCCCATGCCAGAACAGGCGGGGCTCCCACAGCGGTGGCACCCTCCAGGCAGCTGGCCCTCGGCAGCCTCACAGCCAGCCCTGCTCACTGCCCGCCTCAGCTCTACCACATCTTCGGATGAAGCTCTCGTTTTGTTGTTCATTTCCTGTCTTTTCTCTCTAGGAATGTGTTTACTGTGAAAACAAGAGAAAAGGCAACTTTTGTATACCATATGAAGACGACAATCCACCCCTGGGACTCAGCGAAGCCACGGACACCACAGAAAAGGAACCCGGACCCCCCTGAGGCAGGAGAACGAAGGGCAGATGTGACTCCCGCCGGCCTGCCAGCCAGTGGCCCGCAGGAGGTGGTGATGGGAGGGCGACTCTGCATTGTTTCTGATGAACGGACAGATAGACTTCTGCTGTTTTCCGTTTGTTTGTCTGTTTGTCTGTTTGTTTGTTTGTTTGTTTTAGAAAAAGCATTGTTTTCTGAAGGAATGACTTGAAAGATTGGGAAGGATTGAGAAGAAATGCACTTCTATATTTATAACATAAATGTGGACTTTGGGGGACGGGGAAGAGCTTTCACTGTGATGTAACTCAAGAAAGACTGAATCCCCCTGTGTCAGTGTTAGGGAGGTTGCCTGAGCGTTCGCAGAAGTCCTTGGACCTCACTGAACCCCGTGGGGTGACCGAGGCTGTGACCAGGATGTGACCACGTGCGACTCCGGGCTGAGCTGAGGGCCGGCCTCTGGATCTTCTCCAGGGTGTTTGTGCAGATCAAATTCTGTCCTCTCTGGGGGCTGCTTTTTTCTAAATTATCATTTAGTCAAACTAGATGTTTTTAAAACATACCAAGTGGAAATTACATCCTCCTGATTTTCTTTGAAAATGTTTCACATTGAGCGTGAAGCAGACCAGCAGCTTTGGTTTCAGGCGGACGTCTACCGACCACGCTTGCGTTTGGAGGGAGCAGAGTTGAAGTGCCCTACTGGTCTGTGTGGGCAGCTCCATCAGGGTAACACGCACCCAGGCCCTTCGTGTTCTTCACTGGACACATCTGGACGTCAGTTCTGCCGCTGGAGCCGGTGGGACGGTGGCTGTGAGCTCACCCCTCCACCACACCAGCCCCGGGGCTCAGCCTCACCTCACTTGGTGCAGCCTCCAGTCTCTGCAGTGACCCCCCTTCCCACCCCCACCCCACCGGGACACTTGGGAAGAGGGAGGCCAGTCTGCCCAACTTTTTGCAAAACCTCATGTTGCCTCCTGTATCCCAAAGACTGCTTGGCCAAAATTGTCTTGGTCCCTGGAGGGAAGGAGAAGGCCCCACTCAAAGCATTGGACTTAGAATTGCACTGAGTGTGGGCACGGAAAGGGCGTGGTCCCTCCTTGCTCTGGGTGGAGAGGCGGCCCGGGAAGACAGGCTGCCACTGGTTTCACGGTAAACCTGTTCCCGAGTATCAGTCCCGTTTTTATGAACTCAAACACAAAACACTTTAACTTTTTTCCCTTAATTTCCAAAGTAGTATCACACCTTCAGGGGCCCAAGCTGAGGGTGTGGTCTGCCCCTCCGGGGAATCCGATGTTCCAGGCTGCTTCTGGCCTCCTGAGGCAGGTGGCGAAGGCCTGCACGTGTCACCTGCACGCAGACTGCCAGAGCCTCCGCGGGCGTCGTGTCGCCCAGCACGTGCCGGGCCGGGCCAGGCGGCCCGCGGAGGAGCCGCAGGAGCAGGCGCGAAGCTGTTTACACGGGGCACACCGCCGCGCCCCCTCCGCGTGTGCCGACCCTTGTCCTCGATTCCAAACTGAGCCTTCTTTCTATTGTGTGCCTGGACAGGCCTGTTCTGAGCCCCCGCGTCGGCTCGGACCCGGTCTCCTTGCCGGACAGGTGATCGGCTCTGCGCCCGCCAGGCTCCCCGCCCAGTGCAATATGTCGTCTGACTGCTTGTGTCTTTCTATGACGTTTTTGCCTTTTAGAAAATGGGTAAATAAAGCAAGTATATTTTTATTTTTATTTGTATGTGTTTTTAATGTAACATGGGAGAAACTAGAGATAGAAGATTATCAAAAGGTTTTTTTTTTTTTTTTCTTTTTTTTTTTTTTTATCATCACCCAAGGATATTTTTCCATTTTTTGTACAGATAGAGTGGGAGGGAGAGAGAGGAAGGGAGAGAGAGAGGAAGGGAGAGAGAGTGCGAAACATCGACGTGAAGGGACACATCGAGTGGCTGCCACCCGCACGACCAACCAGGGCCGGGGACAAACTGCAACCGAAGTACGTGCCCTTGGCGGGAACCAAACCCGGGTCTCTCAGGACCGCAGGCCGACGCTCTAACCGCTGAGCCAAACTGGCCAGGGCTCAAAAGGTTTTTTTTAAAAGAACTCTAGAAAGTCTGCACAAGGGACCTTCCACAGAGACCCTCGCTCTTCCTGCACCGCCTGCTCCGCGCTGGTCCCCTCCTGCCTGTGGCTCCGGCACTGTCTGCAGCCCCTGCCCAGTGGCCCCTGGAGGACATAACTCTCGCCCCGTGACCCACTTCTCCCAGCCGTTTTATTTGCAGGTGGGGGGTGGGGTGCTCTGCTCAGTCCCTGCAGCTCCTCTCTTCTCCGCGTGACCCCAGGCACGTTCCCTCTGTGCCCTCCCAGGGTGGTCTGCCCCGTCGGGGCTGCTGCTTGGGCGCCGGCCCCAGGGCTGACCGAAGGAGGGCAGGGCCAGGAAGGCCTCCTAGCTCCACCAGAGACTGTGCAGGCAGCAGGGCACCATCTCCCCACCCCGCCCGCCCGGTCCTTCCGCGATGATGAAGCCCTGCAGGGCCTGGTCCAGGCGGCAGAGGACTACAGGGGTCAGAGCAGGGAGATGGACAGATCCTGGACCCAGTGCCCAGCCTTCCAGAAACCCCCTGGCAGAAGGGAGGGCTTGACTCTGCTTCTGGCCGGCCGCTGACATCCAAGTGGTGATGGAGGGAGATGAACAAAAGGCTGAGTCCTCCCAGTGAGCACAGAGGCCTCTGCAGACTGGCCTCAAATGGCCAGATATGGCTGTTTCACTGAAGTTCTGAGTGCCTTCGGGGACTCTTAATTGCATTTTTATTTACCATATAACCCCAAGGGCACACCACCCCCTTATTTACAAACTAAAAGGAGCTTCTCAGAGTCCTCTGGGCTGATGGCCCGCAAGGGGCCTAGACATCCACAGGCTGCCATTGCCTTTGTTCCCTGGGGATTTATGGCCTGCCACTGCTGCGCTCTCTGGTCTCCCTGTGGCCACCTCAGCCTGCCCAGCCGGTTCTGGCCTCTGTTCCTGGATCTGAGGGGATCAAAGGGCCCAAATGCTCAGGAAGTCTGTGCTCAGTCAACCTTTGAAGGTGGGATCAGTCCAAGGGACAAATGGCAGGAAATGGGTCTGCTCAGGGAGGCCATGTGAAGGAGGGAATGGGGGCGTGGTGGCCCTAAGATGAGCAGCCAGGCTTCTGTACAGAAAGGCCCAGCCAGCCAGCGGCCCACTAAGGGAAACTGAGGCCGGCTTCCAAGATGGGGCCTTGGGCATCTTCCAGTCCAGTCAAGACTGACACACCTGCTCTACCCTTATGCTTGCTTTCCCCAAGGGCACTTGGTCATACCCAGTCGGGGCACATCCCAGCACTTGCTCCTTCCTTCAGCTGGAGACCGCATGCATTCGTTCCTGCCCCACCCCCACTTGAGAGCATGCAAGACGAGCTCTCAGGTCCCCGCCCTCCTTCCACCTCCTCCCTTCTCGGGACAACTAGCAGCTGTCCTGGTTTTGTTTTTATCCTCACCGGAGGACATTTTCCCATTTTTTGTTCAGATAGAGTGGGAGGGAGAGAGAGGAAGAGAGAGAGAGAAACATCGACGGGAAAGGGACACATCGAGTGGCCGCCACCCGCATGACCAACCAGGGCCGGGGACAAACTGCAACCAAGGTACATGCCCCTAGCGGGAACCGAACCTGGGTCTCTCCGGACCACAGGACAATTTTTCATTTATCTTCAGTTAGAGCCGGAGGGAGAGAGAGAGGAAGAGAGGAAGAGAAAAACACCAACGTGAGAGAGAGACGTTGATTGGTGGCCACCCGCACGACCCCAACCAGGGGCCAGGGACAAACCACAACCGAGGTACGTGCCCTTAGTGGGAATTGAACTCGGGACTCTCTGGTCCGCAGGCCGATGCTCTTACCACTGAGCCAAACTGGCCAAGGCAGCTGTCCTTGTTTTTACAGCCAACTTTATATTATGTCCTGTAACCACATAGCCTTCTCCATAAAGTGGTTCTGAATGTTGAAACCCTATGAACAGTGTTGTGACTGAAAGAATTGGCTACTAAGCCAAACAATGTGCTAAGATGATTCTGGGGCTGCTTTTTGTTTTTCCTGGAGTCCCTTGTTGCCTTTCATTTCTTGCTTGTACCATTTGCCTTTATGTGTCCCTCCCACCTCAGTGCCCAATCAGGTGTTCTATTGACCTTGCCCTTGAGGCCTCCCCGGTCCATTATGAACTGTCGTTTGTGGAGAGCATTCTAAAGCACGTTTGGCCTTGTTCAGACAATACGATGGCTAGTGCAAGGGGTATGAATCCGAGTATGAGAAAGACCACTGATCTCTGGCAGGTTTGGCTCAGTGGTTCAGTGGTTCTCCACCTTCCTGATGCTGCAACCCTTTGATACAGGTCCTCATGTTGTGGTGACCCCCAACCATAAAATTATTTTCGTTGCTCCTTCATCACTGTAATTTTGCTACTGTTATAAATTGCCATCGGAAATAGGTGTTTTCTGATGGTCTTCGGCGACCCCTGTGAAAGGGTCGTTTGACCCCCCAAAGGGGTCGTGACCCACAGGTTTTTTTTGTTTGTTTGTTTGTGGGTTTTTTTGCTTTTAAAAATTTTTTTAGATAGAGTGGGAGGAAGAAAGGAAGAGAGAGAGAAACATCGACGTGAAAGGGACACATCAAGTGGCTGCCACCCACACAACCAACCAGGGCCGGGGACAAACCGCAACTGAGGCACACGCCCCCAGGGGAACCGAACCCGGGTCTCTCTAGACCGCAGGCCAACACTCTAACCGCTGAGCCAAACCGGCCGGGGCGCGACCCACACACAGGTTGAGAACCGCTGGGTTAGAGCGTCAGCCCTACCACCAGAGAGAGATATCACAGAGTATATTTTTCTATATCTCGGTTTCTTAAAGCAGTGAAAACTTAACTGTAGTTATGTGTGTGTGTGTGTAGGGGCTGTGTCTCTGGCTGTGTCTCCTTCCCTGGGGTGATGTCTAAATGGTAAAGAAAAACAAAGTTACAGGCCAGCTTGAGGTCCACCCCCCCTACACTGTCAGTGCCCCCAGTAGGTGTGGGGGATGGAAGGTCAGTTGGGTCTCTGAGCAACCAGGGGAGGGCAGGAGGAAGAGAGCTGAGCTTTCTGGCTTGTGGGGGAGACAGGACAACAGGGATGATTAAAGCAAAGGAGGCGGCGCACACCTGGATGAGCAGGCTGGGCTGGGGAAGGCTCAGGGGAAGCAACCTAAGACAGCAGGGGCAGGTGAGAATCAGCAGGAGGGCCTCCCAGGTAGTGACAGAGCAGTGAGGTGACTTTGGGAACCTTCCTGCCTGTAGAGGTCCCTCTGGTGGGCTGCCAGATCTGTCTTCAGGTGGCTGGGGGTGGAGGGGTGACAGTGCCTGTGGCCTGGTCCCACCAATCCGCAGTCCCTGGTTCCCCACCCACCCAGTGCTCCTGCAAGAGCAGGCAGAGAGAGTTCTAGATCTGTCTGTACCCCTAACTAGGGATGGAGGGGCTGTGACCCTGACAGTCCTAATCTTGGGTGAGCAGTGGGGCGCTGAGTAGGGGAACAGGTGCACTTCCGCCAGGTGAATGACTGGGGAAGCTGAGACTGAACAGCGAGGAAATGGCCCTTGAAGGGGAGTCGGGAGAGGGTTCCCAGCCGAGCGACGGCCAGGAGGCATCTTGGCATCTGGCTCTGCCGGCGGCGGGACAAAGGCCAGACCCGGGTGCCCAGGGCGCTGCCCACGGGCGCGGCTCCACGCCCACACACCCCACCCGCGGGGAGGCCGGCGGCAGATGGGCCGCCCGCGGTGGGGGTGGCGGTCGTCTGGCGGACACAGGCGCGCCGCCTCCCGCCCGCGGGACAAAGCGGGCAGACAAAAGAGCGGCCAACACCTGTCTCTCTTGGCGCGGCCGCCGCTTTTCTCCGCCGACGCGGCTGCAGCTGCCAACTGTCACGGGCATCAAGTTACGGGGTCCAGACGGCGGCCTCCGTGAGCCTGGCGGGGGGCGGGGGGGGGGGACGCGGCGGGGGGGGCGAAGGGGACTGGGGAGGGAGGCAAGGGCGAACTGACTGGGGTGGGGACCAGGGAAAGGCGGGTGGTGGGGTAACCAGGAAGGGGGGAGCAAAGGCGGGGGGCGGGGTGAGACGGGGAAGGGTGGGCGTGAAGCTAAGGGGGGAACGTGAGGTCAAACGGGAACCGAAGAAGCGAAGGGCATTAGGATTAGGGGGATGGAGGCTCAGGCGGTCACCGGGATGATGTCCAGAAAAGGATGGGCAGCTGTGGGGTGAGGGGCGGAGGAGGTGAGGACGAGCGAGGGGGGGGGGAGAATGACCAGAGAAGGGGAGCCTGGAGGTGCAGCGAAGCCGACCGTCCCGCGAACCCCCTAGTGGAACCCACCAGGATCCTCGCGCGGACGGGGGGAGGGGGCGACGGAGGGGTTGCGGTGTCCACACACACAAGTCCTCAAGACACGCAAGGGGGCCACCGGCGCGCTCCCACCCCCGGTGCCCCATGAGCTCCCACCTCCCCGGGGCTCTGCACCTCCAGTCCAGACCCGCGGTCCCCTCCAGTCTGGAGACCGCGGACTTGGCTGGCTATGCCCCCGCCCTTGTCCAGGACCCAGCACTCCCCGCACAGAGCGCTCCTCTGGGGAGGCATCTGGTGAACCCCAATGTGGACGGATGGGTGGCCTCCTGCTCCTACGCACTGCTGACCTGGGGGGCATTGTTCCGGGTATGCGCGGAACCAAGCGCGCCCGGATCCCCAGCTCCCGGGGTCACCGCCCCCTGGCGTGCCTCCCCCGCGGGGGTCGCGCGGAGGGCGAGCTGGGGTCCACGCCCGCCGGCCACGCCCTGCCAGCTGCCTTTCGACCCGGCGGCGGGGCTGGACAAAGCGCGCGGCTTCTATTGGCTGCGGTGCGCCTCCGGCCCTCGGCTCCGGGAGGACTTGGCCAATCGGCGCATTGAGATGCAAATTAGGCTCTATAAAAGGGGCGGGGCCGAGTGCGGGCGGAAGACGCTAGGCTGAGGCAGGCCGCGGTCGCCGCCGCGGGGCAACGGGGGGCGCGGGCGCTCCGCGCGCTCGCGGCGCTCGGGACGGTGCGGATCATGGTTCCGCCCCCGGCGCCCGGACGAGACCGTGCGGGCCGGGAGGATGAAGACAGCTGGGAGGCGCGGGGAGACCGCAAGGTGCGGGCTCGGGCCGCGGGCGGGCGGGGGCGGGGGCGGCGCGGCGCCGGGGCTTAGCCTCCCGCTTCCCGCAGGCCCGGAAGCCCTTGGTGGAGAAGAAGCGGCGCGCGCGGATCAACGAGAGCCTGCAGGAGCTGCGGCTGCTGCTGGCGGGCGCCGAGGTGAGGCGGCGGGCGCCCAAGGGCTGCCGAGCGGGCGGGCGGGCGGGGGTCGCGGCGCTGCCCGGTCTCACCGCCCCTCTCCACCCGGGCCCCGCCGGCGCAGGTGCAGGCCAAGCTGGAAAACGCGGAGGTGCTGGAGCTGACGGTGCGGCGCGTGCAGGGCGCGTTGCGGGGCCGGGCGCGCGGTGAGTGGCTGCGGGGCGCGCGGGCCGGGGCGCGGGGCGCGGTCGCCCACCCGCTCTTGCCCAGGGCGGAAGACTTCTCTGCCCGCCGCCCTGTGCTGTCGGTGCCGAGAGCTCACCCCGGAGCAGGGCGCGCCCCAGCGTCTCCTGGGTGAACCCCATCCCTGCAGGCCGGGTGGGTCGGGACACAGCTCACCGGGCCGTGCACAGCTCTCTCCCTCCCATCCCGGGTGCAGGGCGCGAGCAGCTGCAGGCGGAAGCCAGCGAGCGCTTCGCCGCCGGTTACATCCAGTGCATGCATGAGGTGCACACGTTCGTGTCCACGTGCCAGGCCATCGACGCCACCGTCGCCGCTGAGCTCCTAAACCACCTGCTGGAGTCCATGCCGCTTCGTGAGGGCAGCAGCTTCCGGGATCTGCTGGGGGATGCCCTGGCCGGGCCCCCAGGAGCCCCTAGGCAAAGCAGCTGGCTTACAGGAGGGGCCTTGGGGTCCCCGCTACCCAGTCCCCCTGTCCCTGGGGACGACCTGTGCTCCGACCTGGAGGAGACCCCTGAAGCTGAACTGAGCCGTGCACCTGCGGAGGGGCTGGACTTGGTGCCCGCTGCCCTGGGCAGCCTGACCTCTGCCCACATAGCCCAGAGCATCTGGAGGCCTTGGTGACTAATGCCAGCCCTTGTCCTGCCAGAGCTGGGCCCAGCCTTCCCAACTCTTGTCCCTCCTCCCTGGGGTCCAGATGTGGTAGGGCAGGGTCCTGGTTGTCTCCCAGGTCTGCCCTCCCTCCTTTTCTGGTGGATGGCTTGTAGGGAAGTCCTGGAAGACCAGTCCAGTCGGGTCCCAAGCCCTTTTCCTTAAGAGAGTAGCTTCTACCAACCCCACAGCCCTCCCTCCCCTTCCCCCGCGGGTGAAAGGAGGGGGCTACAGGCAGGAGGAAGAATGTTGCAGGGCTCCCTGGCGGTCACCTGTCCCGGCCTTCTCAGGCTCTGTGGATCAGGGGACAGAGGTGACCGGAGTGGTGCTGAGCCTCTCCACAGTGCAGGGCACCAGTGTCGTGGCCGAAGGAGACCTCTGGCCCTAGCAGCCCGGACCTGAATAGAAGCTGGAACATGCTACTTCAGCCAGGACACGGGAGACAGGTGCCCAGCTGCCCACAGCTGCCGGAGGAAAACGAGGCTTTTTGTATGTTTTGCATTTAGCAGACTTGAGTTTGTGTATTAGGTTGCCATCAAATGTTCCAATTCTACTAAATAAAGGATTTTGGAGAGTGAGTTATCCTTCTGAAGTATTACTGAATGATCTGGTGTCATTAATATGTCAAATATGTACATACTAAACCAAGCACGTTTTTCCTGTATCTAAGCTCTCCCTTGGTCAGCAGAGTGAGCCGTGTAATGGCTGTGGAGATGGGACACTCGGTCTCACAGTGGACAGTGCTTCCCCCTCCCCATTGCCGGGCAGCCCCAGATGGGATTCCCCTGCAGGTCCTCAGGCCTGGCCTGCTCTCCCTGGGGTTGTGTGCACCCTGGAGATGGATATCATTGGCATGGGTTTTTTTCTCCAGAGTAACCAAGCAATAGCCTGTCCTGGACCATTCTCTGGTTCATAAGCTCCCAGGAGTAGATGAATGCCTAATTGCTAGCCACGTGGTTTAGAAGCTTCTTTCAAAAACCTGTGTTAGGATCCACGAGCCTGCTGTCAGTCGACTTGGGTTTGGTTGTCACTTTTCGTGAGAGGGAACTTCCACCACGGCAGTGACTCCAGTGACCCAGGTCATGGCTTGAAGTGAAAGCACCATGGCTGCAGGCAGCCTGGACTGGAGGTCACACTGGGGGCAGGAGGTCAGAAACCCTGGAAGGAGGATGACAGTGGGCAGCTGGAGTGCAGGGAGACCCCTCCTGGCTGAGTCAGGACCTGCAGCTAGTATGTGGGCAGTTAGCAGTCACTGCTACAGGCAGCCCAGTGCCCCATCTGCTTCAGGACCCCTTTGGGTTGGCAGTGTCCTGGCCCAGAACAACGTGTGGCAGTTTAGGATTGACATCTGGGTCTCCTCTCTAGTTTCTTCGAGAACGACTTTCCCAACAGCCCTCTTACAGAAGGCCCCCCAGCAGGTCCTGACCAGCAGGGCATCCCCCCTGCTCCCCTGTGACTGTCTTGGACCTCACCCATCAGGCTCTAAGCAGATGCAGCCTCACTTTAGAGACGGGATGAGCTGTTGAGGGGATTGGGGGGGGGGGGCAGGTCCATAAGACAGGGCTTGAGCGGATGGAAACAGGGCTTCTTGGTATTATTTTCATTGCTCCACACAGATAGTTGTAAGATGCAAATGAAGAGCAGATCCACCTGAGCCCTCTGACCCCTGTGGTTCCCTGAAGCACCCAGAGGCCATTGTGGTGAGCTCGGAGGCCACTGGAGAGCATCAGCTAGGAACTGTTTTCAAGGAACTCTTCCTCGCGTCCCCTCCCGGCTCACATCCTCAGCTGTGTTCGTCCTCTTTGTCGGGCAGGAACTGCCACCAGCTTGGTGGCTTAAAGCACCACAGATGTATTACCTCATAGTTCTAATGGTTAGACGTCTGAGGCAGAGTCCACTAGACTAAAATCAAGGCAGGGCTGCACTCCTTGCTGGATGAGGATGAGGATGAATCTACTTTCTTTTTCCTGCTTCAGGGGACACCCACATTCCTTGGCTGGTGGCCCCTTCCTCCATCTTCAAAGCCAGCAACATTGCATCTATCCGACCCTTCCATAGTCACACCTCCTCTGACCCTCCTCTTTCACTTTTATTTTTATTTAGTTTATCCTCACCCGAAGGTATTTTTCCATTTATCATCAGAAAGAGTAGGAGGAAGGGAGAGAGAGAAACATCAATGTGAGAGAGACATCACTGGTTGCCTCCCACATAACCCAACCAGGGCCGGGGACGAACAGCAACCGAGGTATGTGCCCTTGACGGGAATCGAAGCTGGGACTCATTGGTCCTCAGGCCGAGGCTCTAACCGCTGAGCCAAACCAGCCAGGGTTCTTCCTTCCACTTGTAAGGCATTTCGTGATTACATTGAGCCCACCTGTGTAATCCAGGCTACTCTCCCTATCTCAAGGTCCTCAATCCTTAATCTGAGCCGCAAAGCCTCTCGCCATGTAAGGTAACATTCACAGGTTCTGGGAAGGAGGGTGTGCACATCTTTGAGGGACCATTACCCTACTGACCACACCACCTCCTGCACCTCTGCCCAGTGTTGTGCCTTCCGCCACAGTGCACTGTGACGCCAGCCTCCCACGGACACTGGGTTCCGTCCCCTCTGACTTCTCAGTGACGCTGCTCTCTTCCCTGCACCATAAATCTCACCTCGCGCAGGATCATCCTCACGGTCCTGCAAACAAGCTGTAATGTCTCTGTCTGGAGAAGGGGGAGATAAAACCTCCCTGGCCCCAATGTATCCTGCGAGCCTCTGCCTCGTTTCTCGGCTCCAAAGCAAACGTCCTTGAAAGCATCATCTACACTCGCTGTCTCCGCTTCCACTCGCCTCACTTCCTCTCCAGTCTGGCTGATCCCACCAGTCCACTGAAACCGCCTTTGTCGAGATCCCCAGAGACATCCAGGTTTCCCAGTCCAGAGGCGTGTCCCCACGTTTCACCCAACCTTCCGGTTAAGCACTCCTTGGGGTACTACTCCCTCTCCTGAAACTCACACTCAAGAAGCCCACTCCCAGGTCGGCCCCCTCCCTGGCCATCCTCGGTCCTTTACCAGATGCTCCTCTCCTGTCAAACTCCGGATGTGGGCAGACGTGTCCAGAGCGCTGTGCTCAGCTCTTCCCTGGCACCCCTCCCCGGAGCCCATGTGCCCCTTTGGTTTGTTTCCTCCGTGTGCCCTCAAGCCAAAGCCCATCTCCATCCCTGTTGGCCTCCTCCACCCTGTGTACTCAGGGTCTCCACTTAGGTGTCATGTGGGCATCGCAAACCAGAGGGGGAAGGCACGGCTGAGTCTCACCCCCACACTGCCCTTGTCGCCACTGCCCGGCATCCCATTGATTAGGCACAAAATCTAGGAGTCACCCTCGATTTCCTTAATTCCTGGCATCCCACTTCCACTCGATCAGGTCCATGAGCTCCTATCTCCACTTGGGTCATCTTTCCCACCGATCGAACCCAGCACCCTCCTCTCATCCTTACCCCGACTTGGGCAGCGGACCTAACTCGCCTCCCCACTTCCACGCGGGGCGCCTGGCCGCGGCCTTCAAGGCTCTCCCTGACCTCCCTCCCGCAGCTCTGCTCTAGGCTCGGGCCTTTCAGCGGGGATCCGGCCCGTGGACCTCCCGGAGCCCGCCCTGCAGGAGCCGGAGGGGTTTAGAAAAGAGGGTGCGGAACTCCAGGGGCCGGCGAGCGCGTTCCGGAGGCGCCGGACTCTCGGAGGAGCTGGGAGGTGCAGAGGTTTTGGCCACGCCCCCTCCGTGGCCACGCCCCTCCTGCTCGCGATGAGCCGCGGGGCGGCCTGGGAGATGTAGTTCCCACCCTTCGACTTCCCTTTCTCCGAGGCCGCTGCAAGCCAAGGCAGGACTGCGACTCCCAGAAGTCTCCCTGGCCCGAAGCCACGCCCTCCGCCGCCGCGAGCTTGCGGCCCGTGTCCCGCGGCGCCCGCCCAGGTCAAGGGCGGCTCTGTGACCGCCCCGCACCCCTGCCGAGGCTGGTCTGCGCTCTCTCCGGCATCCCCGGGACCGGGAGGGGAGGCGATACGGCCCCGGCGCCCGGCAGCTCGGGCCCTCCGCAGCTTTACGCCCGCTCTGCGCGTGGAGAGGCGAAGGCGAGCTGGCTCCAGCCCAGGGCCGCTCCTCCCTCCTTTTTCTGGAAAATCAGCTGTAGGAGTGCAGGTGTCCAAAAGAGGAGAGGCGGTCTCACCTGCCTAGGAAGGAAATATGGGGCCAGGAGGGATGTGGAGGAGGTTTGCAGAGAGAACAGGCAAGACCTATGACTTGGATGTGGTAGGAGGGAAAGGCAGGAGTCCAGGGTCGTGCCTGGGGACCAGGGGCAGGGACTTCTGGGAAAAAAAGGGTGGTGCCTAGGTTTTGGCAGGAGCCCCTGGGTGGATGGAGATTTGGGAAAGGCAGGGGGGAGAGCTGGTTTTGGGGGAGAGAACAGGGTGGGCATTAGTTTAATTTGAGATGCCTATTAGACATCCAAGTGAGGCTGTTGAGGAGACAGCCTAGGCTGTACGTATGTAGGGTTCCCAGAAAAGAGAGATGCCCGAATGTGTCTTCAGAATACAGTGTATTTCAAGTCAAAGAAGTAATAAAGATAACTTTGGAAGAGGGTAAATAGAGGAGGATCTGGGACCGTGCCCTGGGGCAGCCACGCGTAAAGAGAAGCCAATAAATTGAATCTGGAAAGAGGGTTCAGAGTGGGCCACGTTCCCCCACCAATGTGAAGAGGGGAGTACAAGGCCTCTAGGGCTCTTTCTGCTGTGACAGTAGCTGGCTCTGTGATCCTATCAAGTGACTGCAGATAGCAAATAGGGGGAAGCAGGGGAGGGTGCACCCCTGCGTGCCTTTTTGGAGCACTGAAATTTCTCTAACTGCAAAAAATGGCTTCCCCATTGAGCTTAACTCACTGCCTTGGCACAGAAGACCCCTTGTGAAATGACCCCGCCTTAACTGTCTCACCCACTTCTCTGTCCCTTACAGAGGTGTGGAGCCCCACATCCTTGCCTTTGTGCTCTAACTTCCACCCAAAACGAAGCCCCTGGTAGTAAGGTCTGTGGGTGGCCAGTTCAATTGCCCTCAGAGTCAACCATTTCTTCACATTCCACATGTGTCCTGGATACATGCGGGCAAACACACACACACACACATACTCACACACACACCCCATGTATTGCAAGGTTTTTCCACTCTGGCTAGTGGGTATAGGAACCATTCCTGGTCATAGACTTTTTTTTTCTTTATTGATTTTAGAGAGGAAGGGAGAAGGAGAGAGAGAAACATCAATGAGAGAGAACATCGATTGGACACCTCCTGCATGGCCTCACTGGGTCCACAACCTGGACATGTGCCCTGACCAGGAATCGAACCAGTGACCTCTTGGGTTGATGCTCAACCATTGAGCCACACTGGCTGGACAAGGACATAGACTTTTTACTCCAGTGCTAATGGGATCACACCTGAAGACTCCAGCGCAACCCTCTGCAGGCCTATGAAAGGCAGCATTACTTTCTTCACAGGCTGCTGAGGGTTTACATGAAATTAACATTTGCAAAGCACCTAGCTAGTGCCTGGCCTCAAACAGGCACAGTGTTCTCAGCTCACTGCCATGAAAGAATGTCCAGCCCTGGCCAGTTTGGTTCAGCGGTTAGAGCGTCGGCCTGCTGTCCTGAGAGACCCGGGTTCGGTTCTCGCTAAGGGCGCGTACCTCGGTTGCAGTTTGTCCCCGGCCCTGGTCGGTTGTGTGGGTGGCAGCCACTCGATGTGCTCCTTTCACATCGATGTTTCTCTCTCTCTCTGTGTTCCTCTCTCTCCCTCCCACTCTACCTGAACAAAAAATGGAAAAATGTCCTCGGGTGAGGATTAAAAAAAAAAAAGAAAGAAAGAAAGAATGTCCAGCTCCTAGAAAAGTCTTAGAAGTTTATTTGAGCCAAATTTTGAGGACATGCCCAGAAGTGAAATCTCACTGGATTGAGAAAATGCTCTGGATAATGGCAGTTTTGCATCTTATTTTACACATTAGAGTCAAAGGAGATTTGAAAGGGTGTGGGGGGAGTACATGAAATCCATGGGTGGTAGATTAAGGAGGTGGGAGAAAGCAAAGCTGGGAAATCTCTGGGATTGGATAAAAGGCAAAATGGAGAAACAATCCAGCTTGTGTGGCTCAGTGGTTGAGCGTCGTCCCATGCACCAGGAGGTCGCCCGTTCGATTCCCGGTCAAGACACAGGCCCAGATTGTTGTCCCGATCCCCAGTGGGGGGCATGCAGGAGGCAGCCAATTTATGTTCTCTCTCATTGATGTTCCTATCTCTCTTTCCCTTCCTCTCTCTCTCTAAAATCAATAAAGGAAAAACATTTTTTTTTTAATGGAGAAACATACTTCTTTTACATTGGTGGGTACAGGGCAGTTAATAATCAACACAGCACATACAGATGGTATATGGGGAACAAGATAACAATGAGGTCTTCTGCTCTGGTGCTGGTGGTTATGCCTTTGAGGGGGGAAAAAAATAAAATAATTCTGATGTTATCCTAGATGCAGTGAACAGGGCTCACTTATGGTAAAGACTGACAAAAGCCATAGGCCCGGGAAGTGACTACCACTGTGACCCGCCCAGTCAGGAATTTATGATCAGGCCATAACTGTGTGGTCACTTTGGGTCACTGAGCTTGTCAGGCCTGCTATGTGACCCCCCAACCTTGTCAGGTTTATGACAGAGCCCCTTTCATTCATGGCCCCTTCCTTAAAGGATGTGGTTCACAATAAACACAATTACTTTTTTTTTTTATCCTCACTCGAGGACACTTTTCCATTTTTTTGTTCAGATAGGGTGGGAGGGAGAGAGAGGAAGAGAGAAACATCGACGTGAAAGGGACACATCGAATGGCTGCCACCTGCACGACCAACCAGGGCCGGGGACAAACTGCAACCGAGGTACGCGCCCTTAGCGGGAAGCGAACCCGGGTCTCTCTGGACCGTAGGCCGACGCTCTAACTGCTGAGCCAAACTGGCCAGGGCACAACACAATTACTTTGGCACAGTGCAAGAGACTTCTGACATTTATTCAAACTTCCCCAGACCGGAGTTGCTATAAAATCTCTCTTCCCATTGCCATGGAAAAAACAGAAGTTGTCACTGTCTTCATTTCTCAGCACTCTCACGGTGTACAAAATGAGCCTGTGTGACGGCTGTACTGTAGATACCCCCAACTTAGCAGTTTAAGACAACCACTTCACTCAGGTCCTATTTGGGGGGTCAGGAATTCATAGAATGCTTCGCTGGCCAGTCCTTGCTACGGGTTTCTCATGAGGTCAGACACTGGCTGGGGCAGGGGCCAGGCCAGGGTGTCCAAGGTGACTCACTCCACAAGGCTGGCAGTTGGTGCGAGCTGCTGGCTCAGCTCAGCGGGAGCTGTTGAACACGGCGCCTGCATGCGGCTCTGCTCCAGCAGGGCAGCATCAGAGGAGCTGGACTTCTCACCGGTGACTGACTTCCCCCAGAGCAAACGTCTCCAGAGAACCAGGCTGGAGCTGCGTGGCATTTGACAGCCTCGCCTTGGAAATCATAAATGGAACACCTTCCATTCTCTGGGTCAAGGGGAGGAGACCGAGCTGCCTCTTGCTGGGAGGAGTGGCAAGGACGGGTTTTAGAAGAGCACACAGGATGGGAGCTATGGCTGCAGAACACTTTGGAAAATGCATCTGCCACTTAGGCAGCTGATATCCTGGGATGTCAGGTGCTTTCCTTGTCCCTAGACAGTTTAAGGTCTCAAATCAGAAATCTATGATCTTTTTCTAAGAGCAAAATAGTGAACTTCGGCTCGGCTGGTGTGACTCAGTGGTTGACCACTGACCCATGAGCCAGGAGGTAGCTGGTTTGATTCGTGGTCAGAGCATATGCCCGGGTTGTGGGCCCAGTCCCCAGTGAGGGGCAGCCAGTTGATGTTCTCTCTCATCGATATCTCTCTCTCGCTTCCTCTCTCTCTAAAATTAATAATAAAAAAAATATTTAAAAAATAATGAACTTTGTTTGGGCAGTCCTGAGCAAGCACACAGGGGACCGCTCTTGGCTCTAACCTTCCTGACGTTCCTGAGGCAGGAAGGCCGAGGCACCTTCTGTGAGCACCAGAAATGGAGACATTTATCCATTCATTCAGCCAAGCAGTACATGTGAGCATCTACTACGTACGTGCCGGGTGCTGGGGTGCAGCAATGTGCAAAAGCATAGGCCCGGGCCTCCTACAGCTTCCATTCTGATGGGAGACACAGTCAGTGCTGAGATGATGACACGTGTAAATGTGACACCATGCCTATGACAAAGCTGTGGAGGAGAAGTGGGAGGAGGATGGCTTAGGTCACTCAAGGGAGGCTTTCCTGAGGAACTGACGACCCAGCTGAAGCCTGAGGAGAGAACGAAGGGGCTGAGGAGGACATTCCAGACCAAGGGACCCACATGAGAAAATGTCCTGGGACAAGAGAAAGAACAAGGGACTGACAAGGCCTGAGGAGAGGCCTGAAAGGGGACTGTGATTGCGTGAACACGCTCAGGAGGGATGGTGGGAGGTCAAGGGGTGGATTCAAAAGGCATTCAGGACATACAACTGATAAGACTTGGCGACAGAGGGTGCATCAGCTATCTGTTGCTGCATAAAAAAATAACCATAGACTTAGTGACTTAAAACCACATGCATCCTGCCTGGCTGGTGTGGCTCAGTTGGTTGGAGCACTGTCCCGTATACCAAAAGGTGGCTGGCAGGTTCCATTCCCTGTCAAGGCACATACCCAGGTTGCAGGTTTGATTCCCAGACTGGGCATGTACTGACTCATGGATGTTTTTCTCTCTCTAAAATCAATAATAACAATTTTAAATAAAATAAAATGATATCCATTTATCTATTTAAATAAAATAAAACCACACCCATTTATCACAGTTTCCATGGGCCAGGCATCTGGGCACAGCTAAGTCTTCCACAAAGCTACAGCCAGGGTGGGGTCTCGCCTGAGGCGTGCCTGCGGAGGACTCTCCAACACTCCCGAAGCTGTTGCAGCGATCATTTCTCTGAGGGCCCTTGCATCGAAGGCCTCGGCTGGCTTCTTGTGGACTGTCAGGTGGAAGCCACCTCCGTTCCACGCCATGGTCCTCCCCATACTGCAGATCACATGGCAACTTGCTTCCTCAAAGCCAGCAAGGGAGAGTCTCCCAGCAGGATGGGTGTCACAGACTCATGTCAAGGAGTCACATCCTCATAATCACGTACTGTACATCCTGACATTTTTGCTGGACTCTATTGGCCACAGCAAGTCACAGGTCCTGGCCACATGCAAAGGAAAGGGACCTCACAAGAACTGACTACTAGGGGGTGGGGCTCATGGGGACCAGCTTACAAGCTAACCGCCATAGAGGGCTTCTAGGGTAGGAGCACAGGGAGGTGTCTAACCCTAGGAGAGCAGACCGAAGGGGGTAAGGGGGGCAATAGAGAAAATGATTTCAATTGGGCCACACTAATTTGAGGTACTTTTGAGACATCCAAGAGCTATCACCTGGTCCTTATTTGAACCTGTGGATTTGGAGCTGGCAGGAAATACAAATTAAAAAAATGACGTTTCACCCTGGCCAGTTTGGTTCAGTGGTTAGAGCGTTGGCCTGTGGACCAATGAGTCATGGGTTTGATTCCAGCCCTGGTGGAGTCATGTGACACGGAGGCAAAGAATTGATGTGGCTCTATCACAACGATGTTCCTCTCTGTCTCTCTGTCTCTACCTCTCTCCACTCTATTTGGTGATAAATAGAAAAATATCCTCAGGTGAGAAATAAAAAAATTAAAAAATGACGTTTCGATGAGTGGTAACTCAAGCCAAGTGTGGACCTTTGGAATGAAGAAAGGATCCAGGATCAGGCCTTAAACAATTCCATCAATTAACAGTGGGGCAGAAGAAGTTGGGTCTGCAAAGGAGACGGAATAGCCCGAGAACTGGAGTAAAACCACAGCAAAGGGCAAGCGAGGCCAACAGTGTCAGCACTGCTGGGAATCACCTAAGAGGAGGCGGAAAAGGTCAGTTCACGTAGCAGCACAGGGGGAAGTCACCATGAGCTTAGCGAGAGCAGTTTTGGAGAAGTGATGCGGTGACAGAGGTGGGGTGGGCGGAGTGCCGGGTTGAGGTGAGCAAATGGAGACTGTATCGTTACTCTAGCGTATTTCTGTGAGATGGGAGGGTGCAGCTTAACCGTTGAAGGTGGGGAGAGCGCAGTGAAGATTTTAAATGCTGGCGAGTGAGCACCCAGGTAGATGAGAGGCCTGGGGCCCATCGGTGTCCTACAGCCGGACACCACCAGAAACACCTGCAGTCCAGCGAGCTGGGTTTATTGCTGCTCAGGGGGAGGGGGCCACTACCCTGGGGGGAACCTCAGTAAGGGAGGTCGGAAAGGACGGTAAGACTTGAGCTTGCGTTCGCTGATTTTGGGGAACACTTAAGGAAGCGACGCTTCGCTCTGAGTTGGGCAACGTCGGGGGGTAATTCCTTCGCTGGTGCAATAACCAGGCCTCCCCAGGCGGCAGGAACGCTAGACGAAGGCCAGCCTTGCACCTGTAACGGAGGAGCCCAGGTGGAGGGGGCCTGGTCGCGGCCGGTTTTGCACACTAGCATCAAAGTCCCGCTCCGCTCCCCCTGCCGGAGGCTGCAGCGGAGGGGACGCCTCCCGTCCCTCGCATCTCGGCGGCTTTCAGGCCCAAGGCACCGGGCGCCTACAAGCCTCGGCTTCGCGACCCTGCAATGAACGGGCCGGGAACGGACGCCCGCCGGTGGGGCCGTACGCGTGCGAGGAGCTCCAGGGAGCCTCCCGGACATCAGGGCCCCCAAGGTGCGCTGGAGCTCAGACCCTGCCGCTGGACCGGCCTCCCTGGGCCCGGCGCCCGGCCGGGGCTCCGCGGGAAACATGGCAGCCGCGGCTCAGGCCCGCCGCCCCAGAGTCCTGCGCGCGTGCGCCCCGCCCCGCCCCCTCGCCTCCTGGCCCCGCCCCGCCCCCTCGCCTCCTGGCTTCGCCCGCGCGCAGGACTCTGGGGCGGCGGGCCACGCCGCGCGCCGATTGGTGGCGTTCCGGGCCCGCCTTCGGGTGATTGACGGCGCCCGGGCCGCCGCCGCCCGCCGCTGCTGCCGCCGCCGGGTGTGGAGGCCGCCGCCGCTCGCGGGCTGCGTGTCAGCCGCCGCCGCCGCCGCCGCCCAGCCTCCGCCATGGATCTCTTCGGGGACCTGCCGGAGCCCGAGCGCTCGCCGCGCCCGGCTGCCGGTAAGCGAGCGGGCGCCCTGCCGGCTGGGGGACGGGGGCGGGCGGGCTGGCGGCGGCCTGGAGGCCCTCGGAGGTGGCGGCGGGCGGCGGGCGGAGCCGGAGGGCGAGCGCGGCCCGCCGCGGCGGCGCACCGGAGCCCCGGAGCTGCGCCATCTTCGCTGCGTAGGAAGCGGGCTCTGCTCGGGCGCGGGCCGAGGGCGCCGCCGGCCGCCGCGGCCTTTGTGTGCGGCCCCCACGCGCCGGCCGCCCAGCCGGGCCCGGTCGGCCTCGGGCCCCGCGCGGAGCCCCGCCGCCTTCGCACGTGGGCGGTGCCCGGCCCGGCCCGCACCCTTGCGGCCTGCGCCGAAGCCGCTGTCCCCGGAGCGACGTTGCCCCGCGCGTGCGTGGACGAGCTCGGCCCCGCTGTGCTTTGTTTTCACCCCCGCGGTGGACGCATCACCAGCTTCACCTCCGTGTCTTTGAACCGCCCTCTGCGCTCCTCTGATTTTCCAGCGGCTGGCGGTTTCCTGGGCCGCAGGGAGCCCCCCTCTCCCGAGCTGGGGAGACCAGCCCCGGCCCACCCAGCGCCACGGCCGCGACCGCGGGTGGGCGACCCCGCCGGCTGCGGTTGGAGCCTGCGCACTGGCGGCCCGCGACCAGGGCCTGTTCGCCCTGCGTGTGCGGTGGGCTGAGGCCGCGCAGGTGGCGTCGGGCAGGTCCTGTTCGCCTTCCGGGCTGCGCGCTGCAGCGAGGGCCGCGCTGCCTTCCGACCTCCCCCGGCGGCCGCGGACCTGGAACGCTTGAAAACCAGGGCACGTCTGCAGGCTCAGCGCCACCAAATCCGAAAGTCGGGCCGGGCCCCGAGTCTGTTACTAAGCCCGGGCCCGCTCGGCAGGAGTCCGGAGGCCGCGGGTTCAGAACCGCTGCAGCAGCAGGGGCGCGAGGGTAAATACGACCCAGCCGCTGCTTTCTAAGAGCTTAGCTTTGAATGCACGTGATTGTAATTAAAACTGGCAAAAGTTAATTAAGGACCGTGGGAACTGCTGCGTGCTGGGGAGATGCTTATGCCCAGGGAGCGAGGGCGCAGGCAGGGCAGCGACGCGCTCAGAGGGGAAGGGCCAGTTCTCCTCTGCCTGAGCGGACCAGTGTGGACGACTGAATGAACGCTGCGCTCCACGGGTCCTGGACGCTGGCTTGTCACGTGGGCAGCCTGGCCAGTCTCCATCTGCCGTTAGTCCCTGCAGTGGCACCACCGAGCCTTCCCCACTGACCATGCTGCTGGTACAGAAGCATCTCAGTAGTCAGGCGGCCATTCGTTTTCTAGAGTGTTCTAGTTGTGCGTCAAGACTGTGGCTTTGTGTATGCAGTATTTTTTATTCTATTGATGGAGTATAACTTGTGTCTGAATATGTTTGGGGCAGAGTTTACATTCGCAGATGTGTCTGTAAGCCTTTCATTGAAATATATATATATCTTTATAATTTTTTACCCAAAATCAATATCGGTCTGCTTAGAGGAAGGCATCTTTGAGATGATACAACACCTGACAGCTTTTCAAAAAAGTTTAAAAAGTTCTTCTTCAATTACAGTCGACATACGATGTTATATTAGTTTCAGGTGTACAACACAGTGGTCAGGTGTACAACACAGTGGTCAGACATTTATATAACTTACAGAACGATCCCCCCCATAAGTCTAGTACTCATCTGGCACCATGTAAAGCATAATTGCTACCATATTATTGACTATATTCCCTATGTTGTACTTGACATCTTGGTGGAAAGCCTAACAACTCTTTTTTTTATTTATTGATTTTAGAGAGAGAGGAAGGGAGAGGGAGAGAAACATTGATGAGAGAGAACATTGATTGACCGCCTCCTGCATGCGCACCCCCCGAGATCAGGCCCACAACCTGGGCATGTGCCCTGACTAGGAATTGAACTGGTGACCTCTTGGTGCATGGGTCCATGCTCAACCACTGAGCCACACCAGCCTGGCTGACAACTCTTTTTTTTTTTTTTTTTTGGTACGTGCCTCTGGTGGGAACTGAACCCGGGACTCTCTGGTCCGCAGGCCAACACTCCAACCACTGAGCCAGACCAGCCAGGGCTGACAACTCTTTTTAAAAAATACGGTTTTTTTTGCCCTGGCTGGTTTGGCTCAGCGGTTAGAGCGTCGGCCCATGGACCAGAGAGTCCCGGGTTCGGTTCCCACTAAGGACACACACCTTGGTTGTAGTTTGTCCCCAGCCCAGGTTGGGGTCGTGTGGGTGGCAACCACTCGATATGTCTCTCACATCAATGTTTCTTTCTCTCTCTTCCTCCCTCTCTCCCTCCTGCTCTATCTGAGGATAGATGCAAAAATGTCTCGGGTGAGGATAAATATATATATATATTTACATATCAATATATATTTGATATATAAATTTGAGAGAGAGAGGGAAACATTAATGTTTGGGGATCAAGTCCTCAACCTGGGCATGTACCCTTCCTGGAAATTGAACTGGTGACCTTTTAGTGCTGGGATCATGCTCAACCAGCTGAGCTACACCAGCTTACAAGTTGGCAGCCTGTGACCAGATACAGTGGGGGAGGGCATCTCCAACCCTGGCTGAGATGCCTGGGGACCTACATGGTGTTCAAAACCCCCCCTTCCCTCAAGTGGCTTAGTGACGGGCCCCCTGCCTTCCAGAGGGGCCCTGACACTTTGTTCATAAACAAAGAAGGGGTGGAAGTTTGTAGATGATGGGACGCTGAGGGGTAAGTACTAAAATGAGTGACAGAATTGGGATCCAAAGTTCTCAACAGGCAGTTAAAACCAACAAGGTGCCATACTTTGTTTCAGAAAATCTATGGTATTGATTGATAAGATTAAAATGGAGTAAGTGAACGGAAAGGAATGTTAGCATCATAAAGTGGATGGAAGGATGCCCTGAGCTACACCATGGCGACCCTCATACATGGTGTGTGGGCGCCACAAATTCCTGAGCTGGTGCAGGACACAAAAGTTGTTTGTTTGGGACATGTAATCCTACCAATTTCAATCCCAGCTCTGTTATCTCTCTCTCTTTTCATGTAAATATTTTTTAATCTTTACCCAAGGACATGCTTAGAGAGAGGAAGTGGGGAAGAGAGAGAGAAACATTGATGTGAGAGAGAAACAGTAGGTTGCCTTACATACATGCTCTGACTGGGGATTGAATCCATAAGCTAGGCATGTGCCCTGATCAGGAATCGAACCAGCAACCTTTGGTGCACAGGATGATGCTTAGCCAACTGAGCCACTTCAGCTGGGCCCGACTCTGTTTTTATAACTGCCTTCTATGCTTTCTGCACCGGGTAATTGGAGAACACTACCGGTACAGGGCGCAGCATGGGTGCAGCATGTGCTGGGGGGTGGGTGAGGGGTAGTGTGTGAGCTCTTAGCTTTAACAGCTGTTTAAAAGGGGAAAATACACTCTTAACTGGATTTTGTGGAAACTAAGGGTCCAGTGGGAAGAAGTAATCACACTGCTCAAATAGATCAAGTATATTTTGTTTAGTTCTTTAATTTTTGTTTAAACATCACATCTAATGTTCCATCTTCCAAGCCTCTTAATTTTTTATGTTCTGAAGAAAAATGTAAAAGAACACTTTACAGACACACCTGGGAGATACTGCAGTTTCGGTTCCAGACCACTGCAATAAAGTAGCACAGGAAAGTGAGTCAATCTTTTTGCAGGTGGAGGGTCTTGCCTTCAGTTGGTAAAAAAGGTAACATCTGTGAAGCACAGTGATGGGAGCACAGTAAAGCTAGGTGTGGTTGGAAGTGGTTTCAGATTCTGTGTTCAATTCGTATTTTTATCCCAGCACTTAACAGATCTGATTTACTGAATCAAGTTCACACACACACACACACACACGAGTTGAATTAGTATGGAGGTTAGGGGTGCTGACCTCCCATGCAGCGGAAATGGCTGTAACTACATATATGACTGCAGCCTGCCCTGTATGCATGACTCCCAACACAGAGGTGACCCTTGAAGTGCTCAAGGCTATATTGAAGAATATCCATGTGTAAGTGGACCTGCACAGTTCAAACCCATGTTGTGTGTGTGTGTGTATAGTTTACCTAAAAGAGGAAGTATTTTGTTCATATATGACAGAAATGGAACTTCTCAGCTATGTTTGATAATCTTAAGTTAAAGGTGTCCTGGTTTAAAATTGCTGTGGCAGTAACTTGGTTTCAGTTTTATGGGGTCGTTCTTTGACTTAACTAGGTTGTTGCAGCAGTACACTCTGAAACTGATGGTCGGCTGTCAAGAACTAAATATTTGCTTGGCAGGTCATCTTCAAAATATTTCTTTTAAAATTAGATACCTATATATAAAATAAATGTTAAGATATTAGAAGTAACTTAGACTAATTGTGAAACTTAAGGGTTAAGCAAGAAAAAAAATCTCTTAATTATAAAAAATTGAGATGGATTTAACTATGTAAAAATTAAAAAAAATTCTGCAGGACAGAATACCACGAAGGCAAAAGACAAATTGAGAGGAAATAATCACAGTACATATCACTAAAGGTCACTGTGTGAAAGACTCATACAAATTAATAAGAAAAAGACAGATGCCCATTAGAACACTTGGCAAAGGCTGTCCCCTGGCAGGTCACGGGAGAAGAAATGCCACAGCTCACAAACTGGAGCCGGTGCTCAGCTTCCTGAGTCGTCGAGGAAAGGAGTAGACCTCTGATGTGCCATGTTTCTCACCCGTCGGATGTGAGAGTTGGCAGCGTGGTGGTGAGGACGTCAATGAGTGGGCTTCTCGTGAAGTGTGTTGGGAGTGGAAGCCACCATGATGTTTTTGGAACAGCTTTTGGCACCTGTCGAATTTAAATTGTTCATACCCAGCAGTCTAGCAGATGAGGTGTCTCCAGTGGTTTATTGTGCATTGTTTGTCATGTGAACAGCCAGAGTCAGCCTTGTGCCCACCAGTGGGGAACTGGACAGGTGAGGGCACTGCGCCCAGGTAGAGTAGTGCAGCTGTGGCAGATAGACAGACCCAGACGTGCTGGCCTGGAGCGTGGCCCGATGGCTTCTGTGAATGATGGTGCATGTAGAACATTGTGCACAGTATACTTCTTCCTTCTAAACAGGAAATGCGCAGAACACAAGTGTGTGTTGCTGGGTGTTATGTGCCGCTGAGTTGACTGACTGCTGGTGACCCTGTGAATGAGTGATGGCCAGGATGTCCTTGGCTCAACATACACAAGTACAGGAGCTTGAGGGACAGTGGACCAGATACACTGAGCTGTCACTGTGGTCAGGGAGGGTGGTGGGGAGGTATAGGGCCTTGTTCTAACACCTCTGGTGTTTGGAAGACATATATTGCATTTGTAGTTGAAAAGGAATTTTGAGTATAAAAAACTGTTTAAGCAAACTAATCTTTTTATTGTACTTAACTGTTAGCTAACCTGAATATGATCAACCTGAGAGTATTTTTCTCGGCATTGTATATAACTTTCATTGGACTTAGCTTCAGAATGTAGATAATTAGATAGCTAAAAAAAAATCCTAGGTGAGTTTAACTGTAATGAAAAATTGTCTTCGACCTTGTTTCAGTTTTTATCAGGGTTCTTATATTTAGAATTTAGGGGAGTCTCTTCTAAAGTTTTGGTTCAAGGTCACACTTTATGCAGTGATTGCATCCCCAATACTTTGAATTACTATTTATCCAAAATATAGTGTAAGTTGTGGCTAATCACAGGTTCCCTTGATGGCATCTGGCACCTATGACCTATGGATGTTTTTTAGAGTCCAGGTGCAAGGCATTACTAACTTTGATCCTTGTATTGATGCAGAAGGTATTCCAGCAATTTCAGGTGCCTTGGGATTATCTTTGGAGGGTTGTTAGGTAAATGAGATGGTCCTTTAACCTGACAACAGTTCCTGGGGCCCCTCCTGGCCCGGTGCCTGGGTGTGGAGGCATCACAGCCCTTCATCAGGCGTGTGGACTGGGGGCCACGGTGCCTGGTTCTGCATCCCCACCCTCACTGGCTCTCTCGTGCGCAGTTTTTTATTCTAAAGTGCCTCAGTTTCCTCCTCAGGAGGTAACAGTAATATCTGAGACTATTACAAGGGTGAAATGTATTGCAGCATGGAGAGCACCACAGAGGGCCTGCAGGCAGTGGAAGCTAACCACCGTTTCTAAGTTATTCTCAGTGCGACACAGAAGTGTGAGATGCTCATGTGTTGATTGAAATACCACTCAGGCCCGGTCATGTGGCTCAGTGGTTGAGTGCCGACCCATGCACCGAGAGGTCACCAGGTTCGGCCAAATTCCCATTGAAGGGGCTTGCAATGGGCAGCCAATTCATGTTCCCTCTCATCAATGGCACATATACATTTATTATACTTTTTGCCAATATGACCCAAAAATAGGTATGGTTTTGATTCATTTGCAGAGGACAGCTATTGTGTTGGCTGTTGTCACATTTTTATTTGACAGTCTGAGGGAGAAGAGGTTATTGCCCCCTACTACGTAGTCAGGTGTTGCGTGTTTTAACAGTTTTTGCGGCGCACGTGTTGCACTGTCTTAGACTGTTGTAGCCAAAGGAGAGGGGTCAAGCTGAGACCTCTTGTGAGGAATGCTTGCTAGACTCAAACTGTCTCATCCCACTGGGCGCTGGCAGCGAGGAGGCAGACCTCCAATTTGACACCACGCGTGTGGAAGGGTTGGCCCCTGCCTCACGGCCCACATGCTGGTCTGTGGCCCGACTGGGGTGCAGTGTGAGCGCCCCGGGCCATCCTGCCCACCTTGGGTCTGTTAGCAGAGTGGGGGTGATGGTGAGCCCAGCACAGTCTGGGATCCTGCCCACTTGGGTCTGTTAGGAGAGTGGGGGTGATGGTGAGCCCAGCGCAGTCTGGGATCCTGCCCACTTGGGTCTGTTAGCAGAGTGGGGGTGATGGTGAGCCCAGCACAGTCTGGGATCCTGCCCACTTGGGTCTGTTAGGAGAGTGGGGGTGATGGTGAGCCCAGCGCAGTCTGGGATCCTGCCCACTTGGGTCTGTTAGGAGAGTGGGGGTGATGGTGAGCCCAGCGCAGTCTGGGATCCTGCCCACTTGGGTCTGTTAGGAGAGTGGGGGTGATGGTGAGCCCAGCACAGTCTGGGATCCTGCCCACTTGGGTCTGTTAGCAGAGTGGGGGTGATGGTGAGCCCAGCACAGTCTGGGATCCTGCCCACTTGGGTCTGTTAGGAGAGTGGGGGTGATGGTGAGCCCAGCGCAGTCTGGGATCCTGCCCACTTGGGTCTGTTAGCAGAGTGGGGGTGATGGTGAGCCCAGCGCAGTCTGGGTGCCCTGGGAGTGGCCTGTGGCGTGCGGGGCTCTTGTGGACGGACAGGCAGTGGGTTCCCGCAGGCCTCCCCGTGCCCGTCACTGCTGCTCCTGAGTCCTCCCCAGTCTGCATGTTGCCTGTGAGAGAAGTGAAGGTCTTTGCAACAACTTGATTGTTGAGGGTGACCCTGAGGGATCAGAATGTACTTTAATGAGTAGACATTGTCCGTTCAAGTTCGGGGATAAAGCAAAAGAGTTATTTTTTGTTAAATCAGGAATTTATGTGTTCGTGGTACTTCTGACCTAAAGGCTCCTGAAGAAATTTCCTTCCTTGGAGTTCATAAATGTTAGTTAAATTTTTGTTTTAAAAACAGAATTGGCACCCAGTACATTTATTTATTTATTTATTTTTATCCTCACCCGAGGATATTTTTCCATTTTTTGTACAGATAGAGCGGGAGGGAGAGAGAGGAAGGGAGAGAGAGAGAGAGAAACATCGACGTGAAGGGACACATCGAGTGGCTGCCACCCGCACGACCAACCAGGGCCGGGGACAAACTGCAACCGAAGTACGCGCCCTTAGCGGGAACCGAACCCGGGTCTCTCCGGACCGCAGGCCGACGCTCTAACCGCTGAGCCAAACTGGCCAGGGCCACCCAGTACATTTATACACAGAAGCACAAAGACAACACAGAAGCCTTGGTTGTTCAGTGAGCAGGTCTCTGTACTTGACCCCGAGGAGTGGGAGTGAGGACAGAGCCCGAGTTGAGGCAGTGGGTACCGATCTGTGGGGTGAGCCTCCCCGGCAGCGGGTGCCGATCTGTGGGGTGAGCCTCCCCGGCAGTGGGTACCGATCTGTGGGGTGAGCCTCCCCGGCAGCGGGTGCCGATCCGTGGGGTGAGCCTCCCCGGCAGTGGGTACCGATCTGTGGGGTGAGCCTCCCCGGCAGTGGGTGCCGATCCGTGAGGTGAGCCTCCCTGGCAGCGGGTGCCGATCCGTGGGGTGAGCCTCCCCGGCAGTGGGTGCCGATCCGTGGGGTGAGCCTCCCCGGCAGTGGGTGCCGATCCGTGGGGTGAGCCTCCCCGGCAGTGGGTGCCGATCCGTGGGGTGAGCCTCCCTGGCAGCGGGTGCCGATCCGTGGGGTGAGCCTCCCTGGCAGCGGGTGCCGATCCGTGGGGTGAGCCTCCCCGGCAGTGGGTGCCGATCCGTGGGGTGAGCCTCCCTGGCAGCCCTGTGTGCTGGTTCACGCACTTCACCACTTAGACAGAAATTGGGGCAAAGCTGGGGAAAGAATTGTGGTTCAGTTTTGTGTGGAAAGGGATGATTGAGCATAAAACATTTAAGACAAGTACTCCGTTGTGTAAATGTTCAGATTTTTAGATAGAAAAATGTGCTTGGCTGTCTCCTGAGTTTATTTTGGGAGGATCTGAACTTTCTCATTTTTTTCCATGGATGTGTATTGAATCGAGTACTGTACTGGGAACACTAAGTTAAGATATGAAATTTCCTCTGTCTTACTCTTGTTTGTTTGAGATTCTTGGTGGTTAATTCAGGACGTTATTGAAACGGGATTTTTTTTGTTGTTGTTGTTTAAGAGAGAAGAAGGGAGAGAGAGAGAACATCGATCGACTGCCTCCTGCATGCCCTCCCTCTACTGGGGATCCAGCCCACAACCCGAACATGTGCCTTGACCAGGAATCAAACTGGGACCTCTCAGTCCATGGGATGATGCTCAATCCACTGAGCTGGGTGAAATGGGATTTTTTTTTTTTTCTCACCCGAGGACATTTTTCCATTTTTTGTTCAGGTAGAGTGGGGGGGGAGAGAGAGGAACAGAGAGAGAGAGAGAAACATCGATGTGAAAGGGACACATCGAGTGGCTGCCACCCGCACAACCGACCAGGGCCGGGGACAAACTGCAACCGAGGTACATGCCCTTAGCGGGAACCGAACCCGGGTCTCTCAGGACTGCAGGCCGACGCTCTAACTGCTGAGCCAAACCGGCCAGGGCTGAAATGGGATTTTTTTAAAAAGACCTATAGGTCTTTGGAGAGTCCCTCTATTGCTGAAGTTCTATCTAGAGGTACCAAATTATTTTCTTGCTCTAGAATCAATTTTTTTCTTTCCAGGATTCACTTAAAAAAAAAACAAAAAAAAAACTTGTTGCTCCCCCCCCCCCCCGAATACCCATTGACCTTTAAAATGTCCATTGGGTCATCTTTCATTGCCTTTTTGTTGCTTGTAACTGTTGGAAACAAGTGTCCATATTGAATAGCAGTGAAGAAAATATTTCTGAAAATAAATTTTGTCCCATGGGAGGAGAAAGTTTGAATTTAATAGCAAACCTATCTCAAAATCTCCCCCTTTGGAAAGCCACCCTGGCCGATGCCAAGCACTGTCTAAGCAGGTGTTCCGTGTCCTAGGGAAAGAAGCCCAGAAAGGACCTCTGCTCTTTGACCTCCCTCCGGCCAGCAGGACTGACTCAGGTACAGTCTTCAGGCTCTCCCAGGTGTGTGTCAACGTGTCATCCTGGGATTGTAGTTGTCTCAATCTTTTTCCCTTTCCCCCATTTTCAACACACAGATGTTTTAGGTGTTGGACTGTCTTAAGTTTTGAAACCATGGCATCAGGTAAGGCAGAAAAATCCACTAGTCGCCAGCTGAGAAACTGCGTGAAATGTTGAGCAGTTTTCTCTGGTTCATTTGAGTATTTTATAGCTGAAATAAGATGTAAGTCTTAAAGGCAGGTTTTCGTTTCAGTGATAGGACTTAAAATAAAGTAGGTTCAGGACGTTATTTACTGCAGTCTGAGTTGCCACTGGATTGACACAGAGTTTTGAGTTTATCTCAATGACCCGCATAGGTGTCCTGGTGGGATGGATTCTGACACTCATGCCTTACCCAGGCTTCGCAGGCTCACTGGGTGTCCTGCTGTGTTTCAGGACCAGGGGGACCTTTGCTTTTTGATGACCTCCCGCCAGCCAGCAGTGGCGAGTCAGGTAAGTGGTAGGGAAATCCACTGGGCCCGTGGGGATAATGTGTGTCACCCTGATGTGAGATTTATTCGCAGCTCTTAGCAGGGCTCAGGGGATACGAGAGTGTAGCATGTGGCATAGTATATGGCTCAGTAAATACTGAATCCATCAGGTGGGAGCCAGAAGATTAGCTACATACTATGTCACTTTTTGGGGTTGAACCTCTTGCAACTGACTAAGAATTAAGAGTTAAGTAATTAACTTTGCACTTTGTTATTAACATTTTTGTTTTGTTTTTTAAATCTCAGTATCTGTCATTCTGATTTGCCTTGTGTTTCTGACCCAAATGTACCAGCAGAAGTGTTTGAATATATGAAATACAGTTAAAATATTTACAGTGTCCCTGGACCCATAAGTACAGATAAATAGGGCTTTTCTTTCATGCCACTTATACTGATAAGAATTTTGATTTAAGAAAATGAAGTCTGAATAGCACTGCTTAGTGACTGGTACAGACCCTGTCAGGGATTGTCTTGAACTCAAGACCTAAGTTAATTTTCAGTCAATTCATATGTTCTCAAGATTCTGTTTATTGATTGGATTTTATTTTCATCAAACCTGTTAACATTGGCTCTACCTGTTCTGTAAATGTTTAACTTCTTTTTCCGTCCCAATTAAGCAGCAGGTAAGAGTGGAGCAGACCCTCTGGGGTGTCCTAGTGAGGAGTCTGTTCCTTGTCTCACTGGGGACTTCCCCCAGGCCCCCCTGGGAAGGGGAAGGTGGGGGGGGCAGTGGGGATGAGGCTGTCTGTTCTCAAATGCAGTTTTCTTCTGGTGTGAATACCTCTGTGTGTTGTCAAATGGAACACTTGCTTTTCACATCTCTTTTTTGTATTATTAATTCATCACCATGAAATTGTTGGAATTAGTCTAGAAAATATGCATTACATTAGTATAGTTCTTGTATTTAGAAAAAAGGTTACAGTCATACAATGTAGCCTAACCCTTTTCAGTAGAGACCGTGCTTCTAGTTATAATGGAGGGTTGTGTGCAAGCAGGGCTCTCGACAGGTCGATGAAGCCAAGAAAGGTTCAACACAGCTGTGTCTTCATTGTCCACAGGGCAAAAGACAGTAAGCTTGTGACAACTTAGAAGATTTCAGCGTCACTATTAACTATTTGAATTTTCTTGGATGTAGAATCCAATCTTGCATCCAGTATCACGGACATTTGAAGACATTCTTCTCAAGCAGGCAAGAACCATTTACAAAATGGACTGCATTCTAGGACGTAAAGTAAATCCCCGCAAAGATAGAACACACTCTGACTATAGTGTGATTCAGTTAGAAGTCAGAAACAAAGCTTTACAATTTCCTCTGCTTTGCAATTGAAAAGCAAGGAAGGTAGATTCTTTTACGTACACTGTGGGAACTGGACACCAGCATTGAGTGACGGAAGGCTAATGGAGAGCCTGCTGGAGACACCAGGGAGTCTTCTCAGTTAATCGGCCTCATCACGCGCGGTGGGATGTGTGCTCTGTTCTACTGTCGTATGAAATAAGAGTCAGTTACTTGCAAAAGGACAGATTATAAAATGCAGGGACATCTTCTCCCTTTTTCTTCAGTACTCAGAAATGTCTGGCCAAGAGTAGTTGAATAAAGAGTTGCATGCTTTTATACCTAAACTCCGAGAATACTCAGGGCCATTTATTATGACAGCAGCTGCCGTTTGTTGGATGCTGGTGGATCGTGTACGCGCTGTGATAAGTGCCTGACCTGCCGTGTCCCAGTCAGTTTCAAACAGCCCTCTGAGCTGACCGCATTCTCCCGGGTTGCAGGAGACGGGCTGCAAGGCCAAGCAGCTTGCCCCCAGGGCACCCTCTCGTGAGGGTCGGAACCGGAATTGGAACTAGAGCTTTGTAAACACACACACACACACTCACTCACTCTCTCTCACACTCACACTCTCAGTCACTACAGGTGCTCTTCGTTCTGGCTTTGAACACAGACTCGTCCCCTGCTGCTGGGAATGGCTTTGGCAGCCCTTTATTGCCTTTTGGGATCCATACGCTTCTTAAAGCCTGACTTTTACCTCATTTTAAGCCATTTCGGAACTTGGTATTTCTTTTTAACCTGTTCAGTACGTGTCACTTTGCACACTTGGGACCCTCCCTGTTCGTAGAGACGGTCTGTGGAGGTAGAGCACCGTGTCTGTGCTGCAGCCCAGAGCACAGGTGCCCTGTCCCCTGACCCCCCGCAGACCCTCGCGGTTGCCGGGGCGCCCCGCGGCCCTCGGAGTCGCTGGGACTGCTGGGAGGCGCGGTTTGTCTGGGGGCCGGGGTGGGGCCTGGTCTGCAGGGGTCGTGTTGTACATCTACAGCCATTTCTGTCTGGCCCTTACTTTATTTCCAGGTTCTCTTGACACCTCGATACCCCAGACGGTAAAGAATGAAGGGAAAGGAGCAAAGAGAAAACCCTCTGAGGAAGAGGAGAATGGCAGCGAAGAGCTTGTGGAAAAGAAAGTTTGTAAAGGTTTTCAGACAGTTTGAAAACAAACGTATTAGACTTCATAACTTAAATAACCCAGAGCAAAAGCAAGCTCAGGTTTCTGAGGGCACTCCTGCGTGTGCATTTCAGAAGCGCGTAGCTGCCTCTGTGCGCACAGACCCTGCAGTTTCCTCCTGCGTTCTGGCTGCTTCCATGGGCATCTCCGCGCTGACCCTGCCTTTGATCAGGGAGGAGACCTACATTTGTCCCTAGGCTTAGAGCTCGGGCAGTCTTCACTTGGCCCTCCAGCGAGCAGGTGGCCGCCGACCACCCATTGAGCTCAGGTTCCCTCTCTTTGTCCACAGCCAGATGATTAGCTTTGATTCCAAGGTTGGTTCAGAAGGCAGCTTCCCTGGAGAGCCCGAGGCTGGGGAAAGCAACGGGAATTTGTAGTCAGCTTGTAACTTGTCAGAGTGGGGAAGAGATGTAAAGTATCGATGTGACAGAAATAGCTGTGATTCCTCCACTGCCCCAGCCACTTTGTCTTTGACCGCAAAGGGTCTCAGGGCTGCAGGGCGCTCGCAGGGGTGTGAGGGCCCACTACTCTGCTGCTGGCCCACCTGCTGATGAGCTCGTCAGCCACCAGTGCTGCTCTTTAGAACGAGCTTCGTTCTTTGCATGGCCTGGGGGTCAGAAAGGAGCTCAGGCTGGCCTCGCCCTTAGGGTGTTGGGCGTTTGCGGATGCGGACTCCTCCATCCCGTTCTTCCCGTTGGACTGAGAGCCGCCAGCCTCGCTGGTGGTTCAGATCCTTCCCCGGCCTCAAGCATGAATAACGTATTTTCAGATGTCCAGCAACAGGGCCTTTGGGATAAGTTGACTTGCATTTCTCTAATGTAGGAATTTTCCTGTCCTCATCAAATTATTTACAAGATTAGAATCCCTCCCCCATTCAAATGACAATTCTTACTCTGGTGCTTTGGTTTAATGCCTCAAAGGGAGCTGTCCTGTGCTAACTTGCTGTCATCTGCTGTCTCCTCTCCACTGCTCAGCCTTGCAGAGACCAGCCCTGACCAGCAGGGGAGTGCTTTCAGCTAGGGACTTGGAGCGGGGAGCTGCCTTGAGGGGAAGAGCTTGTTTGTTTGCCCGCTAAGACATGGCCAGTAAAACAGCCAGAGTTCCCCCTCGCTTGCTCTGGGACTAGGGCTTCTGGTGGGCAGGGCACAGTTTTGTATTGGTTTTTGTTCTCTTTTCCTTAGCCTCGTCAGTGATTTTTGGTTTGAAAGGCTACGTGGCTGAGCGGAAGGGTGAGCGGGAGGAGATGCAGGACGCCCACGTCATCCTGAATGACATCACCGAGGAATGTAGGCCCCCATCATCCCTCATGTGAGTGTCCCCGCTCTGGAAAGCCTGGTGGGCATCAAAGTCTCTGGACCAAACTCTGACTGCAGTTTTGGACTTTGTTCACTTTGTATTTATTAGAAAGACTGACACATGACCCTTGAGCTGCTCAGTGCATCAGCGGTTCTCAGCTCAGGTTGCCTTTAGCCCCCACCCTCTGACATGTATGGTTGTCACAGTGGAAGGTGTGCTGCTGGTATCTGGGTGGGGGAGGCCCAGGGTGCTGCCAAACAGCATCCTGCAGCCCCCAGGATGGCCCCACAGCAAGGAGTCATGCTGAAGTGGTGAAGTCCTGCTAAGTGGGAGATGGCTCCACTTGGGGTGTGTTCTCTCCCCGCAGTCTGACCAGAAGAATTGCTGCAGGGAGTATCCTTATTCTGGGGCCAGTAGCTAGAGCTGGAGGCCCGAGGCAGTGAGTGCTGACCAAGGGGAGCTGGCCCCGCCAGTGAGGGCACAGGGAGAACCACCGGCAGGAATGGCATCAGGGAAGAAAAATGGGAAAATACCACATCTGTACAAACTCGGGTGGGGCCTTCCGGACAAGGTCTTAGGTGTGTAGGGCAGGGCAGTGGTCATTAGCATACGTGAGGTTTACGTTATAATAATTACATCTATGCTGCCTAACTTCATAATTACATCATGTGTACGGTGCTTAACTGACACCAGTGGGTTGTTAACATGCTGTGTGCTGGAGCCATGGGTGCTGGTGGCTGTCGTCCAGTAGATAGGCCGAGTCCGGAGGAGGCGGAGCCCTGTAGGGCGCCCGGCCACCGCGTGCGCCCACGCACTCTTGCTCACCACACTCAGCAGCACGCTCGGGAGCTGCTCTTAAAGCCAGGCAGGTGCTTCAGGAGAGCCCCAGGGACAGACCCTTCGGCGGGGAACCCTGACCCATGCCTAGGGGCACCGCGCTTCAAGATGACAGTTTTGAGTTCTGCACCAGGTGGCTCTAACGTCCCAGTGCAAGGCTCTGCAGAGGCGTTTGGGAAGAGCAGCTCTGTTCTTCCTCGTAGGCATTTTCCTTGAAACCGTGTGACTCGATGCCGTTCATTCCACGTCTGTGGGTTTTCTGGCAAAACCGGGAAGGGGAGTAGTAAGGCTGGTGGGATGGGCTTTGAGAATAAGTATCTGTTCGAGTGTGAGGAGCACTAAACGACCCCCTCCTTTCACAGATTTTCACTGCCCTGGATCAGTAATTATTCGCCTGGGTCTTGGTGTTTGAAACTTAACTAGTTTAAGTAGAAAAATGTTCTGAATTTTAGTTTCACCTTCAGTGAAAACTCAGAGTTAATAGACCTTGATTTCTGAAACAAGTGTGTTTAATTGTGAACTACCATGACATTTACTCAGGCACAGTTCTATGTCATTGCCTGTTCTCCACGCACGACAGTGTGTTACAGTGGACCCCCTTTGTTGTGTCAGCAGTCACTGCGAGGTCAGGCTGAGACCCTGCTGGAGAGGAGGTTGCTGTGGGAATCTCACTGACTCTTGATTTTTCTAGTACCCGGGTTTCCTATTTTGCCGTTTTTGATGGACACGGAGGAATTCGAGCCTCAAAATTTGCTGCGCAGAATTTACATCAGAACTTAATCAGGAAATTTCCTAAAGGTGAGATAGACTAAATTAGTTCATTCCATCTCGGTGCTCGCTGTCTGTGTGACTTGGTGAGCTGCCGTGGCTTCAGCTAAGCGTGATCGGTGACGTCTGAGAGCACGGGGCTCCGAGGCGGGCGGGCGTCCTCATGAAGCCTCGTTTCTGAGTGACGGCGCCTCCTGTGCAGTGTGTGGGTGCAGATGAGCGCCCCTGTGCACGCGGGAGTCGGCTGCCACCGGCGCAGACGGCAGTCCTGCAGGGAGGAGATGGGCTGCCCTTGGGCAGCCCTCAAAGCAGAGTGACACAGGCGGAGAGAACCTCCCTCCTTAAGAGTTTGGTGTTTTTTTTTCTGTTCCTTCTGTAATAGGAGATGTGATCAGTGTAGAGAAAACCGTGAAGAGATGCCTTTTGGACACTTTTAAGCATACTGATGAAGAGTTCCTTAAACAAGCTTCGAGCCAGTAAGTGGGGCAGACCACGAGATGTGTGCGTGATGAGTGTGCGTTTGTCCTGCGTGCATGGACGCTTGCTGTCTGAGAAGTACCTTGCTCAAGTTAGGTCCTTGTAACTGTCAACTGAACCTGAAACAGAAAAGCAGGTGTCAAGGAAACGTTCATTTTAAAGTCTACGACACTGCTGTTCAGCGCTGGGAGGAAGGTGGTCTCGGTGCTAGTGTGCTGGTGGTGACTGTTCTGCTGTCTCCCCCAGGAAGCCTGCCTGGAAAGACGGGTCCACTGCCACGTGCGTTCTGGCTGTAGACAACACCCTCTATATTGCCAACCTTGGAGATAGCCGGGTATGTGCCCTGGGACCACCCGCTTAGCGGACGGCGCGTTCTGGGGCAAGAGCGGCAGCAGGCGCTGGTTGACTGGGACGCAAGTGGGGAAGGCTGGTGGGAGTGTTCCGCGGGGCTGCGGGGGCTCTGGAGCGGGGTCGTTCTGCTGGGAGCAGCCCAGCGCGGGGTGCTTTGCTTTCTGTGGAGACTCACCTCCTGCAGTGACCTCTTCTGCTGTAAAACCCAAGCACACTCTTGTTCATTTTTCCACGTTCTCCTTTGTGTGTGTGTGTGTGTGTGTGTGCGCGCGCGCGCGCGCTCCGTCGAGGTGGTGCTATAGTTGGAATGAGTCTCTGTACAGCAGCAGATACTCTTGAACTTCCTGTGTCTTACCCAGACCCTGTCTCGCGGTCATGCAGTGTCAGCTGACTCAGAAGCTGCAGCTGGGAAAGTGCCAGGGGATGTGCCCATCCCCGTGTGACGGGGAAGCCGTCATTCCCACTGCTGACAGCCTGGGTCCTGGCCATCGTGGGGGGACGAACTTGAAGCCAGAACTGGCCTCTCCCTGCCAGCCTCTGTGCCCCCTTGTCACAGTGGTAGCCTGGCCCTCCCCGCAAGCAGCACCTTTCCTGCCCTGTAGCTTTCAGGGCGATCTGTGTACTTACTGGAGAAGCGAGCACTAGTGATGCCACGGTGAGCATCACGGCTGGCCCTGGCCCGCGGAGTCGGTGTCAGGAGGTCCTCCAGAGGCTGTCTCCAGTGCAGGTGTGCTCAGACCAGTGACTTAAATAAAACAGCACGAGTAAAATTGGACCACAAGAAAGGGAGGGAGGCCTTGGAATGAAATTTGAATCCTGGCCGTGTGTGTGACTTTGGGCACGATCCTTGCCCTCCCTCCGGGCCTCGGCTACCTCCTTTGTAAAATCAGGTGTACCCAGAAGTCAGCACAGGGAACGTGGTGTTGGGAGCACACGGAGAGTCAGCACACTGACTCTGCCCTTGTCTTCGCCTCGTGTAGACTTGGGGACTAGGAACAGGGCAGAGGGGCTTTGGTGCTCGTTAAGTGCCTCCCAGCCACGTCACCTGTGAGGACAGCATCCGCGCGAGAGCAGCTCCTGGCTGTGGCCGCCCAGCAGTTAGCGCGGAGGAGAGGGCTCAGCAGGGCCTCGACCTGGCTGGTCTCTGTGACACCGCTTTGCCCTTGGCACTTCTTTGAACTCACATTTGTCAGCAGGAGGCTCTCTGAAACCCCATGATTGACGCTTGTCTTCAGCTGGGAACTCGGACGGGCCCCTGAATTTCCCCGTGTGTGATCTCATTCCCCCAGGCGATCCTGTGCCGTTACAATGAGGAGAGTCAGAGACACGCAGCCTTGAGCCTCAGCAAGGAGCATAACCCGACGCAGTATGAGGAGCGGATGAGAATACAGAAGGCTGGAGGGAATGTCAGGTATCGGGCTGGGGCTGGGGCTCGGGGCGGGGCACGCCCTCCGGGGAGGACTTGCTGGGTGTGTGGTCTCCATGGTGGTGAGACAGGTCTGGCCTGGTGAAGCCGGTGAGTGGATGTAGGATTTCAGGGTCCAAGAGGGAGCAAAGGTACCCGGGAAACGTGCCTCCCTCTGCAAGGGAGGGAGCCTATCAGGTTCGAGGTCACCGCGCACTCCAGTTCCCTGGTCGTGGGAGCTTTCCTCAGTACTGCCATTTGTCACAACTGAGTAAGCTGCAGTTTAGGGAATTCCCCAGAGAGTACATCTACAGTGTTAGGACAGGAATATGTGTCAGGCTGACCCCCTGGTTTTCTGGGGAGCACTCCCCTGGCCGTGGCCGTGCACTGGCTCTGCCCACGCACTTCCATTCATTTCTCCACAGTGGCTGAGGAGGGGGAGGCTGTGGTCTTTCCACACTTGAGGGTGCCACTCCCAGGACGTGGCATTGTGAATTTGACCAGAGGCGTTTTCTGGTTCATTTTCCAGTTTGACCATTAGGATTGTGTGTTTTGTTGGAGATGCGAGGGAAGTAACAGCGGCATGCGCTGCAGTCATGTGTCCCTGGCCGCGTGGCTCCAGGCTGACGCAGCGGTGCAGGGAGGTCTAGAGGCAGCACTCCGAGGTGGCTCAGAGCTGCTGGGACCCTAGAAAGAATAGCCTTGGGCTTGCTGTGCCATGTGCATGAGCATGATGGGACCATGGGCCTGGTTTCACACCCCGGGCAGTGCCATGTGCCCCCTTTTCCACCATGACTGCTGCAGGAGTTAGTGCTCAGGAATGTGACCCCAGTGTTAGCATCGGCAGCTCCTTTCCCACCCTTTCTTACAACTGAAACCCTGCTTTGCCCGAACTCCTTGAAAAGACATGTTGACAGTCCTGCTGGTGAAGGGTCAGCTGCAGTGCAGAGGCCTCGGACTGTGCTCAGGGCGAGCCCCTCGCTTCAGAGAAGAGGGCGGGAGGCTCAGGCAGGCCGAGCCGTGCGCCCCCCTCCTGCCCGAGGCCAGGACTGGTGGGTGTTTCTTTTTCTCCGCCCCTCCCACTTTCATTATTAAAATTGTCAAATATTTTACAAGATTAGAGCAAACATTTAAATATCTGCCACCAAGAGTTAGTAGTTAACATGTTGCCATATTTGCTTTGTCTGTGTACCTGTGTGTTAGGTGGAACTGTCTGGAAGTTAATTGCAGATGTGCCACCTAAGAAAATAATTCTCTGGGTCATATTAGGTTATCTGTAATCCTGTCTATCGTCATATTTCCCAGTTGTCCCCAGATTGCCTTTGTTTGAAAGCAGGTGTCCACGTTCACCTTGGATTCTCATCATTATGTGTGGCGTGGTCTCCACTCTTCCTCAGCTTGGACCCTGCAGGCGTCCAGGCCAGCGGTTGTACAGGGTCACAGCATTCTGTGTTCGTCTGTGTTTTCTTTTTTTTTGTCCTCACCTGAGACATTTTTGCATTGATCCTCAGGTAGAGCAGGAGAGAGAGAAGGAGGAAGAGAGACACATCGAGTGGTTGCCACCCACAGGACCCCAGTCGGGGCCGGGGACAAACTGCAACCGAGGTACGTGCCCTTAGTGGGAACTGAACCCGGGACTCTAACCGCTGAGCCAGAGCAGCCAGGGCTCGCCTGTGTTTTCATGGTATCATTTGTTTGCGTGTATTTCCTATAAACTGGAAATTAGATCTAAACGCTTCTTTAGATTCAGATGAAACACTTTTAGAAAAAATATGTGATAGTCCCTCACTTCAGTAGCCACACCAGGTCACTGTTGGTGATGCTGAGTCCTGGCACTGGGCTGTGGTGGTCATCGGAGTCCCCGGAGGGTAGGGGACAGGGTTCCCTGTGTGATCAGCAGTGACCTGGGGAGGTACATGTGAGCACTTGGGAACACTCTATTTTCCGCCAACCTTTCATCTCCTGGGATGAGATCCCTGAGTGATTCTGAATCAGTATGTCGTAGGGGTGACAAAGATGACTTTCTGCTCCTGGGATTCCTGCCCAGGTGATAGCGGGCAGCCTACCAGGAAAGCCTGCCCTTCCTCGGTGGGCGTGAGCCGCAGTGTCTGCCCAGGTGACAGCGGGCAGCCTACCAGGAAAGCCCGCCCTTCCTCAGGGGGCGTGAGCCGCAGTGTCTGCCCAGGTGACAGCGGGCAGCCTACCAGGAAAGCCCGCCCTTCCTCAGTGGGCGTGAGCCGCAGTGTCTGCCCAGGTGACAGCGGGCAGCCTACCAGGAAAGCCCGCCCTTCCTCAGGGGGCGTGAGCCGCAGTGTCTGCCCAGGTGACAGCGGGCAGCCTACCAGGAAAGCCCGCCCTTCCTCGGTGGGCGTGAGCCGCAGTGTCTGCCCAGGTGACAGCGGGCAGCCTACCAGGAAAGCCCGCCCTTCCTCGGTGGGCGTGAGCCGCAGTGTCTGCCCAGGTGACAGCGGGCAGCCTACCAGGAAAGCCCGCCCTTCCTCAGGGGGCGTGAGCCGCAGTGTCTGCCCAGAAAGCGGGGCAGGTACTAAATTCTTTCATTATAATTTTCAAAGTGAGATAGTCACCTACACTTGTGAAATTAGTGTTTTTTCTTTTTTAATTGATGTTTAGAGACAGAGAGGAAGGGGTGGGGGCGGGGAGAGAGAGAAACATTGATTTGTGGGTACCTTGTGCCTGCATTCGTTGGTTGGTTCTTGTATGCGCCCTGACTGGAGATGGAACCCACAACCTCGGCGTATCGAGACAACACTAACCGCCCAGCGGCCTGGCCAGGCGAGTGCTTTCCTTGCGCTTCGCGTCTCTCCCACGCTGCCCTCTGCTGGCTCCGAGTCCCCTGTGCTGGCGGGTGGATCTCCGTGTGCTGATTCCAGTCGTGGGGGGGGTCCTGGTGCTTTTTCGCTCACACCCCAGTATAGCCCGTGGGAGGGAGTGCCTGTGAGCTGTGTGTGCGTTCGTCTTCGTGTATTTCTTCTCCCCACCGAGGACGTGTTTGCATTTACCTTCAGATAGAGCGGGAGGGAGAGAGAGAGAAACATTGATGTGAGAGAGACGCATTGAGTGGCTGCCACCCACACGATTCCAACCAGGGCCGGGGACAAACTGCAACCGAGGTATGTGCCCTTAGCGGAACCGAACCTGGGACACTCTGATCCGCGGGCCGACGCTCTAACCGCTGAGCCAAACCGGCCAGGGTTGCATTCATCTTTAAAACCCAGCTCCAACTCCTGGGGACATCTGTTTCACCTGGGGTGTTACTAATTTTAAGCCTGATCAAGGCCTGAGCTGGGAAACACATTTAAGATTGTGAGTGTAAACTGCTATTTCTTACTCAAGTTTACAATGCCAGGCTGTCTCTTAACTTCTGTGACTTGTAGTTACAGCTCTTTCCTTTTTGCTAAAAATCTTGGTTCCTAATAACTGTATTTATTTGCAAAAGTTGCTTTAAAATCACAGTATTAACATTACCACTATTAATGAAGTTTGAATTCCTTATAGTTCTCTTGTTCTTGAACTCTTCCTCATGAAGGACGTTGAGAGGCGTGTTTGCAAATGTGAATCATTGCTTCCACTGTGCTTGTTACCACCTTGGTGGTTGTGATCACTGGTGTCAAATTGTCTCAGATTTAGAGCTTTTTTATGAAGTCAGATCCCTGTTCACATCCGTGCTCACAGCGCCGGCGGCCCGGTGGGAGCAGTGAGCAAGGTGGCCGCCCGCACAGTGGGGTGCTGTCCGCCTCTGGCTGCAGCACGGGGGACCTTGAGGACATGGTGCTGGGTGAAATGAGCCAGTCGCAGACGGGCGCACACTGTGGTCTCACAGGTGGTTTGTAGAGTGGCCAGAGTCGTGACAGAAAGTGAAGTGAGGGTGTCGGGAGAGGAGGGATGCGGAGTGAGTGTTGAGTTTGGGAGGATGGAGGGTTCTGGGGTTGGTGGTGGTGATGGCCGCACAACAGTGTGAATGTAGTCAGTGCCGTTCAGTGTACGTTAACAGTAGGTATTGGTAAGTTTTATGTATACTGTTATCACAATTTAAAAAGTAAAACCCCCCACTTACATGGTTAAATACAAAGTCTTATTTGGAGACTGTGTGCCTGTCCTCCTCCCCCATCCTTCCGGCTTCTCTCCAGTGCTCCATCCATCTCACAGAACTAAGCACGTGAGCACGCACTGTCGCTGTGTGCGTGCGCGCGCTGTCTTGGGGAGCTCCTGAGGCAGTGATGACAGTTGTACTTGGTCTCACGAGGAAGGTGGCGGGCAGATGGGGCAAGGCGGCCATGCAGCGCTCGGATGCAGATGTGCAGTGCGCAGGCCTGGGCCAGGCCACGTGCAGGCTCTGATAATGAGGAGCTGTGGGCTCCACCGTCGGGCGTCGCTTTGGCCCCATCACAGTAAGACATTGGACTTGGGCTTCTGCTGTCTGGATGGTCAGCGAGGATGAAGTTTTGCAGACGGGTCGAGGCCGACTGCCCTGCTGCTGCTGACGTGCTAGGGGAGCTGCGGCCAGGGCTTGACCAGCTCGCCCTAGCCTCTCGGGGCCGTCTCAGTGCCTCTCATTGTGAAGGAGGAACTGGAACAGAAAGTCCCAGCAGAAATCACGGATACCAGCCCTCCTCTGCAGCAGCAGGAGAACAGTTCTCGTGAAGTGGTGGTGGGCGGGCAGGCGGGAAGGAGATGGGACAGGCAGCCCAGAGTAGAAGTGGCAGCTGCGCCAGGGAGGCAGTCCCAGGCTCCGTGGGACTTCAGGGCCCCGGCTTCTCAGCGTGGGAGTGGGGGGAAGTCAGGGCGGTGGAGGAGAGCACATTCCTGTTGAACGGACCTGAGCAGGAGGCAGGGGGTCTGGCCTTGCGCCCCGCTGATGCGTGGCCTCGGGTGGTGCTCTGGTTTGCCTTCGTGGGCTGACGGCGTTTGCGCACTCTCGGCCACGTGGGCTGTGCGCTGGGTGCAGGCAGGAGGCCAGGCCAGCATGCCGCCTGACTTCCTGAAGTACAAGTGGCTTTCCCTGGGCTCGTGATTCTGTCCGCCCTGACGTTCTCCCGAGCTGAGTCAGTGTGGACAGATGAGAAGGGCAGCTTCTGGCGTGTGGCGCACGTGTGGAATGTCCACGCTTCCTGCCCCAAGTCGTGTTCTTCCCGAAGTTGCTGGTGACTTGGCGGAGGGGTGTCCACACCAGGCACCTGGCACGCGGTCACTGCAGAAGCACTTGGCTGGCTTCTCATGCTTGGAGCTGCTTCCTGAATGGCGTCTTATGGCTGAGGAGCCCCAGCCACCCTCCCCCACCTTCCCCCCGGCTCCCGTGCGCCTCGCCCCTTGCTGTGGGTGCTCATCGTGCTGGAGAGGGCCGCTCAGCTTCTCGGGCGCCAGCACCGTCCAGCACCGGCTGTTCCCGCTGGAAGGGAGGCTGGGGGCACAGTGCAGGGCCCGGTCGGGCTGAATTCTGACTCCACGACAGCAACCCGACCCAGGCGAGCACTTCCTGCTCCGGCCTCTCCGCCCAGCATCTCTAGGCCCAGCTCTGGGGTTTGCTGAGCGCTCTCCTGCCCCTTGTCCAGCGTGGCTTCTCTGGCTTTACCCAAGAGGGTCTGAGGGCCCCCAGTGGCAGCTGCCTGCAGTCAGGTCCCACAGCAGTAAGCCGCCAGAACTGCTCTGGGGGCTCCGAACAAGGACTGCCGTGCCTGCTGATAGAGCTCTGTCTCCGAGCATGGAGTCCCTTGTGGGGCAGCTCACCATCTCCGTGTCCCTTCTGGGGGCTCCGAACAAGGACTGCCGTGCCTGCTGATAGAGCTCTGTCTCCGAGCATGGAGTCCCTTTGTGGGACAGCTCACCATCTCCGTGTCCCTTCCCTGAAATAGAACGGGTGGAAGTGTAATGCTGTGCAGTGTTACTAATTGTACGTATGTTAAATCGAACCCATGCCTGCTGGTAGAGCTCTGTCTCAGAGCATGGAGTCCCTTTGTGGGACAGCTCACCATCTTCGTGTCCCTTCCCCGAAATAGAACGGGTGAAAGTGTAATGCTGTCAGTGTTACTAATTGTACGTATGTTAAATCGAACCCATGCCTGCTGATAGAACTCTGTCTCCGAGCATGGAGTCCCTTTGTGGGACAGCTCACCATCTCCGTGTCCCTTCCCCGAAACAGAACGGGTGGAAGTGTAATGCTGTGCAGTGTTACTAATTGTACGTATGCTAAATCGAACCCATGCCTGCTGGTAGAGCTCTGTCTCCGAGCGTGGAGTCCCTTTGTGGGACACCTCGCCATCTCCGTGTCCCTTCCCCGAAACAGAACGGGTGGAAGTGTAATGCTGTCAGTGTTACTAATTGTACGTATGTTAAATCGAACCCATGCCTGCTGGGAAGAAGAGATGCTGTAGAATCTGGGAAGGGTCACTTTCAGTATTTTCCAAATCTGATTAGATTGAAATGCAGTGTAGCCCTCTGTTCCACCTGTTCTGAGCCTAGGGGCTGCTCCATCACCTGAGGAGCTGTGACAACACACAGCAGAACAACAGCCAGGCCCCTGCCCAGCCCAGTCAAGTCAACTCCCAGCTCTGGGCAAATCAGCAGGTTGGGCCATTGTGGCCACGTCAGTGCAGCCAGAGGGGCTATTCCCTCCAGTGGGCAGCCTGGCCCAGGCCTGTGGCCGGAGAAATGTTAATGACCCAGAGCAGTGGAGGCTCAGCAGTCTTCTGTGTGTTGGCGGTCAGGAGGTGCAGTACTTGTCAACAACGTGTTCTGCAGGCTACCTCTCTGACTCGGTCCCATGCTTCTGCTTTAAGATCAGACTGTGAGCACTGTGACAACGTGATCTGCAGATGGAGTCTGAGCGTTTTCCCCTGTTTTAGGGACGGGCGTGTCTTGGGTGTTCTGGAGGTGTCCCGATCCATTGGGGATGGGCAGTACAAGCGCTGCGGGGTCACTTCTGTGCCAGACATCAGACGCTGCCAGCTGACCCCCAATGACAGGTAAGAGTGCCCGCCAGGGCGGACGTGCACACGTGGTCTCTGTCCCCACCTCCCCTGCTCTGTGATAAGGAGCCGGGTGTTGGGCACTGCGCTGGGCCCCGGAGGGGCGGAGAGATGAAAACAGGTTCTGCTCTAGTAGGGCCACCGCTGGTGTCCTAGGGCTGGGGCTGCTCTGGGAGCCTGTCCCTGGAGAGGGGTCCCTGTGGGAGGACGGGGCTTTCTGGCAGCGGAAACACAGGACAGGCATTCGAGTGGGAGGGTGAGAGAGCATGGTGGACAGTGGCTGGGTGGACAGTGTGGGAGGACAGTGGCTGGGTGGATAGTGTGGGAGGACAGTGGCTGGGTGTTTTGGTGACAGAGGTGATGGGTGCTGAGGAGCTTGGACTTTAGCTCCTGATAGGTGGAGGGTCGTGGGGGGTTTTTAGGCAGAACCAAGTGAGGTTGAGAGAGAGACCGCCGTTCCGCGGTGTGTTGCCATGCTAGGCTACCTGGCGGCCTGGTGGCAGGAAGCCCTGGTTAAGGGTTGGGGCAGGATGGAGGGGGGCTCGGTGGGAACTGGTGCAGTGGCCCTGCTTAAATGGGCTGGACTGAGGCCATGGTGCAGAGGAGAGTGGCAAAGGGCCCAGAACAAGGGGTTCACAAGACTGATGGGGGAGGTGAGAGGCCCATTGGTGAGCTGTCGCCTGGGGGGCTCCAGGAGCTCAGCTGAGCCCTGGTCCTGTGCTGCAGGTGAGGGGCCCGCTTGTCCTCCTGCTCGGCCTCCCTGCTGCGCCTGCCTGCCTTCAGCATGCCAGGTTCTTGCCGACACTAAGGTCCTGGGGTGTGTTTCCACTCGGTCCTCCTCTGGTTTTGTGAGCAATGCCCCAGGAAAGGGTTGTATGCCCCCTGACCAGGCCCCCGGCTGTGTGTGGGAGTCACCTCACTGGAAGGGCAGGAGCTCTCTGGGACTTCTGCCCACCTGTCCCAGGGACAGACCGTGTGTGGTGAGTACTTGTTCAGTGGATGCCCAGTCGGAAGAGGAGAGCCAAGGCCTGGTTGACAGTGAGAGCTGAGAGGCGGCTGAAGCCATGGGACAATCTTCAGTGCTCAGAGAACTAAATCTGTACATTGGAGCCGCCGTTGTTCAGAAGGATTTGCTTTGGGAAGTCCAGGCGATGGGGTTTTTGTTTTTAAAATTTTTTTTCTCCATTGATTTTAGAGAGAGAAGAAGGGAGAGGGAGAGACAGACAGAAACACCGATGAGAGAACATCGATGGGCCGTCTCCTGCATGCCCCCCACCAGGGATCGGGCCCACAACCTGGTCATGTGTCCTGACTGGGAATCGAACCGGCAACCTCTTGGTGCAGGGTTGACGCTCAACCACTGAGCCACACGGGTCAGGCAGGACGGGGGTTTTGAAAGGGAGTGAATCTGCCCTGGCCGGTTTTGCTCAGCGGTTGGAGCGTTGGCCCGCGGACCAGAGAGGCCCGGGTTCGGTTCCCGCTAAGGGCACGTACCTCGGTTGCAGTTTGTTCCCAGCCCCAGTTGGGGTCGTGCGGGTGGCAACCAGTTGATGTGTCTCTCTCACATCGATGTTTCTCTCTCTCTTTTCCTCCGTCTCTCCCTCCCGCTCTATCTGAAGATAAATGCAAAAATGTCCTTGGGTGAGGATAGAAAAATAACAAAAGTAAAAAATAAGTGAAAGGGAGTGTTACAATCCTGTTTTCAGACAGTGAGAGTGGGCAGCTGTCCTCTGGGGCCTTGGACTCAGCGTGGCCTTCGTGTGGGTCATGTGGGTGGTGAGTGTCCCATCGAGGCCCCAACCATGAGTCTATGTCTCTGGGAAATGGTTCGAGGCAGCAAGTGATGGAAGCTCTGTGTCTAGTTACTACTGTAACACCTGATGTTCTTATTCAATGATTTTCCTTTTGAGTTTTTCTAAAAAAAATGCAGTACTTAATGTTTGAATTAATTCATACTTTCATTATTGGTGAACAGAAGGTTTCTCCCAGTTTTGATATATTATACTACCTACAATTGTTTTTAAGTTTGTTTGTTTGTTTTTTTAATTGATTTTAGAGAGAGAGGAGAGGGAGAGAGAGAAACTTCAATGAAAACATCAGTTGGCCACCTCCTGCATGACCCCCCCCCCCCGGGATTTGGCCCACAACCTGGGCATATGCCCTGACCAGGAATCAAACTGGCGACCTCTTGGTGCATGGGTCGACATTCAGCCACTGAACCACACCGGCTGGGCTATTTTTAAGTTTCAACCTTTGTTTCACAGAAGTTATTTTTTTGCATAGTTGGACAAGTGTGTTTTTGTTTTGTTTTTAATGATTTTTTTTTAAGAAATGAAGGGAGAGGGAGAGACAGAAACATTGACGAGAGAATCATTGATCGGCTGCCTCCTGCACGCCCCTAATGGGGATCAAGTCTGAACCTGGGCGTGTGCCCTGACTAGGAATTGAACCGGTGACCCTTTAGTGCATGGGGTGACTCTCAATCCACTGAGCCACACCAGCTGGCTGGACAAGTATTTCTTTACCTCTATTACTGCCATTTGATGAAGTTTGCTGTTAAAACCCATTTATATTTCTTCCCCATGGTACAGGTTCATTTTGCTGGCCTGTGACGGCCTCTTCAAGGTCTTTACCCCGGATGAAGCTGTGAACTTCATCTTGTCCTGCCTTGAGGTAAGGAATGGCCCAAGGGAGTGAGTGCCCGTTGTCCAGCTGCACCTTACTGATGTCCCAGCCCTCCCCCGTGTCCCCATTGTCGGGGGTACCCTGGTGCGGTTTTCCGGTTCTTGTCAGCTCTCCCCATGAAACTCAGCCGTCAGTTTGTCCTGCCTCCCCGGATGCAGACTAGGGAGCAGTTCTTCCTCGTGGTGGTGCTGTCTCGGGATAGTGCCGGGATGCGGGGTTCCCTGCTCACCAGTGCCCTTTCCTGCCGGTAGGATGAGAAGATCCAGAGCCGGGAGGGGAAGCCCGCCGTGGACGCCCGCTACGAAGCAGCCTGCAACAGGCTGGCCAACAAGGCGGTGCAGCGGGGCTCGGCCGACAACGTCACGGTGATGCTGGTGCGGATAGAGCCGTGAGGGCGGCCCCCGCGGCTCGCAGGGGCACGGTGCGCGGGTGTGTCGTGTGCTCCTGCGGGCGCACGTGCTTGTAAATAAAAGTCCTCTTTTTTCTAGTCTTCTCTCGTTACGTCTTGAGAAACTGGTGGCCTTCAGAGGTTGTGTTTGCTGCTTGTGAGTATGCTCGGTCTTGTTCAAACCATCATCGGTGTCCCGAGGGTCGGCTTGTGACAGTGCGCCACGGCTGCTCGCGGTGCACTTCGCCGTCTTTAGGCGCCTCACCTGCGATGACCCCGGCTGAGAAGCGGCGTCTCACAGTGAGGAGGCCAAGGTGATGGCTGCTCAGACAGGTGGGACCCGACCCCAGGCCCGTGGAGCCCTCGGGCTTCTTTCCGACTCCCGTGCCAGAGTGGGTGCAGGACATGTTGTGCTCAGTGCGGGCTTAGCCCGGACGGGAGCCTGACAGATGAGGCTGTCTAGAGTGTTTATTGAATATAATGTGCCCGACAGGCTCTCTGCACGCAGCACGGGTTCAGCCGGCTCCCGGCTCCCGAGAGCAGGTGCAGTCTGCCTCAGGCCTGTGAGCGCGGGCTTCCGGGCCTCGACTGGGACCCGACTTGAGACACGCACGGTGGCGCTGTGGACCTTCAGTGGGCTGGCGGGGCGGGGCCGTCTTCTAGTAACGAGGGGCGGGGCGGGGGGCTTCTCTTAGAGATGCTCAAGGGAAATGCATTGTTAGCCTACTGGGAGGAGCAGAAATTCTTTTCAAGCTCTCATTTCTACATAAAACAAGTTGTCAGGATGGCTGTAATTATTTTTTGTTTTTAATATTTTTTATTTACTGATTTTAGAGAGGAGGGGAGAGGGAGAGAACCATCGATGAGAGAGAACATCGATTGACCGCCTCCTGCATGCTCCCCGCTGGGGATCGGGCCCTGACCAGGAATCGAACTGGTGACCTCTTGGTGCATGGGTCGACCTCAGCCACTGAGCCCCACTGCCCAGGCTGTGCTTAGTTTCTAGGGAAGCAGCTCCTGGGTCGTGGGTAAGTGCTGGCCTCAGGATGATGTAAGATTTCAGAAACTTGCCCTTCAGGAGCTCTGGCACTGCTCACTGCCCCACCCAGCAATGCACATGGTCTTATCACCCAGTGGGCGTGAGTGGGATCAGTGTCGCTGCACCAGTGCCTCGGGGACCTTCTGAGCACACCCTCCCCAGAGTTCCGTGCCAGGTGCCATTGCTGCTGAGGACTGGGCATCACGGGAAGAAAGAACCTCAGCATCTCACACGGGGAAGAAACATAGTCAGTAAACGTCTTCCTGTAGCAAACTAGGTGCCAGCCTGTGGCCACGGGCCCCTAACTCCCAGCATGCCACTGTCCAGAGCAGTCAGGCTCTCCACTGGGCCTTCCCTGGCGGGGCCCTCCCCAACCTCGTGGGGTCCCAGCCCCCCACCTCACCTCAAAGAGGTCTTCCTTATTATGATGCTGTATTTTAGAGTCTGTATTTTTGTAACTGCATAATCACATAACAATTCTTAAGTACTTGAACCACTTCACAAAGTCAGCTATTAAATATATTTCATCTGGCAACACTATAATAAATACTTTAATAAATGGCTGTATAATATTTACGTGCAGAAAATGAGAGAGATCTGTGGCTTTTTCAGGGGTAAAAGGACTTTTCTAAAATATCTGTGGCTACACCTGCCCTTATCAGAGCGCATGGGACGCAGGACACCAGGCCAGCTGGCACTTCCTAGTAGGGCGGGTGTAGGTCCTACTGAGAATCGTGCCAGCCTGCCAGAGGGCACAGCGTCCATGGGTGTGCGGCGGGGTGGGGTGCTGGCTGACGAGTTTGGTTGTGGGAGCAGAAGCTCTGGGCTCCGGGGAGTCCTGAGGCCAGCGGGAGGTTAAGGTGGCAGCAGCCATTGTCACTTCTTCCCCAGGTCTGGATGCACCCAGCTTGGCCCCAGGACATCCTGTGGTACCAGGTCCCCCGTGAGCCCAGTGTGTGTGCATGGAGGCTGGGGTCACTGGAGGGACTGCCTGCTCTGCGTCAGCCCCGCTCCTTGGATGGACGTGCTGTGGGCTGACAGCGGCAGGTCCCGTCACTGGGAGCAGCACAGGGACTTGGTGCCCAGCCTTCTCCAGACCACCTCTTTCTCAGCACGGGCTCCCTTTCCACCTAAGTGGGGTGGATGCTTTGAAGAGCCCCAAAGCCTGCAGACCCTGCCAGGGTATTGGGGGATGGCAAGGGGGGGGGCACTGGGAGTTGTTGGCTCCTGGGAAGCCTCTGTTTGGCCTGGTCTGGTGAGTGGGCGGGGCCTGCAAAGATGTTCCAGCTCTTCATCTGGCTGGTGGATCCTGGAGGTGAGGTAGCCTCGGGGGCTGGGAAAGGACCTGTCTGTGAACAGGTCTGCAGGGTGCAGCTCCTCTGTGACAGGCCATGTCTGCAGCTGAGCGTGGCCAGGTACCATGTACACGTTAGAAGTGAAAGGCTGCTGTGGTCGGTGCAGGCCAGGCAGGGCCCTGCAGTCCATGGACAGGCCAAAGGCACGGCTGGGGAAGGGCAGGCAGGGCCTGGGGAGCCCCGGGTGGAGATGGGCACAGTGGGAAGGCTGCTGCCAAAGCCGGCCCTCCACACGCCACCACACTGGCTGGCCTTGCCCTCCGTGCCAGCGCGCTTCATGCCTCGCGAGATGGGAACCACAGGGCTGGGCACAGTGAAGAAGCTGAGGCTTTGGACAAGATGCCTCACAGGCCAAGAGGGGCCAGCCCACAACCAGGACAGAGCAAGTCTTCCTGGGTGTGCTGACCCAGGGTAGAGCTGGGCCCTGACGTTTTTCTTGGTCCTGGGACAGCGGGGTTGCCTGTCACTTCCCCAGGCCGCCTGCAGTGTCCATCTCGGGGCTGAACGGGAGGGTGGGGGGGAGGTGGTCGCTGTGGGCAGGTGAGTGGGCTTCTTCCCGCATGTGGCCTCTGCCACTCCGGCACTGCCGAGGGATCGCTGGGACCCAGCTCGGTCTGCCTGGCAGCTCCGCTCAGTTGCCAAGGAGGACAGCGCTGAACTGGGAGCCGCCATACACGGTGACGGCGGAGCTGCTGGCGTTGTCCAGGAAGACGGAAGCGTACTGCCTCGTCTGCAGGGAGGACAGCGTCAGCCTGGGCACTGCCAGCCACATGCTCTCCAGCCTAGGACCCTGGCCATGCTAGTGCCTGCTCCCCAGCTTCACTGCCCCCCGCGCAGGGCCGCCGGGGGTCAAGGAGCCAACGGGCAGCAGCCCGCGGAGCCTGCAAGGCTGTGGCCTGGGGTGTGAGGGTGGCCTGCCCCTCAGGTTGGGCCTGACCTGTTTGACCAGTACTCCGGTCTGGCTGTTCAGTGTGGTCCACACAAACCTGCAGTTCCCGTCTTCTGGGAATTCCCAGAACTGCACTCGGGACCCACCCAACCTGCATCCTAGGACCCCGGGTGCACGGTGAGCACTGGACTTCTCCCAGCAAGCTGTGCAGTGCCCGCGACCAGACCATCTGGCCTCCAGGCCTGACTGCTGTGTGAGCTGGGGCGAGTTCACCCCTGGCCGTTCCCCTGCCTGGAAGCGGGAATAACGCAGTGCCCACCTCCGAGCCCTGGGGCATGGAGTGGGTCATTTATGCAAGGCTCGGAGTGGAGCCCGGCACAGTGCTTGTTAAACGGGAGCTGTTCACACCCACACTCGCAGTCTTCCTTTCTCAGTGAACCTCGCCTTCACCTCAGTTCCTTGACCACTTGCCCAAACCCCAGTGCCAGGAAGGGAGTGTCACTTGGGGCTTCGTGTAGGAACAACTACATGCCCGCTTCCTGCAGTGGGGCCTCACGGGTCACGAGGAGGGTCAGACTGGGCCCTGGAGCTGACCCCTATTCCACCACCAGAGCACCGGGGCCCTGCTGGAGGCAGGTTTGGGGAAAGGAAACCCGGACATGGCCCCGCCCCGCCTGCACTAGTCTGAGAACTGTGGTGCGGCCCCAAACCTCTCCCAGGCCTGGAGTCGGGGTACTGTGGCCAGAGCTGAGCACACACCTGCACCCCTCCCTGCACCCCACAGCCACACCAGGCGGTGCCCCCCATGCCCAAGCCGGCCCTTGCACCTGCAGATACAGGACACCGTTCACGGAGATGGTGAAGAGCTCACTGCTGCTCTGCAGACCCATGACCGTTTCCAGGGAGCTGTGGCCAGAGCAGAGAGAGCGTCAGCCTGAAGCCCCCGCCTCAGACCCCACCAGCGTCACCGCGGTGTGCTCACAACTGCCGCAGGGCCCAGCAAAGAGCCAAAGGGACAGCTGTCTCAGTTGGGTCCTCTGGTGGAGGCTGCATCTGAACTGGGTCCCCAAAGGAGGCCGGTCCCCACAGGGCCAGAGCCCGGCCAGCCGAGGGCAGCTGTGCTGGGAACGCAGTGCAGGCCCAGGCAGCACGGGTGGGGGTGGCGGCGAGCCAGCAGGCGGCTCAGGCCAGTGTGGAGGGCTTTCGGAACCAGAGTCAGAAGTTTGGAGCTTCATGCATGTCTTCTACAGCGAGTGCAGCACCTGCCTGGGTCTGATCTGCTCTGGGCGCAGCGACAGAGGGAGCAGCTCCTGCCCTGCCCTCCGGACCAGGTGAAGGGGAAGGGGGGCAAGGGTCACGTGCGGTGAAGGAGTTCACAGGAGCGGTGGGGAGTGCGTGGGGAGGGGGCGCAGAGTCCGGAAAGGGCTCTGAGGAGGTGACCCAGGCCTGTCCCTGGCAGAAGCGACCAGAGGCTGAGGTGTGCCTGGGAAGCGCGGGCGTGTGTGTGTCACCAGGGAAGGGAGCAGCCGGTCACCCAGGCACAGTGGTGGTGGGGAGGGAGCAAAGGGCCTTTCCAAGCGCGGCAGGACGTGACTGGGCCTGGTGGGGCTGCCAGGCCCGGGCCCACGCCCCGCGCGCCCACGCCCCGCGCGCCCACTCACGCATTGAGATTGCACTGGGACTGGACGCAGATGAGCAGGCGCAGGCGGTCCCGGAACCGGGGGCGCATGAGGTCCAGCCGCCGGTGATCCGGGAGGGCTTAGGGGAGGGAGGGGGTGGTCACTGTGGGCGGAGCCGGGCTGCCGGACAGTCCCCACCCCCACCCCCACCCCGGGCCGGGCCTCACCCACGTGCAGCGTGGCGGCAAGCGCGTAGAAGCCCGCCACGGGCGCAGTGTACTGGCCGCTGGTCAGGTTCAGGCCCAGGCCGCGGTGGAAGGCGCCCTCGCCGTCGGGCTGGTGAGCACAAGCACGGTCACTCGGGGCCCGGCCGCGCCAAGGCCCCCGCTTGGCCGGCCTGTGCTCACCAGGTAGTAGCCGCCCAGCTCCTGCAGCGAGCGCCGCTCCACCGACAGGTTCTGGCGCAGGCGGCACTGGAAGGCGGCCTCCACGGTGCGCACGCTCGAGGCCAGGACCTCGGCCAGCCGCACCACCACCACCGTGCTGGCCTCCGGCTCCTCCTCGTCCTCTGGGGCCGGGCCTTGCTCCGCGTGCTCGTCCTGCGGCACCAAACCTGGCACAAGGCAAGCGGTGGCTGAGCCCACCCTGCCCTCCAAACCCTCCATGTCCCGCTCCCCAAGCCCGCAGAGGCCGAGCCTGTGGGAGGCAGAAACTTTGACCCCGAGGCTGCTCCTGTTTCCCACACTTTCCCCGTGGTTTTCACTGCTTCTGGCTTTATTGTATTGGCGGACACCATCGTATCAGCAACTCCTGGTCATTTCTGGAAGCCAGCTGGGTGTAAATACACGACCGCAGGGTGAGATGTGACCTGAGGGTGTCAGGCTGGGCTCCCCTGTGCTGCCCTGAACACCGTCCTCCCTACCCCACCCGGCAGCCTCCTGGTGCCCTCCCCAGGGGCTCTGTGCCAGCAGCGACGATCTGTCAGGGGAAGGGGCAGAGGTAATCAAGGGGAAGAAGTTGGGGTCCACAGTCAGGGTCCTGTGTTGACTGGGGTGAGCTTTAAATCTCCCTGGTGTCCCTGGGGGGATCAGAGGAGCACTTTGAAAACTAAGGAGCCCTGACCCTTTCCCTGACCATCCCCCCTGGAGGCGTGTGGCTTCAGGTCTCCTGGCCTTCCCTGGACTCACCTGGCTTCCGGGTGGGGGGTGTTGGTCCCCAGGCACCCACTGAGCTTCCAGTGGTCAAGTCCGCCCCCCTCTGCAGAGATCCCTCCTTACCACCCTCCCGCCCTCGGCTCTGTCGCCGAGCCTGGCAGGGCACAGGGGCCTCTGTGGGTGCCACAGACATGCCAAGGCCTAGCCCGTCTTGGCTCCGCCAGGAGACCCTCCCCGGCCCCTCATGCCCGGGGGTGTGCCCACGTGGTGCGCATCCCCTACCTTTCAACAGCTGCCGGAACTCCTTCATCAGTTCCTCTGATGAGAGCAGGGGGCTGGGGGAGCTCGAGGGGACTGGGGATTCTGAGGGCTCCAGCAGGCCGAGCTGGGAGGGAAATGGACGTCGGAATGGACAGGCTGGAAACCACGGTCACCTGCTCTGCAGGCTCCTGCCCCGAAGAGGCAGGCCACAGGGGCGCCCGCTTTGCCCTCTGACCTCTGAGGTCGAGGTCAGCCCCTGGGGCCTCAGACCCTGCTGAGAGGGCAGTGAGGGGCCATGCTTTGAAAGCTGCCCGCCCAGGCCTCCTGCACCAGGGTGTAGAGGGAAGAGAACCGGTAGCCGAGGGGGCTGCCTGGCATTCCGGGGTGCAGGGTGTACGGTAGGAACAGGCCCCAGGGTCACCTGAGCCTCCGGCTCGACACTTTACGTGCTGCCTGACCAAGGCCAAGGGCGGGGGTCTGTGCTTGGCAAAGTGCTCAGGGTGTGCCAGTGGGGGCCGGCGAGGGGTGTAGGGGGTGACAGGTGGGCTAGGGGTTCCGGGAGAGCCCTCGGTGCAGGCCCCTCACGCATACACGTGCTGGTTGGGGCTCCCCGGCTCACCTTCGACTTCCTGCCTTTGCTTCTGTGCTTCTTCTTGGCGTTGACGCCCTTGTCGCTGTGCCGGAGGAAGGCCATCCAGGTTTCCCAGGGGCTCAGGGTGGGCTCCCCGCCAGCGGCAGGCTCCTAGAAGGCAGCCAGCAGGTTGGGTCCCATCCCCTGCCCTCCACACTGGGTGTCCGCTGAGCAGACCGGCCGGGACGCTTTTCAGGAGGTCACAGTGCAGGCCTGGCCTTCAGTGGTGTCCTCGAAGTACAGACCCTGAGAATGGGCCACCCCTCAACCGGAGCTTTGTGGGAGAGGAGGCGGTGTGGCCCGAGGGAGAAAGGCTCAGAGCTCTGTACTGGGCAATCCAGCCCCGCTGGGCCACCGGGCCTCTGTCAGCTCCCTCCATCGGAGACTCACTGGGAGGCTCGGACCACTGACACCCACAGGTGCCCGGGAAGGGGCGACTGATGACCAGGTCTCCCGCTCTCGGCCGGCCTCCCATCCCACCCGTCTCCGAAGTCCCTCAGCCCAGGGTGCTCAGGAGGTCTGGGTGGCCCGCACTGCCCCTCTTCCTCAGGGCTCCGGGACCCTTGACCCGAGCAGGGACAGTGGCCGCTCCAGATACACCCATGCCCGGCACGCTGCGTTCTGACCAGTCATGGCGCTCGGGAAAGTTCCCGCGTGGGCAGGGAGCCTCGCATGGTCTGGGCTCCGGGCTGCCAGCTGGGAGGAAGCTGGCCCAGGAGCACAGACGAGGTCACGGGCTCTGACTCGGTGGCCGATGGAGGGACCCAGGGTTTCGGAGCTGGTCAGGCCCCTTCACCAGACAGGCTTGCTGGTTCCCAGCTACTCTGCAGGGACCTGGCTTCCTTCAGGAGCCACAGGCGGCGGTGGGGGCGCGGGCTGCTGTTGGAGGGGCCCCAGAGGGCCCAGGGCTCTCTGTCCTCTCTTGGACTTCCCCACGTCTCACTGGGTACTGGGCCCTGCGAGGCGCCAACCTGCTGGCTGCCCACCAAAAACAAGGACCTGTGACCCCCCTTCACAGCCTCGCGCTCCCCTTGGGGGAGCATGGGCGTGCCGAGCGGGCCCTCCCAGCCGGTCTGATGGCCTGGGCATGGACTTGGACCCCAATGTGGTGTGGGGGAGCAGAGACAGATGGAGCCATGTTGGTCTGCAGACCTGGCAGACGGGCCTGAGGTGGTGTGGGGGAGTTGCCGGGCATCAGCTCCCTTGGCTGAGGGACGTCTCCAGCCTCAGGGGCTCCTGGAAAGGAGCTGGGGAGCCCCAGAGGACCCAAGGCCAGAACCTTGCTTTGGAAGCACCCCAGCTCCCCATCTGCTTCCTTGCAATGTATCCCCCACGTCTGGTGGCCCTGCCCCTCAGGGGTGTGGCTGACTGGCAGGCGTCTGCCTTCAGTCGTGGGAAATGGCCGAGGTGTGGAGACCTGGACGTCAGGGGGTCCCTCCAGGGGGTCCCTCCAGGGAGCCGGAGGGCGGCTGCCCCCACAGGCAGGAGTGTCCTGGGCCTTGGAGGCTCCTGTGGTGCTGAGAGCAGGGCACAGGCCGGCGGCCACACAGCTGCTCCGCCCTTGGCAAGGCCCACAAGCCCCTGGTGATGCTGGGACCCCAACCACCTTCCCCTCCGAAGGTCCAGGGCTCCGAGGGCTCTCCCAACCCCGCCTCCCCCCCAGCCTGGCTCCCCTCCGCCCCACCTGGGGAGGAAGGAGCAGGCAGAGCTGGAGGTGACTCCTTCGCACCCAGAAGTCACACGTCCCTGGGGTCCGGCCCCACTTCCTTCCTCCAGGACCGCAGAAGGCAGTTCTGTTTTTCACAGGGAATTCCCCCCAACAGCGTGCGGGATGGGGTCGGTCATTTGCTCACACTTCTTCCCAGTTTCAGGAGAATCGAGTCCTTTCTACGTGTTTCCCAACTTCCCTCTGTCCCCAACGAAACGACATTTCCCCCCGGCCTAGTAGATTGTTGCTTTACTGCCAAAGAAAACTACCCAGAGCCAAGGTCAAGGCCTTTGTGCAGAGGGGCGGCTCCAGACCCCTGGTCCCCCGAGCCTGGCAACTGAGCGCCCCTGTCCCGCGTCAGAAAGGAGGGCACCGCGCTCCCAGCCCGGAGCCAGCCCCTCCTCGGGTGTCCCGGACCCGAGGGCGCTCCGGGTGGGGAAACTGAGGCCCGGGGCCCGCAGGTCGCGTCTTACCGGCAGGCTGGCGGGACTCGCGTAGCTCTCCAGGGGGCCCGCGGGCTCTGCGGGGTCCCCGGACCCGAGGCCGGCGGTGGAGGCGGCGGCGGCGGCCAGCAGGCTGGCGCAGACGAGCAGCAGGCGGGCTCCGGCGGAGGCCATGGAGGCGGCGGCCCCTCCCGGCTGCGGGCGCGTCTGGGAATCAATCGCTCCCCGCTCCGCGCTCCGCGCCTTATAACGCGCTTGAATCCCCCGCCGCGCCGCCCGCCCGCGGCGCCGCCGGGCGCCCCCTCCCGGCCGGGCCGCGCGCTGCAGCGGAAGTGGGGAGGGCGCGGGGTGCGGGGCGCAGGGGTCCGCGCTGCGGGCGTGCGGAGGAGGGAGGGGTGCAGGGAGGGACCCGCGGGCGCACGGAGGGCACCAAGAGCACCCCCTTGGGGTGGCCAGTGCGCCCTCTGCTCTGCTCCGACGGCCCCGAGGTCCCTCCCTGCGCACTGTCCAGCACGTCTGCTTGGGGAACCCCTTCTCCCACCCTGGACCTCAGCCCTGCTGACTCCCTTTTCTCCGAGAGATACCGGGGCACCTACCTCCTCCCAGCCCTGAGGGGGGCCTTCTTTCTCCCCAGAGCCCTGAGACCCGGCCTCACTCACTAGGGTGAGCAGGTCGGGCTGGGAGGGAGGACCCTCAGTCCCCTTCCCAGGAGGGGACTTTCCCTTCCGGAGTTGCCTTCTCCACTTGGCTGGGCACCCTGACCTCAGGGGTGGTGGTTCTTTCTTTCTTCCCGTTTTAGTTTATTATTATTTTTATTGATTTAAGAGAGAGAAACATCGATTTGTTGCTCCACTTAAGCGTTTATTAGTTTGTCCCTCCCTCCCTCCCTTCCTTTTCTCTCCTTACCCCAGGGCATTTTTGCATTTATCTTCAGATAGAGCAGGAGGGAGAGAGAGAGAGAAACATTGATGTGAGAGAGACGCATCAAGTGGTTGCCACCCACACGACCCCAACCAGGGCCGGGGACAAACTGCAACTGAGGTACCTGCCCTTAGTGGGAACCGAACCTGGGTCTCTCTGGATCGGTGCTCTAACCGCTGAAGCAAACCAGCCAGGGCTCTTCCTCTTTATTGACTTTAGAGAGAGACAGAGGAAGGAAGAGGGGGAGAGAGAGATAGAAACAGCAATGAGAGAGGACATAGATTGGCTCCTCCTGCATGCCCCCCACTGGGGATTGGGCCCACAACCTGGGCATGTGTCCTGACTGGGAATCGAACCTGTGACCTCCTGGTGCAGGGTTGATGCTCAACCAGAGCTACACCAGCCGGGCATTACTTGCTTTCTTGTATGTGCCCCGACAGGAGATCAAACCCACAACCTTGGCATTTCAGGACTATGGTTCAACCAACTGAGCTACCTACCCAGGGCGGGGCTGCATGGTTCTTCTCAACTCCGGGGTACCCTCAGGGACCTGGAAGGGTGGCACCCAGAGCAGAGCCATTGCCAAAGGCAGGTGCCATGTGCTGATGGGGGCAGACAAGACGTGGGCGTGGAGGGCTGAGCCCTATGGTGACTTAGCAGGGTGCGGGGCAGCCCCACCAGGGACCAGGCTGCCCACTGGGTCAGCATCGAGCACTCTGCTGGGACAGTGGACCAGACCCTACAGCGGAAACTCCAGGTGGGTCCCTGAGAAGATCCAGCCCCTACCCCCAACGTGGGCCCTTTGTTCTAATACATACTGTCCAAGTAAGAAATGTCCAAGCCTGTAGAGAACTTTTCTGAGTTTACTTGAGCTAGACTGATGAAAATTGCCAGAAAGAAAAAATCTCAACAAACTGAGAAAATGCTTCTGAGAAGGGCAGTTTTACAGCTTATTTTATACCCTAGAATCAGAGGAGACGAAAGGGGTGTTATGAGAGGTCCATTGGTGGTAGATCAAAGGGGCAGGAGAAGATACATTCGGGAAAACTCTGGGGTTAGATAAAGAGTGAAATAGAGACACTCACTTCTCTTACACTGGAGAGTACAGAAGAGCTAACAGTCAACATGTACAGCGCGTGAAATGTGTGTGGGAGCAGGGTCACTGTGACAGGCCTGGTGTCCCAGATCCCTGCGGTGCATGTGCCCTGAGGGGCCTGGAAAAGGTGATCACTCTGGCATTTCAAAGGTATGTTATCTTAGATGCAAAAAGACAACAACAGGCTCTGCTGACGTGAAGAGGGACCTTTGTGAAGGAAGATGCCGCAGGCCTGGGACGTGACCCTGGCTATGACCTGCCCTTCTTTAGGAATTTTAACGTTCAGCCCACCGGTTACTTTGGCCTCCAAGTTCATGGGGCCCGCCATGCAGGTCTCCTCTGCGCTTGTCGGGCTGAGCAGGTAGACCCTTTTCATCCACGCGTCCTTCCTTTGGTCACACGTCAGTCCAAAGTCTGCACTGATGACCATCGTCGGTGCTGGGAAGCGTCATGCCTGGGAAGCCTTGGTGTGATCATCTATCTTGCTGAATGATGGATGGATCCTTGGCATTGGGGCAAGACCACGCACTTGATGGAAGTCAAGGCCGCATTTTTCTCAAGAGGGAAATGCAGCTAAATGGGAGGCAGGCGGGTCTTCTGGGTCTTCGTTGAGGAAAAGCCGTCGGAATCTGCTCTAACCCGACAGCGATCTTGGTTTCAGTTTTGCTGTCATTTTAGTTTCCTGCGTTTCACATCTAGTACAAGTTGCTTACAGTCTGAGGGCACACACCTCCTTGGTGTTCACATCTGACAGGTGTAATTGCTGCTGTTGTTATTCTTTTAATGTGGCCCATCTACTAAACATCGATGAGGGAGAACATCGATTGGCCGCCCCCCACTGGGGATCGGGCCCACAACCCGGGCATGTGCCCTGACCGGGAATCGAACCGGTGACCTCTTGGTGCAGGGTCAACACTCAACCACTGAGCCACACCGGCTGGGAAGTGCCATTTACTGGTCATCAGATCCCTGCTAGGTGTGCAACTGGGAACTGCAAATTAAGGTGTGATCGGGGGCAAGGCTGCAAGACTGCAGAGGTGTACATTATAATTACCATCTAAAAATCCCCAGTAAGGCCCTGGTCGGTCTGGCTCAGCGGTTAGAGTGCCGGCCCGCGGACCAGAGAGTCCCAGGTTCGGTTCCCGCTAAGGGCACGTACCTCAGTTGCGGTTTGTCCCCGGCCCCGGTTGGGGTCATGTGGGTGGCAGCCACTCGATGTGTCTCTCTCTCTTCCTCCCTCTCTCCCTTCTGCTCTATCTGAAGATAAATGAAAAATAAATAAATACCATAAAAATTTCCAGTGAGTTTTATATGTAAATTTCTGCATCTCCCTGCTGTTATAGAGGGCCATGGTTTTATAGCCATGTCAGCTCCCATCCGAATTAGTATAGTTAATAGTCCTTGTTGGGTTAGTGGGTTCTAGTGGTTGTCGACGTAAGAAACATCCAAACCCATATTTGAGCCAAACTGATGACAGTTGCCGGGAAGCAAAATCTCGACGGACTGAGAAAAGGCTCTGGATAGTGGCAGTTTTGTACCTTGTTTTATACATTAGAATAGAAGGAGGAAGTGTAAGGGGTTACACGAAGTCCATCGGTGGTCGACTGGGGGGCAGGAGGAAGCAAAGCCAGGCAACTTCTGAGACTGGATACAAAGTAAACTGATAGACACAGTTCCCTCCATCGGTGGGCCCAGGAGAGCCGATGATGGACTCGCACAGCACTCAGAGATGGTGTGAGGGAGAGCAAGATAACGCGAGAGGTCCTGGGGGCTCTTCTCTGCTGGGCGTTGTGCCCTGGCGGCTCTGGAAAAGGCAATCACTCTGACATTTGCAAGGTATGTTATCGTAGGTGCAAAAGGACAACAGACAGGCTCAGTTAAGGCAAGGATTCACTTTTTAAAAATATGTTTTTATTGTTTTTAGAGAGAAAGGAAGGGAGAGGGGGAGAGAGAAACACTGATCAGCTGCCTCCTGCGTGTCCCCACTGGGGATCAAGTCCACAACCCAGGCCTTTGCACTGGACGGCACTCAACCAACTGAGCCCTGCTGAGCAGGGTGGTAAATGTTGACCTTTGTCACAGAACATACTGCCATGACGTGCTTCTACTGAGGACGTTTTCATTTCAGACCGTCCTGCGTGGTTCTCTCTGTCTCTGAGTCTGCAGGGGGCACCACACAGGCCCCCCTGAGCTGGTTAGGGTTAGGGTAGGGTGAGGGTTAGGGTTAGGGTTAGGGTTGGGTTAGGGTTAGGGTTAGGGTTAGTGTAGGGTTAGGTTAGGGTTAGTGTAGGGTTAGGGTTAGGGCAGTGGTAGGGTTAGGTTAAGTTTAGGGTAGGCGTAGGGATAGGATAGGGTTAGGTTAAGTTTAGGGTAGGGGTAGGGTAGGGGTAGGGTTAGGTTAGGGTTGGGGTTAGGGTAGTGGTAGGGTTAAGGTTTGGTTAGGGTTAGGGTTAGTGTGGGGTTAGGGTTAGTGTTAGGGTTAGTGTAGGGTTAGGTTAGGGTTAGGGTAGGGTTAGGGTTAGGGTATTGGTAGGGTTAGGGTATGGTTAGGTTAAGTTTAGGGTAGGGGTAGGATTAGGGTAGGGTTTGCGTTAGGGTTAGGGTAGGGTTAGGTTCGGGTTAGGGTTAGGGTAGGGTTAGGTTTAGGGCAGTGTTAGTGTTAGGGTTAGTGTAGGGTTAGGGTTAGGGTTAGTGTGTGGTTAGGCTTAGGGTTAGGGTTAGTGTAGGGTTAGGGTAGGGTTAGGGTTAGGGTAGTGGTAGGGTTAGGCTATGGTTAGGGTAAGTTTAGTGTAGGGGTAGGATTAGGGTAGGGTTAGGGTTAGGGTTAGGGTTGGGTAGGTTTAGGGTGAGGTTAGGGTTAGGGTAGGGTTAGGGTTAGGGTTATGGTTAGGGTTTAGTGTTAGGTTTAGGGTTAGCCTTAGGGTTAGGGTTAGGATTTGGGTAGGGTTAGGGTTAGGGTAGGGTTAGGGTAGGGTTAGGGTTAGGGTAGTGTTAGGGTTAGTATATGGCCCCTTTGTGAGACACTTTGAGGCATTCTCTTGCTCAAGCTCCTTTTCCATGATACTACATCTTTCCTTAGGGTTGTCTTTTGACTCATTGAGAAGTAAGCAAATATTAGGACAAAGTACTTCCTTTTAACTCCTCTCTACCCATTCCT